TCATTACAAAGTATATTTCAATCTATTGGGATTAATATAATTTAAAGCAGATGTAAGTTTTATTTAAATAAACAGAGTAATTTATTAGCAAATTAATAGCTTAAGTCAGCTTAAGTTTTAATTTGAAAACTAAGAAAGTGTTATAATTTAAGAAATATTTATCAATAACTTTGGCAATTCTTTACTCACTTAAGAAGATAATAATCTATTTGATTTTTACAATGTGCAAAACTTCTAAAATTAAAAATTAGTTATTTAAAAAGGAAGCTAAATATTTGGTACTATTTTTTATCGTAGCATTGATAAATTTTGTTTAATTAGCTAAATAGATATTTAACCATAAAGTATTATCTCATAGAATTTAATTTAACTCTATAGTATTTCAAGTTTATTCATTGATAATTTGACAGTAATTGAAGCTAATGTCAATGCAAACTTAATAAATCTTGTAGATATAAGTTATTTACATTTTTTTAGTATCACATTAGAAAAAGTTATGATGAACTAAAATTATTTATTTTATCTGAAAAATATAGATTTTTTAACCTTCTCTTAACTAAAAATTTTTCAAATATCAACAATTTTAGAGCAAAACTCTATTATCTATCTTGAACAGGCAAGTTTTTTCATAAATAATAATGAATTAAAATTAATAGATATTTAAGCAGATTTAAATACTGAAAAAAATTTACAGTTATTAGTTGTTAATGGATATTTATAAAAATTTGCAATATATCATTCAATAATATAGAATGGATCTTCTATTGATTTTGGCGGATGCTTAAAATTTATAAATAATTTTAATTCACAAATATCTACAAATTTTTTTATTTAGAACTCTACTCTCATTTAATGTAGAAGTAAATTATTTGGAGGAGCCATTTCAGGAGGATTTAATGAGGTATAAATTTAGAATTTGAATATTAGTAATTGCAGTAGTCAAATAGGCGGTGCACTTTATGTTGATTCTTAATAACAGTTAGATTTTAGAGAAATATTCTTTGAAAACAACTAAGGTTATCTTGCTGCAAATAATTTTAATCTAAATGCAATATAGATATAAATAGATGACATTTTTGAAGTAATGAGCATTAACGATACCTATAAATTATCACATATAGATCAATACTTATATCCAGGCTTACTCTATTGCATCAAATTATAAATAAAAATTGATAAAACTTGGATAAGTGAGTATAATAATACAAATTTTTTTGGGAATATGTACAATCTTTTGATCAATCCTTCTGATAATTTATTATTTGAAACACCTCCTTTTTTAAGCTAATTTTCAAACCCTTTCATCCTATGGTAGGGAAAAAATATAAATTTTAACGGAAAATAAGACATAGAGCTTGAATTACCTAAAATTAGCTTAGTTAAACCATAAAGCTTAAATTAAAAATCCTACAAAATATAAAATGGATGCCACAAAAAAGGCTTAGAAAAAGTCTTATTAAATTTAAAAAATACAAGTGAATTTTATTGTAGATACTGTGGTTCTACGAAAGCAAACTATGATGGAGATCAATGTTAGTCTTGTCAGTCATAATACTTTTCAGAATGTTATGCAAATTATTCTAATTTAAGACCATCTTATTGGAGGTCAGATTATACAGTAGATTCTTCAAATATTGAAATATGTAAGAATAATATTTAAAGTTGTGTAGGAGGTAAATTAATTTCATTTTTTAAACATTCTAAAATAAATTATTTTTTTTTAATTTTAAATGAAATTTTAATAATAAAGTTTTATTTTAAGAGTTATTTTTGAAATAAAAATATTCTAAACTTTTAATAATTTAAATAAAAGGAAATGGAGTTGGTAATGATTTATGCTATGAAGGTCATATTGGCCAATAATGCTTGTAATGTGATATCAATGGAGCATATTGGGGAGAAAGGTATACAAGCGAAGGTTTCTTTTAGTGTACAAAATGCAGTTCTATTAGCTTTAACTTTCTTAAGGTTATAATTTTAATACTGCTGCTCATTATTTATATTGCTGTTATACTATTAGCTACTTTCAAAAGACTGTAAAATGAGATATGGGCTATTTATTTATCTAAAATGGGTATTTTCTATATTGGGAAGTCATTATAATAATAATCACACGCCTCTACTTTTATGAAAATTTTAATGTTTCATTTATCAATTTTTCTGGTAGCTAACTATTTAAGTAAAATAGATATTTTATCTTCCGTTTTTACATATCAGCTGCTTTTATATAATCCCTTAAATTCATCATTTTTCTCTTTGAGTTGTTTACTTGCTGAATACAAATCAGATTCTACCAGTATTGGCTACCTTGATTTATAATATAGTTTTCTGATCCCACTAGTAATCAGTAGCTTGGTTTTATTGTTTTCAGTTATTACATATTTCTTTAAAAAGAATCTTTTTAAATAAATTGTTTATACAGCATTTCTAGCTCTAATATCAATTTTTATTATGCTTTTCTAGACTATCCTTTTAGAAAAGTGTTTATCTAGCCTTTTCTGTATAGATTTAGGTAAAGATGCATCTTATTCTCTTATAGATCTAAGTTTATAATGCGGAGTATCTTCTGAGTTTATAAAGATACAGAGCCTTAGTCTTTCTATCTTGGTTGTTTTCTTGATATGTTTTCCTGCAGCTGTATTTTATAAGTTCATTAAATCTCACAAGAGATTACATTCTGTCTCTGTTATGTTCTCATATGGATTTCTGTATATTGAATACAAAGAAAAATTCTACTTTTGGGAAATAATAAGGTTTATTTTAAAAAATATTCTGATATTACTCTATGTTTCTCTCAAGCAATATCCTTAAATAAGCACTATAATGATTTCTGTGCTTTTACTATCATATTTACTTGCCCTTAATACATATAACCCATTTAAATTGATACTTTTGAATAATGTAGAAAAGATATCTATAACAATATCTATCCTCCTATTGTAATCTTCTAACATGTATCTCCAATTTGATTAAAACGAAAAAAGCTCTATCTAAAATTTCAGAAAAGCTTTTTACCTAATCATATAAATAGTGAACTTAATATTTGTTATTTATATTCTATGGATGATCCTAACTTCTTTTATGAAAAGTATACAAATTAAATTTAAATACTTGAAATGTTGTCGTATGAAGGAAAGAGATATTTCTAAAAACTTAAGAATTAATTAAATTGTTAAAAGAGTAATAAAATGTGTTAAGCATATGAGATCGTAATAATTAAAAAGTATAATATCAAGTTAAGCTACTGATGTCTGAATTCTATCTATTTATTTTGTGTTTACATTTTATCATGTTTTTTTAATTTATCATTTTAGATTTAATCTATTATAGCTTAGTAATTGAGATAAATATTTATTTATTTATTATTTAATAGTTATTTCTATCTATATAAAATTTTATTATAAGTTTAGATTTATAATAATATAGTTTTTTTAAATTTATATTTAGCAAAAATAATAATAATTAATATATTTAATTTTGTTAGAAACATTTTACTTCCAAATTTAAAAAAGTTGTTTACAAATTACTAGATTTACTAACTAATAGTGGTTGAATTTTGAATTTGAAATTTTATATTTTTTATAAATTAGGAAATTAAGGAAGTTAGTTTTGCTTTTTAAATGACTTAAAGTTACATTTAAAAAAATTTTTTAATATTTATGTTACTACTTAATACAGAGTAAAAAATTATATTTTAATGTTTCTTACCTCCGCCAAACTCAAAATGAAAATTTAGGTGTCTAAAATAAAAAAGAAACATTTAAACCTAAGAGTAAACAAAAATTTAAATTAATGGTATTAAAAATAAAACTTTTAAACCAAAGAATTGTTTTTAGAGCAATACTAATCATTTGGTAATAGATATTTAAAAAATGTTTACTACATATTTTAATATAATGGAAGTATTACCATATTAATATAATTTAACAATCAATACAAATTATGATAAGTTTGATGGAGATTATTAGATTTAATAATAGGGTTTTGTATAAAAATGGAAATTGAGTTCAATTATAATAAATAAATTAAATAATCCTTTTTAAATATATTGAGTAAACATTTTATCAATTTATTTTTAAAAAAAATATAATACTGATCTTTCGAATAAATTAGTGAATGTATTAATTTTGTACTTTTTCATTTTTATTTATTTTATATTTTAAAATATAAATCTTTATTTTATCACATGATAGTTTAATCTTTGCTCGTTGTATTAGCAATAAATTGGTTTAATATTGCAAGAGCAACTTCTGGTTAATCCATAGGAACTTGATGGCCTGCTTGATAAACTCTCAAGAATTATAGAATTCCAGCACTTTTAATTTAGCCTGCACTCTTTCCATTGACTATGTAATCCTCAAACTAAGCACTTTGGAATTCGGTTTACTTAGTCCATTACATTTCACTTACCCAAGTCAAACCTCCACTAAATTTTATATTAAAATAAATTTTAAGAATATAAAAATTTTATATTTTTTACATATAATTGCAAATGAAATCTTAGTCTCCGCTATAAATTAAAACTTTAATTCCGCTTTCAAGAATTTAAGCAACATAGCTTGAATAGCCTACGAATATATCATTCTAAAGAGCTTTATGAACTCTAGTTGAGCATTCTTCCCAGTTTCTACCTGAGACACCCAAAGCACTCTTTACATCTTCTCTTGCAAGGAAATTGTCAAGATTAGTCATGTTGTAGCATAAAGAACCTAAGCATTATTTTCTGATATCGTAGACATTGAATTTTGGGGTTTCTCCAAATCCGGTAATATAGCCAAACCCAAGGTTGCAAGTTTAAGAAATTTATTGTAAAGGAGCATTTTTTTATATTAATTCTGAGCATTCTTTCAAAGTTGGATTTACCATAGTGCGATATTTGAAGGATGAAATTAAATTATTTTTTAATGCATATTCTCCATATGCAGGATACATTGTTTTAGGATCAACCTGATAATTTCATAAAAAATTAAAATTCATGTAAATAAAAAAGAATCTTACCTATCCATTTCCTATAGCTACACCTTACAAGTTAATTTAACGATCTTTTCTCTTTAGTAGCTCAACTGTAATGGCTGGGATATATTTGCCTGCATAAGACTCGCCTGTAATAAATAAAGGTCTTCCAATATACTATGGATTTTAATCCAAAAATCCTTTAATGAATGTATAAAAGTTTTATCCTAAAGCTGTCTCACTTGTCACTAAATCTTCAGTTTCTGCATTTGAGAAACCAGTTCCCACAGGTTAATCTATAAAGACGAGATTAGCTTAATTGTTCCAAGAGTAAGGATTGTTTGAAAGAGTCTGGTTATCATTTACAGTAAAAGGCCCATTTTCTAGGAAAAGCCCAAGTTCTGAAGAGCATCCTGGACCACCACTTAACCAGAAAACCAAGGGATCTTATGATGGATTTGCTCTAGATTCAAAATGAAAATAAAATATATCGCTAGTGTTACTTATTTGAACCAACCCTGTTGAGTAGGTTTCATTCAAGAACAAAGGATTTTGCAAGCAAAACCCTAAGGAAAGGAGAGAAAGTATTAAAAGTATTTATTTCATGATCGAATTTGATTTAAATTTAATATTAACTAATTTAATTATTTATTTTTTATTAAAAACCTTCTCTGTTATTTCAAGCTCAAAATACACATAAATAAAATATCTTGCTTGCTGGTGCTGCTATTTACACATTTTTAAATTAAAAATCTTTTATGATTTAATTTAAATAGGTAAGTAGACAGTGTATTCACGAAATTCTTTCATAATTAAAAAATATAAATTTATCTAATTATCCTTTAGGATTAAAGTATTTATCTATTACTTTTTTATTAAATTAGATCATCTAAAGATTTAATTTATACAAATAAATAGGTAATTTCAAATCTTATCAAATGAGTTATACCAAAATTGTTTGAATTTTGATGAAATTTAATCAAAGAGCAACGAAATTCAGAATTTTTATCAAAAATGAATAACTAAATTTATCAAAAGTTTCATTATTTAGTCAAAATAAAATTTATTTAATTTTGAATAGGAAATAGTAAAAATAATTGGAAATGAGTATTTTCAATCAGATAAAAGAGTTTAATCAAAATATGAAAGTATTTATTAATTATTATTAATATTTAAAACACATTCATACAATAATTTTATAATCAATCAATATTTTTAAATCTTAAAAAATTATAAATTTATATTGATAAAAGTAACAACTTTCAATCAATTTTAAGAAATAAATGAGTTGATCATATGAAGAGCAACTTAAGGTTAGTCCATTGGTACCATATGTCCAGCTTGATAAACCTTAAGGAAATTAAAATTGCCTGTTCCTTTAATTTCACCTGCACTTTTTCCTTCAACAATGTAATCACTGAATTGAGCTTTCTAGAAATCAGCTTGACCTGACCATTTCATTTTATTAGTCCAAGCAAGACCACCACTTTAGTCAAAATAAAATAAATAAATAAATAAATAAAATTATCACTTAATTTTATTAAATCACAACTTAAATTTGCATTAATTATTTTGTTCAAATAATGTTATTAGTAGTAATATAAATAATTTACATGTAATTGCAAGCGAAATCTTGATCTCCACTGTAGACCAAAACCTTGACATTATTTTGTAGGACAAAAGCAACATCGTTAGCAAGATTAACATTTTCATCATGCTAAAGTTCTTAATGAACAGCATATGAGCACTCCTACCATTCTCTTCCAGAAACACCCAAAGCTGTCTTTACGTCTTCTCTTGCAAGGAAATTGTCAACATTTGTCATATTATAACACAAAGCACCAATGCAAGGCTTTCTGATATCATAAACGTTGAATTTAGGTTTACCAAGACCAACAATAGTTTTGTAACCAATATCGCATGATAATTCAATTAAAAACAAAGGAGCTTTAATAGCAATTAAGCTTTCACAAACACTATAGGCAGGTTTTACAATAGCATAATATTACAAATCATTAATTAACTTGTTTTTGTGGGCATATTCACCATAAGCTGGTTATTAAACTTCAGGGGTAACCTATTTTACAAAATTTTATAATAAATTTAAATTATTTTTAAAAAAATTAATATAATTTTATTTAAACTAACATTTGGCATTTGAAAAAAATTATATGAATTAGAATTAATTATTTTGTATTTTAAATGTGAAAATAATATCTTCAATATATAATATCTATAAATATTTTGATTAATCAAATTATTAGCCAAGTTTTTTAATTTCTTTTTTTAAATTCTTATTATATAAAAGGAGTTTGTATTTACCCATCCATTACCAATTGCAAGACCTTACAAATTAATATCTTTATTTGCTTGTCTAACAAGTTCAGCACCAATAGCAGGAATGTAGTGACCTGCATAAGATTCACCAGTAACAAAGAGAGGTCTTCCCTTGTATTGAGGATTCTATTCTAAGAAACCTAAAACAAATTAGTAGAAATCTTCTCCAACTTCTTCTTCATTCTTAACAAGCTCACCCATGCCAGCTTTTGAAAAGCCAGTACCTACAGGCTAATCAACAAAGACAAGGTTTGCGTTATTATTCCAAGAGTAAGGATTATATTTCAGAGATAGGTCATCATTAACAGAAAAGGGGCCATTTTCAGTAAATAAAGCGAGTTCTGAAGAGCAACCAGGTCCACCTGTCAACCAAAATACTAATGGATCTTTTTGAGCATCACTTCTTGAAACAAAATGCCAGTAGAAAATATCACTAGCTTTACCAATATTTACAAGACCAGTGGTGTAAGTTTCATTCAAGAACAAGGGATTTTAAGAGCAAAAGGCTAAACCTAATACTGCTAGCAACAAAATAAATTTATTCATAATTTCAGCAGAAAAACCTATTTTTGTATGATTATTAAATTATACTTTAAAAGATATCTATTTAATATATTTTTGAATAGTTTACTTAATAATGTTTGATCACTTACCAAAAATGATCAATTATTATAAATTGAATATATGAAATAATTACACTCAATTTATATAATTGACTTACCTAAGCAAATATGAACAGCTATTTTAAAATAAAATATTATTTTTCGCTTTTACTTTTAAATCCACAAATAAATTTATGAAATTCAGGTTCGAAAACATAGAAAGGCAAAAAAATGAATGAGAAGAAAAAATATTCAAGACGCTTTTCTCAAAAAAGAAAATTATAAAAGAATTTCCATTTAATTAAATCAATTAATAAACAATTTGTAAAAAAAAGATTTGAAGGATTTTAAAAATTTTAATAATTAAAATAGAATATTAAAAATATCTCATGATTAATATTAATATGAAATTATTTTTTCCTTTAAAATGTTTTTTCTATTTATTCTTCTTTTTTTTGAATTATTTTTTAAACAAGATTGTAAATAATTGCTTTAAATAAATCTTATACACAATGTAAAAATAAATTGTACTTCAAAAATTTAATTAAATTTATTTAAAGCTTATTTCATACTTAAAATTAATTAAATGTAATTAAATGTAATTAAATGTAATTTCTCAAATTATTTTGAATATAAAATTATTTATTACGAATATAATGTTCATTTAATTATTTTAATTAATATATCTTACAATTAATTCAAATTTTAAAACCTGTTTAATCACTTGTATATAAATTTATTTTTTGCATGTATAATATTATGAAAAATATATTTTTATTTTATCTGTTTATAAACATTACAAAAAAATAATACAAGAAATAAATAGTTAAATTAATTTCAGTTTTAAAATAGTTATTGCAAAAATTACAAAATATCAAGTAAATAAATATTTTTATAACTTTCTAATTAATAATATGTACTGTCAATTAGAAATAAATTTATTAATCATTTCAAGAGCAACTTCAGGTTAGTCCATGGGAACTTAGTGACCAGCTTGATAAACTCTGAAGAATTGCAAAATACCAGCACTTTTAATTTGACCAGCACTCTTTCCGTTAATGATGTATTCTTCAAATTTAGCATTTTTGAATTCTTCTTACTTAGTCCATTCCATTTCATTTACCCATTCTAAGCCACCACTTTTATTTATTTATTTAATTAATTAATGTAACAATAAATATAAATTTTATTGTAATAAAATTACAGATAATTGCAAATAAAGTCTTAGTCTCCGCTATAAACCAAAACCTTGATTCCGTTTTCAAGAATATCAGCGACCTTATCAGCATAGCTTACAAAATAATCTCTAGAAAGAGCCTTATGTACTTCATTAGAACACTCCTACCAGGTTCTACCAGAAACACCTAAAATAGATTTTACATCATCTCTGGCAAGGAAATTATCAAGATTTGTCATATTGTAGCATAAAGAACCTTCGCATTTTTTTCTAATATCGTAGACATTAAACTTTGGAACTTCTCCAAATCCAACAATTGTTTAATAGGCTAGATTGCATGTGTTACTAATTTTAGTTAAAGAGGCGTTTCTACCTATCAAATATGAGCACGTTTTTAAAACAGGTTTAATAAAAGCATAGTATTCTAATGAAGAAATAAGTTTATTTTCATAAGCATATTGACCGTAAGCTGGATATTAAACTTTGGGGTTAACCTATTAATTTAAATGTAAATTATTAAATATTATAGTTGCTTAATTTATCATACCAATCCGTTTCCAATAGCGAGACCTTATAAATTAATATGAGGGTTATTTTTTTTTATTAATTCATAACCTATTGCAGGAATGAAGTGACCAGCATAAGATTCCCCTGTAATAAACAAAGGTCTTCCAATATATTATTGATTCTAATTTAAGAATCCCAAAAGGAAATTGTAAAAATTTTAAGCTACTTGGTCTTCGTTTGTAGATAGCTCTTCAGTACTAGCTTTAGAGAAACCAGTTCCTACAGGTTGGTCAACAAAAACAACATTTGCCTTTTCATTCCAAGAATAAGGATTGCTTGAAAGAGTCTAGTTATCATTTACGATAAAAGGACCATTTTCTAAGAAAAGTGCAAGTTCTGAAGAACAGCCAGGACCACCACTAAGCCAGAAAACAATAGGATCGGTTGCTGGATTAGATCTAGACTCAAAATGCCAGTAGAAAATATCACTAGATTTTTGAATATTTACAAATCCCGTAGTGTATGTTTCATTAAGGAATAAAGGATTTTAAGTACAAGTACCAAAGGTAAACAGACTCAACAATAATAATAAAGTAATTCTCATTTTTTATTTATAGTATTTTCAATAAATTTTTCTATTTGTTTATTTAATTATAAAATTTGTGGGTTATTTAGTTAAAATTTTATATTAAAAAATAGGCTTTTAAGATTTTTTGATAATATCAATAAATATACCTTATTTAACCTAGTTGTTCTTTTATAAGATTTCCCTTGATTATATTTAAATTCTTTTACATAAATTGGCATTACAAATAAATAAATTTAACTTTTTACAAGAATTTATAAGATTTAATTAATCTAATTAATTATTTCACATGCATTTATTTTAATTTGTATTTTTTATTTATGACATTATATGTCAAGTTAAATTATTTTTTAAGTAATTATAAAGAAGTTAATTGCTTTATTTAAATATCAACTAACTCAATTTTACTTATTAAATATATTAATATGTATTTTATGAAATTACTTATTTTATTATTATGATCATTGATAAGATTAAAAATAATTTTTAATACATAAATGAATTAATATTCTATTCAAATCCTGTTATGTATGTTTCATTCAGAAACAAAGAATTTTAAGTAAAAAAACCCAAGGCAAGTAAACTTAATATTAAAATTGCTTTTCTCATATCAAACAAATTTCTTATCTGATTTTTAAATAATTTATTTAATTAATAAATTATAAATTTTTTAATTATTTGGCGAAGGTTTTAAACAAAAAATATTTCAATAACCTTAGAGAATGTAATTATTAAATAATTATTGTTTTTAAAATCCTTATTTAGATAGAATGTAAATAGGTGAGCCAAAATATAAAATTTAATTTAGAATTTATGCATAAATAAATGCTAAGATATCTAGATGCTTTAAAATAATTATAAATCTCATTTTTATTAATTTCAAAATGATTTTAAATCTAACCATATCATAAATGCTCAATATTTTTTTCTCTTATCTAATATAAAATATATTACTTTTAATTTTGAGAATGAATATTTATCATTTTACAATTCCTATTGCAATTGAAAATGAAATGAGTAAAAAAATATAAGTTTTCATTATTTTAGAAATTTATTTTCTCAAATTCAATTTGAGAAAAAATTACAAACTTTTAATTTCTCAAAACTATAATATTGTGATTATAATAATTAAAAAGAATATTATAAATACTATCTGCATATTTATAGAAATTTATTATCTTATTCTGTAGGTGATTTAATTTAATCTCAACAATATTATTAGAATAAAAAAAACAAACATTATGTATGATATTAGCAAAAATTATTTTACTAAAATTTACAAGTGAAGAAATGTCTGATTAAATAAAATTAATATCAAAAATAATTTTATTTTAAAACATATTATAAATTTATTTCCATTACTGTAATAATTTATGATAAAACAATTAAGTTTTTGTCAGAGCTAATTATGAGGGAGGATTGTAATAAATTTAAAAAGGTCTCTTGACAAGATTATTTCATTTTAAATATAATCAAAACATTTTCCATTTTATCAAATTCAACTTATTTATTTGTGCAAAAATTAGTTTTTTAAATATTTTCAAAAAAATTCCTATTTTTTTATTGCTCTTGTCACTTGCTATCAGATGATTGATAAGCTATTTTAAAAGTACCAAATGTTTTACTTTAATAATACATAAAAAAATGAATAAATTATTTTTAACTAAAATTAGAGAACAATTTATTACTAATAAAGAATAAGTTAACTTTTTCATTTTATAAATCTGATATTTGAAATATTTTATACTAAGTCACAATCAAACACATGTTTTATAATGGTAATTAAAGGTAATGGTTGTTAAATTTATAAATCAGCACCTTTTTTTTAATAAAAAATAACCAAAATTTGTGATCGATAGTAATAGTTGTAAAATTTTTATTTTTAGCTATTGATTAAAAATATTACTTTTTATCCTTTTGAAATGTTAAAATTTTAATATGAATATTTGATTAATATTTTTCTAAATGTAAGTGATAAATTTTTAAGATAATAAATATAAGTGGACAAAATTTATCAATTATTAAATTAAAAAATAAAATAGGAAAAATAAGATTTTATTGAACAGAAATGCTAAATAATATGAAAGATAAAATAAAGTAATTCGAAATTCCTTATTAAATATCTTATGAGGATGCTCTAAATTACTAAATTTGTAAAGAGACTGATAAAGAGTATTTAGAATGTGCTAATAATTTTTATAGAAATATTTTTGAAAAAATAAATGAGAATATGACATCATATCATTTTTTTGATAGCTTAAAGTTTGGTGCTAGTGAAATCAATCATAATACAGGTTTGCTTATAAGAAAAGATTGTACATCATATCTAGGTAAAATAATAAAAAAATTAGGAGTTAATGTAGGAGCTAAAAAATGTAGGTTGGAAAACTTTAAATATGAACAATAAAAATTAAGAAAACTACGAGAGTCTAATAATTAAGATGACACAGTAGAAGAGCGATATAAAAACTTAGAATTAAGAGTAATTAAGCGCATAAACTCAAATAAATTTAGTTCTACTAAAAATTGCTATGACTTTATTTTACTTCACTTTTTGTCACATGAAAAATTAAAATTAATAGAAAAAATGAATAATTCTGACATTAAAAATAAAGCATAATAACAAGAAAAAAAATCTAATCAAATTATGCTTACGAGGTATTTTAAGTATGAAAAATAAAAGGTAAGCTAGATACCAGATTAAAAGTAGATATTATGTGACATTAAAGCTAATAATATTGAGGTAATTAAAATTAAAGAGAACTTACAATAAGAATTATCTCAATAGTAAACTTAATCATAGAAATTTTTCATAGCAAATGAGTTAAAAAACTATGAATTTCAATAAAATAAGCCTAAAAAATAGAATTTAAACACCTATAAAATATAAGATGAAATAATACCTTAAATAAGGAATTAGTTAATATAAAATCAGGAGCAAGAAGAAGAAAAAGCATAATATTAAGAAGAAAAATATGATCAAAAAGAATAGTAAGAAGAAGAAGATTATTAATAAACATAATACTTGGAGGAATATTAATAAACATAATACTAAGAAGAATAAAATGAATAAAAATAAGTAGAGGAAGAATATTAAGAAACTTAATACTTGGAGGATTAACAAACATAATAAGAAGAAGAGTAATGTTAAGAAAAGTAATGCTCAAAAGAATAAAAAGAACAAAGATGCTAAGAAGAAAATATCGTATGCGATGAAATAAATAGTAATACTATGCTTGAGGAGGAAATTAAAAGTTTAATTTATGATCTTTAACAAAGCTAATAATAATCACAGTAATTACTTGAATTAGATAAAAATGTATTTAGAAAAGATGAAACACTCTTAGAAATTATTCAACGAAAAAATAGTTAATAAGATTTGAATAATAATTAGTAATAGTTCAGTATTAAAAATTAGCATCATTCACTTTTAGATAATTCAAAAAAATTTTAATGCGAGAGCAATAACTAGCCAGTTAATATGTCAAATCAAATCAAATAAGAATATAAAGATTAAAAACCAAAAGATGATTAATTCACAAGTCATAAAGAAAAGCTTGAAAATTAAATCAAAGATTTAAAATATTAACTTTTAAAGACAAAATTATAAATAGCACAGCAATAAATGAAAATGTTTTTTACATAATACCCTGACTATATCCCTTAAGATAGTCAAAGCCAATAGGATCTTTGTTATTATTAATGAGTGATAAATAAATAAATTTATTTTTAAGAATGCTTTTATTTTTTATAATTTAAAAATTTTTTCTATATATTTAGAAATGATATACAGTATTACAAAAAAAATTTAATACATTTTATTTATAATCCTTAATAAGAATTATTCTTAAAAATTAACAAAATCAATAATAATTCTCTTAATTATTTTTTTAAAAATAATACTTTTTAAATATTTAACAAATAAATATTAAAAGATGCATGCAAAAAAAACAAACAAACAAACAAACAAAAATAAAATAAATAAATTTGTCTTTTGTTTAATTTTATTTTTTATAGAAATAATTTTATTTTTTAGTTCGGATATATATTTAATTTAAGAAACCAAAGAATTTCAAACTTGTTAATTAAAAACGTTTTTATCATTTTAAATCGCGCTTTAATTTAAATAATTTAAATTATTATTTGTTTAATCAAATATTTTCTCATAATTTTTTTAAAATAAAAAATTTAATAATTGGATTAAACAATTTTTTGATAGCTTTTTAGGAAAATTTATAAAAATTAAGATTCAAGCTTTAATTTTCATTTAATTAATAAGTTGAAAAGAATTAAAAGCCTTCTTTATACATCAAAATATTATTATGATATATAAATAAAGATGAAACTAACAACAATTGTTAAATCAAAATAAAATATCAAATAAGGGCAAAAAAATTGTATATCTGTTAAAGGAATAGTAAAATAGCTTTAACTTGAAATAACGAGAATAGAATGAGATTAAATAAGTTACCATCTTTTCTTTTTTAAAGGACAAAATTGTTCGTAATTTATTAAGAATATAAAGACAAGCGTATATCAAATATATATAATTCTTAGTTCATGAAGGGAATTAATAAATATAATAAAAATTAAATTAATTAAATAAATAAATAAAAATAATCGAATAAGAAAATGGATTGCAATTCTCAGGAAAAAGTAAAATATTTTTAGATTGATTACAAATTGTCTAAAGGTGACAATTACAAAGTGAAAGATGGTATGAATTTGAAAACAGAATTTTTTGAAAAAATGAATGATTTTTATGACAGCTTGTTTGAAAGAATCTTAGAGACTTTACCATCCTTTAAATTGTTTAATGACTATAATTTTGATTTAAATGAGATCAGTCACAATACTTGCTTGCTAATTGGAAAGGATTGCAATTGGGACGTGTGTTAAATATTCCATAAAATAGGGTTTTAAAGGTTGGCAAGAAGGGTCTTATTACCAGACATAAGATGTAACTAAGCAAAAGTAGGGAATCAATTAAATAGAGATTCAGAAGAATTTAAAAAATTATAAAATTTTGTGTTAAGAATAGTAGGATAATATGATCAAGATCATGTACTATCTACTAAAAAATATGGCGAGTTTATTTTACTTCACTTTTTGTCAGTATAAGAATTAAAAAAAGTCAAGTATGAACAACCAGAAACCATATATAACTATTTATAGCCTTAAAAATCGAATAAAGATACAAAATCAGATTAAAAGTTAAATAATAACATAAAGTAGTCTCACAACTTCTAAATGATATCAGACTAGTAATCTCAGTAAGAGCTTTAATCCTTATGTGCTTCAGATTTCAATAAAAATAAATCGATAGACTAAAAAAGCATTCTTGAAAAAATCAACTCTGCTCCAAGCGGTTAATTTAAAAATGAGAAACCATTTAATTTAGCAAATGAAAATAACTGTAATAATCAAATGGAATTAGAATAAATTGATGATTTTGACGACAGATAAACATGTTCTGATAATGATATATACCAGATAGACAGAGGAGATTACTATTAATTTACTACAAATTAAAAAAGAAATAATGAAAACTATATTTTCTAATAGTAAGAGAAAAGTAATTAAGAAAAGTTAATTAGAGATAATTTTAGCCTAAAAAACACCTCTTTAAATCAAATTTAAATAGAAAATAATAATTAATAGATTAATCTAAGATCTAATAATAATCAAGCATAATTAAACAAAGAATTAAAAAGCGCTAAAGATGTTTCAATCTCTAATTAAAGTTCACTAATTTAAGAAAATCAAAAATAAAATCCACTAAATTTTCAATAATAGTAAAGTGATACTTTATAAGAAGATTTAGAATTAAATGTACTTGAAAAAGAATTTAAAAGGTGCAAAGAGGAATATTTAGATTCAAAGAAGGAAAAAAAAGATATAGAGTATAAAGCAATTTTAAAGAAAGTCAAGTTCTTTTAAAATGGGCTTAAGTTAGCAAAATTAGAATAGGAGAAGTTTTTAAAATAAAACCCAGACTACAATGTTCCATAAAAGCAGAATTAGCAACAATCTAAAGGATATTTATTTATTGAGTGATCCATAAAATACTAATAAGAATAAAAATTAATAACTAATTGAGAAAATATTCACATAGTAACTAAATTTAATACTCAACAAGAAAATATATTTTATTTTTTTAAATAATTAATTTACTTTTATTTCTTTGTCTTTTCTTTTTAGAAATTTGTCTCCTTTTTACATTAAAATACTTTATTTTATAATAAATAACACTTTGTTTTACAATTCTATTATCTGAAATTTTAATTTACTATTTATCCACGCAAAATTTAGATATCTACTTATCAATTAGATTAAAGATATTGAAAAATAATTAATTAAAAACGTCATTTTATCTTTTGCCAATAAAATCTTTTTAATTTTTTTAGTACAATATTTTTAATCTATACTTATAATTATTTAGCTTGCAGTTAACCAATCAATTGGTTAATTAAAAAACCAACACTTTCTAAATTTATTTTTCTTTCTATATTTTCAATTGAAATATTAACGAATATATGGATATTTATGAAAATATTTAATCAATTTAATTTATTCTTTCTATTAAATTATGCGGTTAGAGATAAACTTTTCAGATGATAAATTTTAATTAATTTAATTAATTGAAATTAATTTGAAAAAAAGTAAAAAAGTTTCTGTTAAAAAAATGGAAGGTAATACAAAACAAAAAGTAAAGTATTTCTAAATTTCTTATCCGCTATCTTAATAAGATATTAGGTATTACCCAATTAATTAGGAAAAAGATAAAGAGTTTCTTGAAAATACTAATACTTTTTACAGATATTAATTTGAAAAAATAAGTGAGAATAGGGAGTAATATCACTTATTTTAAGACTTTATATTTGATACTAAAGAAATTGAGCATAACACATGTTTGCTATTAGGAACAGAATTCACATCATACTTGGCTAAAATTATTGAACAGCTAGGATTTGATAGGAGATATTCCAATATGAAATTAGAGGATTTTAGATACTATCAAGCAAAAGCACGCAAACCACGTGAGTCAAGCAATTAGGAAAAAACAGTAGCACAGTAATGCGAAAATTTAGAATTGAGAATCATAAAAACTAAAGAATAAAACAAATAAAACTTGGCTAAAAACAATATTGATTTTATTTTACTTCATTTTTTGTCACGCGAAGAGTTAAAAAAAATGGAAAAAAAAAATAATGATAAAGAGAAAAATAAAAATGAGCAAAATGAAAATAAACTTACAAATTACTTTCGATAAAAATAAAAGATAAATTAAATAATAGATTAAAAGCCTTTTCCATGTGACTCAAACACTACCGTATAGAATGAAATTTATAATAACTAGATATTATAATAGTAGTTGCCATAATAAATAGGTTAACAAGAACCTTAACATTAGTCTGAAATATATATAAAAAATTAGCAGATAGATTAAACGTCCATTTCACACGACTTTAACACAGTTAAATTGAATGAAATTTAAAATAAACAAATCTAGCAATTACCACAAGAGATAAATTAACATGTGCAATTATCCTTCTCTGGTTTAATAAAAAATCAAGGCTTAAAATAAAATGAACAAAATAAATTAGTAGAAAACAATATCGAAAACTAAAATTAATAGACAAAACTGAGTGACTTAGAAATTTAATACAAAAAAAAATTCTAATAAGAAATCATCTTTGATTAAAGTCATCAACTTGAAGACGAAATAAAGGCTTTGAAAAGCGATCTTTAAAAAAGCTAAATATAATCATAATAATTATTTGAAGAAAATGAAAAAATATCTGCAAACGCTAACGATGATAAACTATTTGATATTATACAAAAGAAAAATAATTAATAGGATTTTTGTCAAATTTAGTAATAGCTTAATATTCAAAATCAGAATAACTCGTAATTTAATAATTTTAACTCCGACAACTATAACTAATTTATTAATAGAGCAAATTAAATTAATTAAGAGTAATCTTAGTATAACCAACAAAGCAATTGCAATTTTAATTATTATTAAAGTTTGGAAAAGCAAATAAAAGACCTCAAATATTAAGTTTGCAAAATATAACTAGAAAATGCTTAATAAAAAATGAAAATGTTTTTCACACTTTATCCAGATTATATTCCTGAATAAAATTTAAGCCAACAAAATAATTTATATTATAAATGAACTATTGATGAAATTATTACTTAATTATTTTATTTTATTTTTTAATTTTGTTAAAAATAATTTATGAAAATTACTTTTTTTTTTTAGCTAAATTATTTACATTTTTGTCGAAAGAAAATTTATTTTCTAACAGATATATTTTTATTTGTATATTTCAATATTAAATTAATTAGCATTTTTCTTAAATTTTAAGTAAATTTTAATAGCTCAATAATTTTTAGTAAAATATGTTAAATATGCTGTTTAAATCTATTTAATAAAAAGCAATAAAAAATAAAAATCCATTTTATCAAAATATTTCAATATTTTTTATTTTACACTGATTTAAATTAACTCCGTATGATGTGTGACTCTTAGTTATGATCACTGTATTTATTTCGAAATTTTGGCACTTATTAAATTTTTTGAACTTCTATTTGTACATAGACTTGAAAAAATATATAACCTAGGTTACTATATATATATATATATATATGATATACTTTAATTATACATAAAATAAATAAATTAATTATTTTCAATTATAATTAAGGAACAATTAAATACTAGAAAATAATAATCTAATTTTCCCAATTTTAGATTAGAAATTATTTAAAGAAAAAATAGTTTTTAAATTTTAATAAAAATTAGTAATAGTTGAGTATTAAAAATTATCTTCACTCAATTTAAAGTTAATTAAAATAATTTTTAATGTGAGAGCAATAACTAACTAACCAATAAATTAGTAAATGAAATAAGAATATGAAGATTAAAAACCAAAAGGTACTTAATTTACAAATCACAAAGAAAAGCTTGAAAAGAAAATCTATCATCTAAAATAAAAATTTTTAAAGCAAGGTTATAAGTAGAGCATTAATAAATGAAAATATTTTTTACATAGTATCCTGAATATATCCCTTAAGAAAATCAAAACCAATATGATCATTATTATCACTAATAAATGTATATGATGATTACATTTATTTTAAGAATGCTTTTTTTTATAATTTAAAAATGTTTTTTAATGCTAAAATTATTTTTGGAAATTATTTATTATTAATTAAATTAATTTAATACATTTTATTTCCAAACTTTAATAAAAAATAGAAATATTAACTAAAATAATAATAATTTGCATAATTATTATATAAAGAATTATATATTTTAAATATTTTAACTGATAAATGTTAAATGATTTATTCCAAACAAACAAAGTTTGTACTTTTGTTTAATTATTATTTTAATTTATTTATATTGAAATAAATTTATTTAAAAGTTTGGATTTAAAATTTTAAGAAGTCAAAGAAGATTAAATTTTTTAATTAAAAATGTTGTTTGTTATCTTTTTAAATCGCGCTTTAATTTGAATAATTTAAATTATCATTTTTTTAAACAAATATTTTCTCATAATTTTTTTTGAAATAAAAATTTAATAATTGGATTAAACAATTTTTTGATAGTTTTTTGGGAAATTTATAAAAAATAAAGATTCAAGTTTTAATTAATTTAAACCACAAAGAGGATAAGAATAAAAGGCATATAGAGCAATTTGCTAATATGATATATAAGTAACTATTAAACTAAGAATAAAGGGTAAAATCAAATTAAAGTTAAAAAAGTTTATGCTAAAGGAGTTAGTAAAATTAAAATAGAATTTAAATAACGAGAAAAGAATGAGATTAAACAAGCAATCATATTTCATTTTAAAAAGACAAAACATTCATACTTTATTAAGATTATGAAGAAAAGCAAGCATTTATATAATATATATAAAGCTTAATTCGCAAAGGCAATTAATATAATAAATAAATTAATTAAATAAAACTAATTGAATAAAAAAATGGAAAGCAATTCTAAGGAAAAAATAAAATATTTTTAGATCGAATACCAATTGTTCTTAGAAGACAATTACAGTGTAACTAAAGATATTGATTTGGAAACAGAATTTTTTTAAAACATGAACAAATTTTATGTCAGCGAGTTTGGAAAAATCTTAGAGAAATTGCCATCCTATGAATTGTTTTAGGACTACAATTTCGATTTAGATACGATCAGTCACAATACATGTTTTTTAATTGGAAGGAATTGCAAAAAATGGGACAATGCTGAAATATTCAATGAAATAGGGTTTGAAAGATTAGCAAAAAAGATCTCTTTAAATGACATAAGATGCAACTAAGCAAGAATAGGTAATCAATTAAATAAAGATTCAGCCAAATATAAAAAATTAAAAAATTTCAAACTAAGGATAATAAGATAATATGATAAAGATAATAAAAAATCTACCAAAAAATACGGCGATTTTATTTTACTTCACTTTTTATCATTGTAAGAATTTAAAAAAGCCAAGAGTTACCATTCATCTCAAAAAAAAACCATAGATAACTACTTATAACCTTAAAAAGTGTAGAAAGAAGCAAAATCAGATAAAAATTTAGATAATGACATATAATAGTCCCATAATTTCTAAATGATATCAAACTAGTAATCTCAGTTAGACTTAAATATCTCAGGTTTCAATAAAAATATTTCAATAAACTAAAAAAGCTCTATTGAAAAAATCAACTGTACTCTTAGCGATTAAAATAAAAATGAGAAACCTTTTAATTAATTAAATGGTAATAATCTTAATAATTAAATGGAATTAGAATAAATTGATGACTTTAAAAGAGAAACATGTTCTGGTGATGGAATATATCAAACAGAAAGTGGAGATTACTATTAACTTTAGACAAATCAAAAAAGAAATTAAGAAATTCATCTTTTCAAATAGGAAATGAAAAGCAGTTAAGAAAAGTTATTCAGAGATAATTTGAGATTACAAAACACCTCTTAGAATCAAATTTTAACAGAAAATTTTAATAAAAAGATTAATCTTAAATCTAATAATAATTAAGCATAACTGAGGAAAGAATAAGAAAGCATTAAAGATATTTCAATCTCTAATTAAAATATATAAATGTATGATAGTAACAAATATAAACCACTAAGCTTTCAGTAATAATAAAATGATACTTTATAAAAAAAATTAGAATTAAATGAAGTTGAAAAAAAATTTAAAAGATCGAAAGAAGAATATATAGATTCAGAGAAGGAAAAAATAGATACAGAGTATAAAGTAATTTTAAAGAAAGTGAAGTGCTTTGAAAACGGGCTTTAATTAGCAAAACTAGAATTGGAGACATTTTTTAATTAAAACCCAGGCTATAATGTTAAAAATATGCAAAATTAACAATCCAAAATCTATTAGATAGATGATTGATTGATTAATTAAATATTAATAAGAATATAAATTAATAATTACATCAGAAAATATTCAAATAATAACTAAATTTAATAGTCACATAAGAAAATAAATGTTTTTAAAAAAATAATTTATTTTTTTTTCTTTCTTTGCCTTTTCTTCTACTAGAAATTTGTCTCTTTTTTTATATTAAAATACTTTTGTAATTCGATTATCTGAAATTCATATTTGTTATAGATACACGCAAACATTTGACATTAATTTTTCGCGCAAACATTAGACATTATTTTTCAACTCAAAGATTAGAAATCACCTAAATCAATTAACTTGATCAAAGAGATGGAAAAATTATTTAATTAAAAATTTCATTTTATCCTTTGTAAATAAAATAATTTTAATTTTTTTAGAGGAATATTTTTAATCTATACTTATAAATTTTTAGCTTAAAGTTAATCAATAATTGATTGGTTTTTCTCTCAACTAATTAAAAAGCATGCATGTAATCACCTTTCTAATTAATTTTTCATATTAAATATATTTTCAATAATATAAATTGAACTATGAACATACATATCTATGAAAATATTTAATTTATTATTTTTATACTGTTAGAGATAAACTTTTTCATAATGTGAATTTTAATTTATAATAAAAAAAAATTAATTAATTGAAATTAGAAAGAAAAGTGAAAAAAGTTTCTGTTAAAAAAATGGAAAATATTACAAAACAAAAAGTTAAGTATTTCTAAATTTGTTATCCACTATCTTAATAAGATAGTAGGGATTACAGAATTATTTATAAATAAGATAGTAATAATTAGGAAATTGGCAAGAAATAAGATAGTAGGGATTAGGAAATTCGCTAGAAATAAGATAGTAGGGATTACGAAATTGGCTAGAAATAAGATTGTATGGATGAGGAAATTTGCTATAAATAAGATAGTAGGGATTAGGAAATTGGCTAGAAAGAAAATAATAGTGAGGAAATTGGCTAGAAAGAAAATAGTAGTGAGGAAATTCGCTAGAAATAAGATGATGAGTTTCTTGAAAAGACTAATACTTTTTACAGAGAGGAATTTGAAAAAATAAATCAGAATATGGAATCATATCACTTATTTAAACACTATATATTTGATAGTGAAGAAATTATGCATAACACATGTTTGCTATTAGGAACAGATTTCAAAAAAAATATGTTTAAAATTTATGAAGACCTAATATTTGATAGGAGGACAATCAAGGTGACTTTAGATGATTTTATATACTATCAAGCAATGACACGCAGGCCACACAAACCAAAAAATTAGGAATAAAGAGTAGCACAATAATATTAAAATTTTGAATTAAGAATCATAAAATCAAAAAAATAAAACAAAAAAAACTTGGCTAAATTTATTTTGTTTCATTTTTTGTCGCGCGAAGAGTTAATAAAAATAGAGAAAACAATAAACAACAAAAAAGTAAAAAATTAACCACAAAAAAATGAGTCAAATAAACTTACAAATTACTTTAAACCTTAAAAATAAAAGATAAATTAAAAAATAGATTAAAAGCCTTTTTCATGTGACTCAAACACTATCGAATTGAATGAAATTTAAAAAAACTAGTTCTTATAAAATTAGTTGCCATAATAAATAGGTTAACAAGAGCCATAATTTTAACCTGAAAAATAAAAAATCAATTAGATGATAGATTAAATATCCATTTAACACGACTTTAACACAGTTAAATTGAATGAAATTTAAAATAAACAGATCTTAGAATAGCAATTACCACAAGAAGTAAGTTAGCAATAGCACTTTTCCTTCTCTGGTTTACTATAAAATTAAGGCTTAAAATAAAATGAACAAAATAAATTAGTAGAAAACTTTATTGAAAGCGAAAATTAATAGAGAAAACTCAGTGACTTAGAAATATAATACTATAAAAAATTTAAAAAAGAAACCTTCAAGGATTCAAGTCATCAACTTGAAGAATAAATAAAGTCTTTGATAGGTGATCTTTAACAAAGCTAAAAATAATAATTATTTTTAATTGAAGAAAATTAAAAAATATCTGCAAATGCTAACGATTATAAACTATTGGATATTATTCAAAAGAAAAATAATTAATAAGATTTTTGTAAAATTTAGTAATAGCTTAATATTCAAAATTAGAAAAATAGGCATTTAAATAATTTTAACTCAGAAAATTATAACTAATTTATTAATAGAGCAAATTAAATTAATTAAGAGTAATCTTAGTATGACTAGCAAAGCAATAGCAATTTTAATTATTAATAAAGTTAGGAAAAGCAAATAATAGACCTCTATTTTTAAATTTGTAAAGTAGAACTAGAAAATGCTGAATAAAAAATGAAAATGTTTTTCACACTTTATCCAAATTATAATCCTTAATAAAATTTAATCCAATAAAATAATTTACATTTATGAATGAATTTTATTTTATTTTTTAATTTTGCTAAAAATAATTTATGAAAATTACTTGCTTGCTTATTATCATTTTTATTATTAAGCTTAAATAAAATTGTATACTTTGTTGAATTTATTTGAAAATCTTATTTAACAAAATTAGAATTTTCTAACAAATATATTTTTAATTGTATATTTCAAAGTTAAATTTCCGTAAATCCTCATTAATTCTCACCAGCATAAATTTTCACGATATTTTCTGAATATTTATAAATAAACTATGCATGCTTATATAAAAAATACCACTCTCTTATTATATAATATAAATTTGTAGGGAAGAAATACAAACAAACAAAAATAATATTAATAAAAATTAGTAAGATATAATTAATAATTTTGTTTTTTTTAAAAATTTTTATTTTCATAATATATTATTTCAATTCAAATTTATATTTGTAAATGATAATAAATAAATAAATAAATAAATAAATAAATAAAGTAACTGGATTTAGGAATTATTTGTGGATAGCTAAGATTTTTGTTTCAAAGAAATTCTATATTTATTATATTTATTTTGCAAAATTAATTGTAAAATATTTTATTTAAAATTTAAAAATAATTATGTAGATTATGTATATGAATGTATAAGTTACATTTAGTATTTTATAAGTTATTAATTAATATATTAATCAAATTAATCAAAATGAAAGTTATTTTTTATGATTTTTTAGTGATTTAATTTTAGCCTGTTTTTCAAATACTTAAAAGTACTAAAAATGTTACATAGAAAGCTCTTATATCAGAAAAATTAATACACCCAGACCCATCTTTTCTAGATTTTTTTTATTTAGATCCAAAACATATTTAGCAATCCTAGTCTGTCCATTTATTCTATTTCAATATTCTATTTATGCAAGATGCGCTAGACTGAACACATTAATTCTTTTGTGTATTAACAAAGTAATTTAATCCTTTACAAGAATGGCAATATGAATCAGTTAAATATTCATTAGTGGCACAATCACAGTTAGCAACCTCACAAGAGGGTTGCTAGCCTTACCAATAACATCCTTTTGGCAATCTGTAGCTTAAAGAGCAAACTCTAGAACACAGCAAATTTCCCTCACCACAAGAAATTTGTTAAACACCTGGGGAAGCTGCAATAGCAAATTATAAGAGGATGAAAGCTGTTAAATATAAACACTTTTTCATGAAAAATATTTTACTTTAGTAAGAAAAACTAGATTAAGGTAGTTATTTAATTTGTATAATTGATGTGGAAAATACTTAAAAAATATCAAATTTATCGATACTTATCAAAATTAAACAAAAAAAAATTTATTAATAAAAAAGTAAATCTTCCTTAAAAATTAGTTCAGGAATATCATTATTAATTAATTTAATAAATATAAGCAAGTATAGACATTTTTTTTTAACCTTTTCTGATATTTTCTAATAATTTATTATTTGAAATTATCAACAAACATTTACAAAACAGCAATAATATTATGCATACTTTATGTAAATCGAAGATGATTTTAATCAATTGTAAAGTTGTTAGATATCGCTCGCTGTTTTCAATATAAGTTTTAAAGAACATTTTTATCAAATATCACTAATAGATTATCTTTCATTACTTTTAGTTAATTTTATTTTCTTTCATAATTTCGATAAATACTTAAAGCATTAAAAATGAATTGATAACATTTTAAAATTAATAAATAAAAATACCTATTTTAAAAATTAATTTAAATAAATACATTTAACACATTAATTTATCCTGTTTTAATAAAAATAGGAAAAAGAAAAAAAATTTTGAAATAATTTTATTTTTTACTTTTTTAATAAACAAAATTTAGGATTTTAATAAACGAAATGAAATTTATCTTTTGTTCTAATTTTCATCTTTATAAAATTAGATATTTAAATTTAAATAAAATTATATTATTTGAATGATATTTGTAATTTTATGTGAACATTTGATTAATATATAAAAATTAATAACATATTATATTATATAATTACTACAAATTTTAATAAAAATGATAATTTTGCAATATTCTTTATTTAGTTCTTATTTAAAATATAAATATTTAATTTTTCACCTTTAATAAATTTGTTTGCTTTTTTCTTTCTGTACCATTGTTTCTACAAAAAATAAGTTCATAAATACTAAATTTAGTTTCTTCTTTAAATTAAAGTTAGTAAATATCAATTTTTCTTTAAGTAAATAATTATTTTTTAGGCTTATTGCATACTAAATATTTGCTTGGCTTGGAATATGATAGGCAGGCCTTTTTCTGATAGGTGAGAACCAACTTTTAATAATTCCAATTGTTAAATCCTTCCTAAATAATAAAATTTTATGTAATTTAATAGAAAATAATGTAATACTTTCTAAAGTATCCTTAATTTTATTTTGATTCGAATCAAAATTCTTACATTAAATAATTATTAATTTTTGATGAAAAAAAAAGTAAACTCAAATCACTAAATAAATTATTCATTTAATCAAAGCTTTTAATTTTAGCTCAAAAAATCATAAAATCTATTTGATTACAACAATCATTTAAAAATATATTCTTTATTTTAGTTTAAAATATTATTATATTCTGTAATCCCTCTATAATTAAGACATTAAGATATTAACAGCAAATTTCTTCATTTAATTACCGTAGAATTTTTATTTTGAAAAAATATAGTTTTTTTGAAATATCAAAAAATAATTGAATTTATATTAGCTAGTTAGTTATAATATTTAGAAAAAATTTGTAAATAAAAATAATAAAAACACTGTCTGTTTGTCTATTTAGTTAGTTAGTACGAGGAAATCTTTCAAATATTATTTGGGATAAATTATGTAAATAAATAAAAAAATATTTTTAGAAATAAAATGAATTATATAATCCTCCAAAACATGCAAAACAAGTAATGTAGATGATATACATATTCCATCAATTATAATAATAAGTTTATTATTTATCAAAATATTTTAAGTAATAAATAATAGTTTTTTAATTAAATCAGAGGAGCAATAAAAGTAAACCGAAGAAAGAAGCAATGAGAACATTAGCAGAGGTTGAGCATGAACCCTTAACAATCTTTTAGTTGGTACTTCCAGTACAAGTATTGCAATCATTAACTGTCCAAGCGTTAGTACCTCTATTAAGGCATGAGTATGAAGATTAAACACAAGCAGTTTAGGCAGTGTTGGCAAAATAAGTAGCTCCCTTGCAAGATGCACAATAAGCATCAGTAAGCTTAGTAGTAGAACAAGTACATTCACTTACAATACAAGCACCAAAATTACCTGAGTATGTGCAACCAGTAGGTAAGGGGAATGAAGCGGGACAAGCACTTGTACATGCAGTACCAGCAGTACCAGTGCAAGGAACATTTCCTGTACCAGCAGCAGCCAAAATAACTTAGAGTAAAGCTAAGGAGACGATGATTTATTTGATAGCCATTTTTTTTATTTTTTATGTTTATTTGAAATTGCTTGTTTGTTTGTTTATTTATTTATTTATTTTTATTGATTTATTATTTTTTATATAATTTTATAAAATCAAACAGCTGCATATAAACTAGCAAACTTGATATGTTTGCTTAAAATAGATGGTAATATAAACATATAAAAACTTATAACTGAATGAATTTTGAAATTAATCACAGATTTAATCAAAAATTAAAAAGTGTAAAGATATAATTTTTTATATTAAAATTAGAAATATAGACCTCATCTGATTTAATCTGATATGACCTAAATTAAAAATTCAAAATAAAACTATAATTTTATTTCATCATCGCTACCATCTAATATTCTTTTATTGATTTTTCTAAGAAAATAATTTCTAAAATAGTATGTATGTTTTTTGTGTATAAAAAAAATATTTTTCGAATATTGTCTACCATTTTTATTCGTTTCAAAAATATCATATTTAATACATCCATCTATGTATACTTTTCATTCTGAGATAAAACAGGGGGGAAAATTTAGATTTAATAGTTTTGATAATATGGAGTTGTAAGTTAAATAGATGTTAAAAATTGATATTTTGTGACTTAGTAACTGAGTGATTTTCTTTTTAAAAAAGTAAAATAATTTGAATAGAATTTAGAAAGATTATCGAATTGGTGATTTTGTTAAGTTTATCAGTGATATTTGATAACAAAAAAAGATCTAAAGGAATCAAATGATTCTGTCTATTTGATTATTATTATCATTTCTAAACTAATTGGTCGATGATTAAATATCTAGTAAAGAAAATTTTAATTATATCATATTATATTTACATTCAGAAAAACCTTAACAAACCCCACTAAATCAAAAAATAAACTTCTGTATTTTACCATTAATTTTGGAAACAATTTCTTACTTTTTTTACGTTAAAGCTAATAAGACTAAAGTAATGGCAGAAAAATATTGCAAAAAAAGATGTTAAATGAAATATTAAAACATAACTAAAAAAAATATATATATTTATAAATATGAGGTAAGTGATATATTTAAAGATCCTTAAAATATAAATTTTAATTTTAGTGCATTTGAAAAGAAACAAATATTGGTTGGGATAATGTTTTTAACCTTAAGGTTTTTTATCTAATATCATTAACTCTAGTTATATACTCTAAAGTATAAATCTAAAATATTTGAATTATACTTAAATTCTTGTGATAAATAAACTAATTTAAGCTTACGAAACATCTATACACATATTATTAAATAATTTATAAATGATAAAATAATTTTATGAAGTTTTTTTTGGCTTCTCGAATTTTGATATAAAATCTTTAGATGAATTTTTGGTATTTTGTACATTTGAAATGAAGTTAATATAAATACTTTATTTAGACTTATTTTAGTTATAAACACTTATTGTAATTCAGTTTGTAGTAAGATTTATTTGCTTAAATAGAAATAAAAGTTATGTGAATAGTTTTCTGATAAGAAAACTAAATTTTTTATGCCTTTTTTTCTTAATTATTTTCATAAACTAATCTAAGCCAAATAAAAACTAAAAAAATACATGTGAACCAAAATGATATTAAATATGTTAGATAATATTATAAAAATTAACTTTATTTTTTTTAGATGAATACAGGAAAATCTTAATAGAATTAGCTAGATAGACATTTTTAATATTTTTTGTTTTGAGTAAAAATTAACTTTTCATATTATTTAACATGAAGCGCTAAAAAAAACAATTTTTTTGTTTAATTTGTTTTGAAAATTTTATATTTGAAATCTAAATAACAATCTATGAAGCTAAATTAATATTTTCTAATTTTTAAATGAAAAACTATCAAATACTTGGATCTAAATCTATTATTTTAAATGTAAATAATCAATTTACTAAAAGTAAATTGTATTATTGTATGAATATTTTAATAAATATGTTTATTTTATTTCTTAGAGCATGTTTAATACAAACAAATATTATTCTTTCTCCTTCTGTTTATATATAGCTCATAAAAAAGAATAACTCTTATTCAGCGACTTTATTTTCAATTTTGATTCTGATAATAACTGGTATCATCAAAAATTAAATTTGAAAGAAAGAAAATTTATGATTAATTAAAAATAGTAGAGTAGATGACTTTTGCACTTTCAATCTGTAAAAATTGTAAGCATTTAATAAATTTTTTTAATTTTGAGTTTTAATAAATATGAACAAAAAATATCTTTAGTTTAATATTTTTCCATCTCTTAACTATTTAAGAATTAGTGGTTTTAAAGAAGGAAGGAAATAAATAAATAGAGTTACTTATTTAACTTATAAAATAAAAGCTTTTAGCTTAAAAAGTAAATAATTATTTTAACTGAATAAAATATTATTTATCTTATTAAAGCTATTTAAACATTTTATATTCGCATAGGTAGATAGATAATATTTAGTTTTAAGTTTAATAAAAATTGTATTTCATTGTAAATGAGCAACTAAAAATGGAAATTTATACAATAAATAAACAAAAAATTGCAATTAAGTTTTTATTTTATATTATAGAGGGAGGCATACTTAATAAAATTATTTCTTTTAATGCTTCTATATAGAGTAAAATCAAATATTTAAAAATTTATTCTAAAAATTCTAACTTTATACCTACCTCTTAAAATGCTTCTTAAAACTCCTCTAATATAGTAAGAAAAAGTATATAGGATATCGTCGTAAAATGATTCTCACATCAAGTAAAACTCAAATAGATTTCATAGAAAAATTAAGTTTATTTGCTTTATGAAAGTATAAAAAGTTGTCAAATAGAATTATATTTTTTGAAGTCTAAACTCATCTGAATTACACTTAACAAAAAGAATTATGTCAAAATTCACAAAAATTATTAAGTTTTTAATCATTTGATTTAGTGTAAGGTATTAATAATTTTACATCAAAATTTTTCAATTTTATAAATAAATTTTTTTTATTTTTACTATAAAAGATAAGAGCCTTATAGCTTTAAATGTTATATGCAACTTTTCACTTAAATTTATTTTTTTCAAAAAAATGATATTTTTAAAGTATAACAAAAATATCTTAAAAACATTAGTGTTATTAATATATTAAAAGCACTAAATATTAGATTAATATTGAGTGATTACTAACTATATTTCAAATATTATTTTTTTAAACATTCATACATTGATAGCATTTTTAGTGTAGTAAATATTTAAGTGATTCTTATAAATTTAAGCATTGATTATGTTAGCATTAAATACACATAATATAGTCATAATATTTATTATAAAGACTTATAAAAATAAATTGCATTCTCATATTTTCATATATTATAGAATAAAAAAAAACTTTTTGAAAGAAAATCTCTAATCAACTTAGAAGAACAGGAAGCAAATAATGGTTTCGAATAGATTAGAAGTGACTGATTATTAAGATTTTATTTAAAACTTTAAAGACTTTTAGAAATCTGTTAAAAACTAATTATTTAATCAAAAAGTGCATCACAAAAAAGTCAAATTATAATTTTGTGTTTTTACAAACTGAAAAGCTAATTATTATACAGTAAAATAGATAAATTAAAAATTTACCATCAAAATTATGAAAATTTAAGTTCAAAAAATATTAGCTATTCTATAATTTTTTATCTTCAATATATTATTCTTAAAAAAGTAAGCAGCTATTTCAAAAACAAAAAAATGAAAGTTTTTTTTTTACTCAAAATAAACTTGAAATTATTTTCCATATAAATTTAGAGATAATTTATAAAAATATTTAAGTTTAAAAACTCTTTATTTAGTCAAATATTAATTGATTTGAAAGCAAAAGATAAAATATTTTAGTCATAAATAATAATGAATGATTGAATTGTATGTAAAATATCCATTCTAAAACTCATTCTTTTAATCCAAAATAAAATATAATAAATGTATTATTTTTATCATTAAATTCTCTTAAAAAAAAGTATTTTAAAATATATTTAAAGATTTTAAAATAAGTAAGAATTACTTTATTAGTGTTTTTATTAATCATCTATTAAAAGATTTTAAATGCCTAATTCTAACAATTAAAGTAAATTTATTTTTGCAAAATAATTTCAATTTTATTTTCTTTTAAAATATAAATATTTTTTAATTCTATTTAAACAAAATTCTAAAAATTATTGAAATAATTTTTCAAATTAATTTCTCAATAGATAATTAATTTCCCTTTTAAATAATTTAAATAGAAATATAATGAAAATTAATTAAATTTAGAATAATTCTTATTTGTATTAAATTAGCTTTTAACTTTAATTAATTAGACACTTTATTGAATAATAAATATAATATCTTTAACTTTATAATTATTATTATTATTATTATTATTATTATTATTATTATTATTATTATTATTTTTTAAATTATATTTATTTATCTGTTTGTTTAATATCAATCAAATTATTAATAGTTTTTGCATAATGATTATTATTAGAAATAATTAATATCAAAAAAATAACCTTTATTTATTTCAAAGTAGATAATTTAATTAAGCGAAAATGAAAGAAAGGACTAAGGAAATAATAAATATTTTTGAAAGTAAAATATTAAGCATTCAAGTGTAAAAATAAAACTGATTTTTAGTATATTAAATTGTACCTTGAGTAAGCTTTATACTCTAAAGCATAAATACTATTGATTATATTATATTTAAAGAGAGAAGTCTTTAAGATTTAGTTTTGATAATATTTAATCTTCAAAATTTAATAATAAATTTACAAAAAGTTTGAGTCTTTTGAAACTCAATTTGTTTAGTAGCATTGATTTTTAAAGATTGAGGTTATATACCATATATATATTTACTCATTTGATAAATGCCATTAATTTAAGATCAGTTAGTCAAAAATACATGTTGATTATTAACAGCTAAGTACACCCAAAAGAAAAATGCAATTAATATAGTGTGGAAAAATGCTAATTTTTCTTTACTTATGTAGTTTTATTTGAAATATTCTCACTCTAAATTTGATGAAATTTTTGAATAACTACTAAATAAGCTAAATCGCAATGGAGGTCTCAGAGGTAATGCTTTGGGAAATATTTGTGTAAAGTCTTATTATTAATTAGGAGATTAATGTGTAATGGAAAGGGAAGTAACTAATATAAATTTTATGGATAGAAAGGATATTTCTAATTTATTAGCTCCAGTTAGCTAAGTTTAATAGATTATTGATATTTTTTAAATATTTATTGTGCTTTTATTACTTTTATTTCAAATTAAAAATTATTTTTTTAGAATTATGAATTAAATTTATCCATTTTATCTCTTTTTATATGAAAATAGTCTAAATTTAATCAAATTTTATCTATTGAAATATAATTATTTAAATCACAGCACTATTTATTTATTTCTACTTAAACTCCTTACAAAATAAAGCAATAACTTCTAATGATTGTTTCTTAAAGAAATACTATCATAAACTGAAAGCTTTGGAGTTCTAAAATTATTCATAATAATAATTTCTCTTTTGTTCTTAATATATTTATTTATCTTTCATATGATGATTGCCTAGAAACTCTGAACGAACAAAAAAAAATACTACTTTTTATCATTGTAAAGCTAGGTTTAATTCTTAATTATTATTTTCATGTAATATATTATCTAGTATTCTCTTGAGTTTTTGCTTTGTCTAGTATATTTAATGATAGACAAAATAATGTTCTGCAGTGATTATCGTTGTAAAAAAAGTTGAGACTAATTAGTATTTCAGTCATTATAATTTATGTCTTTGCTCTCCCTCCCTCTCTCCCTCTACAAACTTTTTTATATATTTAAAATTTTTTTTTGCTACTTATGAGGGGTTTATTACATTAATTTAAATAGATTTTTCAAAGTATATTTAAATATTAGTACAATTAGAAAATTTCAGTGCATTTTTTAAGATTTAATGAATTTAGAATTTACCAAAAATACATAATAATTAAATAATTTTTTTCTAATTATAAATTATCAGAAAGATGATCAGTAAATTTTTAATTAGAAAAATATTGAGTTATAGAAAGCGCTTATATTTAATTAAGATAAACTAAATTTTGCTGAAAAAGACAAAAGAATAATAATTTATAATTCATAATTCATACAAAAAATTGATATTTTAGAAATGGGAAATATTCTATAAGAAAAAGAAAAAATGGTTGAACATAATAAAGAATTGAATTTGGAAGATGTAAAATATATATTTACTGTTTTAAATTTATAGTTTAAGTTATTATCAATAAAAAAGCTTATTAACTCTTAGCTAAAATCTGAAAATGAAATAACACTTTATACTTAGTAAGCTATTAATCAATGAATAATAAGATTTGATTCTATTAAACTAAATAATTGTTTTCAAATTTAACCATTTTTTAATTTCATTTTGTTTCTATCTGCCAACTGAAGGATTTCAAAATTGAAAATTATCTATTTTATTTAATATATCACCTATTGATTGACATATTAATTTTATTAAAAGCTGTAATAAAATTGGTAGTGATGGTTCTAAAATTCTAGCTGAGGCTTTGATGTCTAAAAATAATATTTCTACCTTAAAGCTCTTCCTTATGTAATATTTTTTATATAAAAAAGAAAGATATTATTACTAATACAAAGCCCACTTTGAAAAATTGATTAAATATCTATTTTTTATCAAATCAATCAAACGTACATACATACCTACCAATCAATAAGTTTTTGGTGGTTTTTATATATTATTAAATAAATAACAATCCAAATACTTCTAGCGAATCTATGTGAATCTTTTTGCTAATATCTATCTTCTACATGAAAGCTAAAATTTATTTCTAAATAATCAAAAGGAATAGTAATATTGGCAATACTGGTTTAATAAGTTTAGCTTATGCTTTGGTAAAATGCACTAATCTTTCAAATTTGACTATTGACATTTCGTAAAAATAATTTATTTATAAAGTATTTTTTAGCTATCTATTAGCATATAAAGATAAATAATATTCTTTATAATTTGGCAACATTAATAAATGTGATTTTTTTGTTTTTTTAATAGATCAAAACTGTTAGCAATTTATTTACTATTTTTATTTTCATAATATTTTTGATTTTTTTCATACTTTTTTTATAATAAATCTAATTTTATAAAAATATTAAAAGATTTAACTCAATTGGAATTTTAGGTGTGTCTGAATTAGCTCAAAAATTACCAGATTGCTAAAATATCACAACATTGAGAATAAATATTGAGTACTAAAATTTCTTAGTTATAATTTAATTATAGAGAAAGAAATAAAAAGACCAAGCCTTTAAAAGCTAACTATTTTTAACTATTTATTTAATCTAATTCTCAATCTTTTACTTATTTTTTGTGCACATATTTTCTTTTTTACTTCTCTATCTCTTTATTAATATTTATTCTGAGTTTAATTATATTATAAAAATCAAATTTTAAATAGTGGAAATTCAATATAAAATGAAGGAGTGTTAGCTTTAGGTTAGGGTATAGTAAAGTGTAAATTTTTATCATATTTGGCATTAGGTATAAGGTAAATATATATTATTAACTTTCTTTAAATTTTTCTTCATGTCTTTAGTTTAAATTTTGTGAAATTAATTGGTAAATTTATTTACTATTATAAAAGAGATTGTTTAATTCTGCCATCAGGTCTTATAAATTTTAGTATTGCTCTTAATAATTGCCCTAAGCTCTCTCAAATAAAAATATTATATTTTAGTCCAAGGTAAAATTGTTTATTTTATATTTTAATATATTTTAAAGTGCAAATTAAATTCAGCATTAAATTATATAGACAACTACCTTTTATTTATTAATTTTTCTTATTAATTAATAATGAATAGCTAATAATACTTTGTAAGTTTTCGCCAAAAATTTATTAAAATAAAGAGAGTAGTTGAATGCTATGTTAATTGAATTTATAAAATAATATATTCTAAAATTTATTTGTACATAAGATATATCAATTAAATGTTTCAAAACTCAGTATTTCTAATTTTTACTGAAAAATTATTCCATTAAAAAATTTTTGTTTATTTATTTGTTAATGAATTTAAAATTATTTAAGAATAAAAACTATTTTGTATATTTTAAGTTTTTATTGATAAAAAAATTTTTTTTACTTTTTTCAATTTACATTTCCTTATTTCTTAAAAGTTCTAATCGAAACAGTTTCCTATTATTTTTAATTTTCAATTTAAATATTTGAAAAAGGCCAGCAAATTTCTTAATTAGTAATATATTTATAAAAGAACAAAAAAAATTTAGCTTTAATTGATAAAAGCTAAAATTTTGATATGATGCGCCAACACCATATTAAGATTTTTTTATAAAATAAAAAAAAGTAAAATTATTTTTTAATTTTATATACTAATTATTTTAAACTAAATAGTAGCTTATTTATTAACTTTGAAGTACTTTTTTAAAAATTAATTTTCTATGATTCTATTTTTTATATAGAAAAATCATTGTTTAATGCATCTGATGTAAATGAAAGTTAGGCTTTTTATTTTTAAAAATATGTTAAAAAGTTATTTTAAAAATATGAAAAATGCAGCTCACTAAATATTCCAAAAAAAATTTTTCTATTTAAAGTTATATAGATGTAAATATTTCATTAATGTAAATAGAACTTATTTTTTTAATTTTGATAAATTTCCTTTGAAAATCAATGATATTTTACAAATTTAAGTAAAAAATTTTTTATTTCTAACACTCTATTGAGCATTAATTAGCAAAAATTTTCACAAAATTAATAAATATTTTATAGCACCAATTTAGCCTTCTCAATACTTTCTTAATTAATAAGGATATTGCAAAAATGTTTATGAAAAGTGTCTTGCTGATTTACTATTGCTTTTACTAGATTTTATTTACTCAATCTAATTTTATAATGTAATAAAAAAGAACTTAATTTTATTTTTAAGACAATTTAAGGGTTTATGGACAGAAATTAAAAGAAATTTCCAAAAAAGTTCCACAAAACATCTAATAATTTTTTCTAATTTATATCAATTATCTCACTAATCATTACTTTGATAAAAATTAATACAATTTTTTTATTTACAAAGTTAATAAAAATAGTGAAAATTTATTCTAAAGGAAAAATTTTAGTAATAATTTTAATTAAAAATTTTAATCAAATTTTTTTAATATTTTTTTTTAATTAGTAACCTTATATAAACTTTTCAAAATTGAACGTTTACTAAGCTAAATTTACAGATATAAATAAATAGTAGAAATTTTTTAAAAATTAATTTATATAGAATTAGTTTATTTATATTCAGAACAAACATGTAGGTTTGCTTGATAATATTTGAAAATATAATTTTTATCAACTTATTTTCAACTGGAAATAAAAGAGTTAATCATATAGAGAGCAAATTAAGGTTAATCCATGGGAACTTAATGTCCGGCTTAGTAAACAATGAGGAACTCTAAATTCTCAGCTTTCTTAAATTTACCAGCTGCCTATCCATTTAATTTGTAATCAGAATATTTAGCATTTTAGAATTCAGTTTAGTGAGACCATTTCATTGAGTCAGTCCATGCGATACCTCCACTTTTATGAATAATAAAATATGTTTAATAGAATGAAATCAAATTAATTAGCTAATTATGTTTAATTAATAAATTATTGTAATAACTTACAGGTAATTGCATTAGAAATCTTAATCACCGCTGTATACTAAAACCTTAATTCCACTTTCAAGAACATAAGCGACCTTATCAGCAAGATTGACGATTTCATCATGAGAAAGAGCAGCATAAACAGTGTTTGAGCACTCTTACCAAGTTCTACCTGAAACACCTAGAGCTGACTTGACGTCATTTCTGGCTAAGAAATTGTCAAGGTTTGTCATGTTATAGCATAATGAACCGAGGCATTACTTTCTAATGTCATAAACATTGAACTTGGGAGTTTGACCAAAGCCAACTATTGACTAATAACCTAAACCACAAACAGTGTTAGTAAGAGAAAGAGGAGCATTGATAGAAATCAAAGCTTCGCAAGTTGCCAAAACAGGTTTAGTGAAAGCATAGTATTATAATCCTGAGATTAACTTATTTTCGTAAGCATAAGTACCATAAGCAGGATTTTACAATTTAGGAGTGACCTATTTTAAGAAAGTTAGTTATAAATTTAATAAAAATATTTGAATAAGATCAATCATTTTTTTTAAATGAAAGATAAATTTACCCATCCATTGCCAATAGCAAGACCTTATAAATTAATTTTGGGATTTTTTTATTTGGCTAATTCTGCACCAATAGCAGGAATGTAGTGTCCTGCATATGATTCACCAGTTAAGAAGAGAGGTCTTCCTATGTATTAAGGATTTTATTGCAAGAATCCGAGGAGGAAAGCATAGAAATCTTCGGCAACTTCATCTTCATTTCTTACTAATTCATCGTTGGCAGCTTTTGAGAAACCAGTTCCAACAGGTTGGTCAACAAAAACAAGATTAGCTTGATTATTCCAAGAATAAGGATTGCTATCTAATGTTTAATTGTCATTAACAGTGAAAGGACCATTTTCTAAGAAAAGAGCTAGTTCAGAAGAGCAACCAGGACCACCAGTCAACCAAATGACCAAAGGATCAGCAGTGGCATTTCTTCTAGATTCAAAGTGCCAATAGAAAATATCACTGTCCTTACCAATATTTATGAGTCCAGTAGTGTATGTTTCATTTAAGAACAAAGGATTTTATGTGCAGTAGCCCAGAGCTAGTAAAGCAAATAAGACTATGGCTTTTCTCATTATTTTTTCTATATTAAATTAATTAATTTATTTATTTTTATTATAAAAACCTTATATAAAGCTAGCTCATATTTAATGCATTTTTTTGATACTCTAATCAGAAATTTTATAGTAAATATTTAAAGAATAATTAATAATTTTCATAGCTAAACCTTTAAAAAATTATAAAAGAATTTGAATATAAACTAAGGAATTGCCTTATTGAATAAATTTATATCTTTTATCAAACCCATCAATAAATTGAAGTAACTATTTGTCATAAATAAAAAAATGTTATTCTAATTAATTTAAACAATTTAATGATAATTTTACCAAAAATAAATTTAGAAATGATATATAAATTCAATTAAAAAAAATCTTTTTTCATTATTTAAAAAATAAATAAGAATTTTGAAATAAATAATTAAATTTTTCGTACTAAATTACTTATTTTAGCTTTTTTATTATTATAAAATTATTAAAATAAAAAATTATTTTTTAAATTTAATAAAATCATAAATTATAGAATAAAAAATAAATTAAAGACTAAAAATTGACTATTTCAATAAGATGAATTTGTAAGAAATAATTTAAATTTATTTAATTTTTTAAAACAAAGTTAAAAAAATACTTTCCTTTATTGCTGACTTATCAAATCTTTATTTGATAAGAAATAGAATTATAATAGAAGAAATGATAAGTCAATTATTAAAATATAATTTTTTTGGTCAGAATCAATTGGTCATTTCATAATTAATTAATTACCTATTTTTTAATTTGACTTAACTTTTTTTTGTTTTTTAACAATTACTTATTCTTTAAATTTGAAATAAAATCAAAAATAGCATATAAAAAGTAATGGGTAAAGCTATCAGTAAAGCTGTTTTTTTTTAGCCTCCAAGTAATTCAAGTTACAATTCAAAAAAAGACTTTTGGATTGATAAGTTGATATTTGTCAATGAAGACTTCAGCACAGTTTAAAATGAAAACAGTATACCTTGCTTATACTGTCCTTATTAATACCCAAATACCAATCAAATATCCAATAAACTCTTGATATTTTTCCATGGTACTGGAAATGATATTGGATAAGACCATCATTATATTTCTGAAATGCGAAATCACTTGTAGGTAACTGTTTTAGGAGTTGAATATCCTGGATATGGAGTTTATAAAGGTAAACCTACTCCCGAAGGCTTACAAAAAGACGCATTAACTGTGTATAAATTCGCTTTATAATGTTTATTGTATCCTGTCGAAGATATAATAGTTGTTGGTTTATCAATGGGTACTGGGCCTGCTGCTTATTTGTCTTCTCAAGTTTAGTTTAGTCTTTTAGTGCTTTTAATGCCCTACATGTCATGGAGAGATTTAGCTAAAGACAAAGCATCTTTTGTAGGAAATCTAGTTCCAGAAGAATATTTCAATAATTTTGAAAACATCAAAATTGGTCAAAATAATTGCAAAATGCTCATTATTCATGGTGAAAAAGATGAAATAATTCCTGTAAAGCAAAGTAAAGAAATGTAAAAATATTTTGAAGGCAATTAGAATGTCAAATTTATGTTTCCCTCAAACATGGGTCACCTATGGCATGATATATACTATCATTCAATATTCCCAATTAAAGATTTTCTTTATTAACATAATATTCAATCTCACTAAATTTCTGATGAGCACTCTTAATATAAATTACAAAAATTCAAAGAAAGATTCTATTGATATCTTTATTTAGTTATTGCGTATCTATGGATATTTATTATCTAAAAATAATAAATATTATTAATTTTTTAACATTCTATAAATACATATTCTAAATACTACTTTACATTTGACAAATCAGTTTTTGAGTTTTCCCAGAAAAACTATCTAAATCAAATTAGAAAACACACAAAATGCTAGTTTTCATTATCAATTTTTAAGTTTTTTGTAAATCAATACTATTAAATAATTATAAAACTCAAAAAAATTGTTGACTTTCATTCCTTAAAAATAGCATTGTATTAGCATATTTAAATGAAATTACTCGTTTTACATTGCGTAATTAAATATTAAGTATGTAATAGTTAGGTGTTGTAATTACTTTATATTAAAAGAATAACTTTTAAATTTCTAATAAATATTTTAAAATATTTAATAATACAAATATATTTTTATAATTAATTAAATAAATAAACAAATTCAATCTCATATTGAAAATATTTTAAATCTAAAGTTTTTATTATTTCATGTTTCTATTTTGTTATGAGGAACGATAATGCTGAAATTTGTTTTTTATTCTTTCTTTTTCTTAACAACTAAAGATATCTTTCTAACTACGAACTTTTCAAAAAGAATGTTAACGATTGCACTAGCAATTGAAATTCCTAGAATAACAAGCAAAAAGTTAAAAGGCATTTCGGATTAAGCTGGTTAATTTTCTAATTTAACTTCTTCAAATATCTACAAATTTAAATGAATTTTTATTATATTAATAATTATAATAAATAAATCATACGTTTAAGAAACTGCGAGTAAAGCTATCTGGAATAAGCTATACGTAAAAGGAAAGTAAAGTAATAAAGACTAAAGTTATAGTGAACCATTTATTTGTGAAGAATTCTTTTTTGAATGGTTTACCAATAGAAAAGGCAATGCAAGTAGAGATATACTAGAAATTTGTGAAGAAAAATAGAGTCTAATTTTAAATTGAAAATTTTATTAATTAATTTAAAAGCTTATTATAAAATGGTTTATTGTATATAAAATATTTAAATATCTAAATATAATTAATAGAATTACTATTTAAGAAGCTTTAAAAAGTGCATTTGAAATTAAAAAAAATATTAAATTTAAGGAAATAATTCTTTTTTTATTATTAATAAAATAATTAATATTTACTGTAGATTCATAGCAACTTTTTCTTGCATCTTCATTATCAAGATCATCTAAGTAATCATGAGCATCTTGAACAGACATATACCAGCTTTAGGCTCTTAAGACAAAGAACATAATGACCTTAACAATAAATAATTATCAGCAATTAAGTTTTAATTTATATAAATTTACTTGGAATCCTCCATTTAGTAAAGTCATGCCAATTACTGAAATGAGAACAGGGAAAGAAACAAGGTTAGAACCAGGAACTTACTTGGACAAAGAAGGATAGGAATCAGTTAAACCCATTAAGAAAGCAAGAGGAATAATAATAACTATATCCCAATATAAGAATTGCATATCACCTGGAAGAGAGTTAACTGTGTACAGTAAAGTTGTAGTGAAAAACTAAATCATGGAATACAAAGCCATGAATTTAAAGCAAGAAAAACTAGTGACTAGAGCAGCTCTACCCTCTTTAAGCAGCTATTTTATTTAATACAAATAATTAATCTGTTTATTTACATTCTTGCTTTTTTTATAATAATGAATTAGTTATAGGTTTTATTATTTACTTCTACTACACATGAAATATCCTATATCTTTGAGGTAAAAGGAGCAGCTATAGATGCTTCTGCTTCAGACAAAGAAATACCAACATCTGCAGTTTTCAAAGCACCACAATCATTAGCGCCATCACCACACATTCCGCATGTAGGTTTCCAAGGTAAGTCTTACAATTATTATAGTAATAAAGCCTTTTCTTCTGGTCTCATTCTAGCAAAAATTTAAGTCTTAAGCAACATTGTTCTTAAAAGCTAAGCTTTTTCAGATGTCTAAGTAGATTCATGAATAATTTTAGAGAAAGCTCTTCCTGTTATAGCAAGAGTATAGCTTTCATTGCTTTCTTTCCATGGTAAATAATCTTCATCTTAAATTATTTTTAAAATATTTTATTTATCATAAATAAATTCATTTACAAATTAATAATTTTAAATAAGAAAAATGTAATTAAAAAGCAATAATTTTAAACAAATAAAATACCATTTAAAGCAGCAATTTCTTCCTCTTCTTATTCATTAATTTCTTTATCTGAAAACATAATGTCTTCTTCTTCAATATATTTTTTATCTCCTGTTGATTTTACATGTGAAAGATTACGAGAATTTTCAAAAATGCTTTTCTTGTCTTCGATTAAAGATTCCATTCCATGTTTTTACAAAGTTTCATCTTGTTATATCATTGAAATAGTTTTTGCTCTTTCTCTGTAAGATTTTTTGTTAGCCGGGATTATAATCGAATTCATTTAAATAATTGATTTTTTGCTTTAAGAACTCCTCTTTCTGTGAAATTTTGATATTCTTCTATCTTCTTCTTCTAAAAACTAAGCCTATTCAAATATTTTCTTTTCTTCCTCTATTTCTGGAACATTATCTTCTTAGTATTTAACTACTCCACCAACGGGCTCTAAATTGTCTTCATTTAAAATTTTGTTTCCGTTTTCAAAATCTTTCCAAACTATTCTATTGTATTACTTGGGATCATCACTTATATCACCAAAGTAAACTCTTTTATTTTCATCAATAATCTTACATTATCTACCTACACTAATAGCTGTTAAGGCATTATCGCCTGTAACCATAATAGTACGTATGTTGGCAGATTGAAGTTCTTAAATAATGTCTGTAGTAATAGGCTTTAATTTATTCTCCATAATCAGCAATCCTGCAAATGTTAATTCATTTTCAACTTCATCTCTCTCAACTTTTTATATTTATTATTTGTCCATGTTCAAAATTTTAATACCAAAAGCAAGAACTCTAAACCCTTTTCTGGCGTAAAAGTCAAGAACCTTTAAAAAATTAAAGCATCCAATTAAAATTAAAAAACAAACTATTTTTTTTGCAATTTTCAAATAAAAAAATTTAATTTATTTTTTTATCTTGCAAGCAAATAAATATATTTAAAATTCTGTGAATATTTTGAAAAAAATTTTTTTAATTTTTAAATAAATTTGGAAAATATAAAAATATTCTAGAGTAATTTTAATAATTACTTCGTGGAAGTTTTAAGGAATAGTTTCAGGCTTGCATAATTCAAATATTTTTTCAGGTGAACCTTTGACATAAAGTCTATAGAACTCGTTTTATGCTAAAAACCTTTTAACAATTGTACTCATTCTCTATAGCTTAGACGAAAATTCAAATCTTTTTATAATTCCTATTTGTTAGCTGAACTAACTACTATAAATCAGGCTTTTTTCAGTTTAACTTTATTGGTCAGATTAGCTTTAAACTTACTAAACTACAGCCATGACAACTTCACTGAATTTATCTAAATTATTTTCAATCAATTCCCATTAAGTTGCTTCAAACATTTTAACTTCTAAAGGATCTCCTATTAACTCCCCATTAATTCTTGTTAAACCATGACAACTAGCCATGCATTCTTTTAAAACTACTTCTGGATCTCCTAAGTAAGTGTAGGGGTTTCCTTCTCCATATAAATTTAATTGCTCTGGGTTACCATTCATTTTTATTAACTTAGAACTGCCTAGTTTAACAGTTTATTCTTGCAATTTAGCAAATTTTATGTTTTTAGGATCTGAATATAATACAGGTCTTAATCCATACATGTCTAATCCTTCTTCAGTCAGAGTACCTGTTTTATCAAAGCACATAATAGTTACTTTACCACAAATATTCACCTGTTATTTATTAATTTTTGATAAAATTAATTTAAAATATAAGTTGATATTTAAATAAATATACCTTTGGAGGAGAGATACAAAATATTTGCTTCTTTCTTAATCTAGACATTGCAAAAGAAATACCTATAGAGAGACAAGTAGGTAATGCAGGAGGGACAGTGATTGTTATTAAATCTAAGCTGTTTAGAACTAAATCTCTAACATCTAAGTAACCATTATGGTATCCTCTAATCATAAATGGTAGAGAAAAGAAGAATCCAAATAAGGAAATTAAAGCAAGGACAGCTACAAATTTCAAAGAATCTACATAAAATGAGAATGAATTTTACTTTGGGTATAAAATCGATCTAACAAGTTAGCCTTTCATAGTATTAAAACTAGTCTAGCTAACTAATCCAAGTATGGGAACTTATCCCTTAAGATGATATCTTTTATATTAAAAATTTATTAAACTTATTTATCGAAATAAATTTCCTAATATACATACCTTGTTTCTATGCATTTAGTACCAGCGAATAATGTTGATTGTTTACCATCTTCGTTTGGATGATACTTATTATTGTTAAATGGCAAAGAAGATTTTATAATAGGAATAGATTCACCAGTTAGCATAGATTCATTCATAACGCAAGAGCCATTCAAAAGTATTACATCACAAGGAAGAATTTACCCATCTGGTATTTCAATTATATCACCTGGAACTAACTCCAAAGAGCTTATCTACTTTTTTACCTTTATGATATCTCTTTCAATTTTAAATTGTCCTTCATACTTTAAATTTTAATTAAAATTGATTGATTAATATTTCTCCTTCTTAACACAATTTAAAATTTAATTGAAAATCAGAATAAAAAGCGAACTAAAAGTAAATTTTATTGATAAGATTTAAATAGAATTCAAATTACTTATAATTAATAGAATTTTAATCAATTAATAAATAAAATTACAGGTTCAATATATTCTGCAGCTTCTCTGAACACAAAGACAGGAGTTTCGAAGAAACTCATTTGCTTTAGTTTCTTGTAATTATTTTTAGTTTCTAATAAACTAACAACAGCAGAAAGTAAAGATGTGAAGAAAATAACAGAAGCATAATAATAATATGGCTCAAGCATCCAAAGGGTTACACTAAAAATTTAAAAGATATAGAAAGGAGAGAGAACTTCATCTATCAATATTTTAACTGTGGATTTATCTGGGATTTCAGTGTTGTTTAATCCATAAATGGAGACCTATTATTTTAGATTTTCTTCACTTGGCACACCACGTCCATATTTTTCATATATTTAATTGTTAGTCAAAAGACTAAGAGCAAATTATATTGGATAAAAGCAGTTTGAATTTTGAATGTAGAAATATGTGTACAGTCTGAAGCTAAAAATCTATTTATTTATTTATTGTTTTATTAAAAATTGAATATTAATTAATTAGTTTATTTGGGTTCAAAGATAAATTTAGTTCTATTTTTAGATATAGCTATTGAAAATAATAAGAATTTCTTTATTAAATTTTATTTGTGTAAATTAAAATTTAGCTTAATAACAAACAAACTTTTTATGAGAATCAATAAAAAAATATTTACTAAATAGCTTTACTCTGGTTGATCTTGAAAAGCCATAGTCCTATTTTCAGTCTATACTAAAGAAATTGTGTTATCTGTTGTGTAAATAAAATGTTTTTTGTTAAATATTAAAACACTATTTAATATTTATTTATTTACCTGCAGAAATAATCTTCATAAATTGAGCCTCAGAAGATTTACATTAAACCATTTAAAGTCTTATCTTTAAATTTATACTCCAGCGAGTGAAAAGATAAAGTAAGCCTCCCGTGATAAAAAAAAGAAAATAAGAAAATATCAGCTTAAACTTTTATATCCTATAAGCCTAAATTTCTTTTATGATACCCTCTTCTTAGATATCTTCAGGAAGTACGAATTTCACATTTTATCCCAAGATTCCTTTCACTGAATTTTCAAAAGGCTATTTCTCTATTCTGAATTAGTTAGAATTATTTTTTAAAATTGCATTGTATTTATCTTGAAAATTTAAAATGATTTTAATTTTAAATGTCTAATTTTATTTAGGGTTTATTACAATTTTTGCGTTAAAGAAGTTGAATTGCTTGATGGTGATAGCATACTAATCTATTTAGCTTGGTATTGAAATAATGATCGATCTGCTTGTTGTTTATTATGGTAGTATTAAACGATGCAAAATTAACACTATATTTAAATATTTTTTTGTGTTATGAAAAATTTTTGGAAAATATTAATAATAAAAATATTAGCTTTATAAAAAATATTACTAGCAACTATTCAAGTTTTCAAAAGTAACCTGTCAGATGGTTTTAATGATATGCTTTAATTGCTGTATTTAATAAATAAATATTAAAAAATATGACACAGAATAGAAGAATAACTCAATATAAAAGAAAAAAATTTATTTATTAAAAGAAGATTTATAGTCTTATTACACTTATTTATTTATATTCATTCCTTAAGAAAGTTAAGTAAATATTTACAATCAATCAACCAATCAAACTTTGTAGTACTATTAATATCTATAATTAGTTTTAGATTAATTAATATCTTTCTTTTTACATTTTTTTTTTTCTTATTATGAGTATTTAAAATTAGTTTTCAGCAATTTTCAAATCATATAAATTCTTAATAAATAAAAGATTAACTAGCATAATTAAACCAATAAATAATCGAAACATTTTTAAATTAATTTTTAGATTTAGCCTACTTCAAGAAAAACCTTTCTTTAATTAAAAATCAAATTTTATTTTCTTTTATCAAAGATATAAAAGATTAATTTCATGATTTCTTAAGAAATTTTCTTTTCAAAAAGAAGATTTGTTAGTTTTATTCAATGCAATAAATAAGGTGAGTTGTAAAAGAAAATAGCTATTATTTATTTACAAGATTATCAAATATAAAATCAAAATTAGCTGATTAGGTATAAAAAATATCATTTATCAAATACAAAATTATGAATTTGCACAAAATATAATTCCAAATCTTTATTTATCTGATATCAAATGTAATCTTCCTTTTGAATTTCTTTTTTAAAATACTTAAAAGAATCAAAGGAATTATGCATGATTAAATACTCCAAATAAATTCTAAATTAAAAAATTTACACTTGTCTAGTCAAAAAATATATTGCTACATTTTATGGAAACAAAAATTACTATTTATTGAATGTAATCGATAGCATTTGATCAGATTTTATTTTTATCTTTTTATAATTATATTTATTTATTTATCAAAATATTCATCCATTTTTTTTGAGTATCATTTAAGCTGTTAATTATAAGAAACAATTAATAATACTATAAGATTTTTCAACTGCTTAACTCAATTAAAATGCTAAAATAAATAATTATTTTTTTTTTTATGAAAAGCTAAAATTATTTTTAAACTTTGAAAGGCTGTAAATAAATATTTTTTTTGCGGAGTTTGCTTTAATTGAATTTGAAATAATTAAATTATTTAGAAGATTAATTTTGATAATAAGTAAGTATTTCAATTAATTTTATTTACTTTTCTCTAATCTTTCTTATAAATACTAATAATTTACAATTAATTTACTTTATTTAAGGCTAGATTAACCACTATATAAATATTAAAATAGTCTATATAATTAATTTACTTCTTTTTTTGAATATTATTACTCTTTTTTTAATATTATATTTAAAAGCTAAGAAATTTTTTTTTAAATATAAATTTTTTTTTGAAATACCATTAAAGTTATTATTATATCAAACTTTTCAAAAATCAAATTTTGCTATTTTTAAAAAACTTTTAAAGTAATATTTTATAAATAATAATAAAGCATTTATCCATTTAAAAATATTCTAAATAATATTTTCGAAAAAAATTATTATTCCTAAAAAATATATAACTAAAATGTAGTCTTCTTTTATAAAAATTTGTAAAAATTTTCATAGTTTCTATTGAAAAAAAACTAATTAAAAACAAAAAACTTAGAATATTTATTTTTGTTCAATTTTTATGAAATTTAAAATAATGTTTTAAACAAAGAAATGAAATTTTAAATTTTTTAGATTTTTGTTAACTTTATTAAATGATTTTTTAACACATCAATTTACAAAAAATAATAAATACACTTAGTTTTTATATTTATTTTTTTATTAATTATTTATTTAAATGAAATTAGTATTTTGTTTTTTGCAATTTAGTTCAAATTCAACTGGAAATGAAAGAATTAAGCATGTGAAGGGCAACAATAGGTTGATCCATAGGAACCATGTGTCCAGCTTGATAGACTCTAAGGAATTAGAAGTTTCCAGCACCCTTGATTTCACCAGCACTTTGTCCATTGACATTGTAGCTTTAGAATTCAGCATTTTAGAAAGCTTCTTATTGGGTCCATTCCATAGCATTGGTCCAAGCAATACCACCACTATTTATTTATTTATTTATTTATTAATTAATTAAAAAAATTAAAAAATTTAACAATAGGTTTAAATTAGTAAATGAATTAATTAATTACAGATAGTTGCATTAGAAATCTTGATCACCGCTGTAAACTAAAACTTTAACACCACTTTCAAGAACGTAAGCAACCTTTTAGGCAAGATTAACAATTTCGTCATGAGAGAGGGCAGCATAAACAGTGTTGGAGCATTCTTACCAAGTTCTTCCGCTGACACCCAAAGCAGCTTTAACGTCGTTTCTGGCAAGGAAATTATCAACGTTAGTCATATTGTAGCATAAAGAACCAATACATGGTTTTCTGATATCATAAACATTGAATTTAGGAGTTTGGCCATAACCAACAATAGTTTAATAACCAAGGTTACAGAAAGGATTAGAAAGGAAGAGAGGAGCATCAATACCAATCAATTAAGAGCAAACAGCCAAAGCAGGTTTAACAACAGTGAAGTACTAGAAAGCTGAGATCAACTTGTTTTCATAGGCATATTAACCATAAGAAGGTTATTAGACTTCAGGATCAACCTATATTTAAAAAAATATTTAAGTATTCATTTATTTTAATATTATTTCATTTAACTAAAAATTTAAATTATTTTATTTAAAGTGGTAGTTTTAAATTTACATTTTTAATCTAAATTTTTAAGTCAAAAATGATGTTAAAAAATTAAATTAATTAATTAAAAAAATTCAAGATTTATTGATTAATTTATTTACCCAACCATTACCAATAGCAAGACCTTATAAGTTAATTTTGGGATTACTTTGCTTGACTAATTCAGCACCAATAGCGGGAATGTAATGTCCTGCATATGATTCACCAGTAACAAAGAGAGGTCTGCCAATATATTAAGGATTTTATTCTAAGAAACCAAGGAGGAATTAGTAGAAGTCTTCACCAACTTCTTCTTCATTCTTAACTAATTCACCCTTTCCAGCATTTGAAAAACCAGTACCAACAGGTTGGTCAACGAAAACAAGGTTAGCATTATTATTCCAAGCATTTGGGTTGCTATCCAAGGTCAAATTGTCATTAACAGTGAAAGGACCATTTTCAGTGAAAAGAGCAAGTTCAGAAGAGCATCCAGGACCTCCGGTCAACCAGATAACTAAGGGATCAGTGGAAGGATTGCTTCTTGATTCAAAGAGCCAGTAAAAAATGTCACTTGATTTTTGAATATTAACGAGACCAGAAGTGTAGGTTTCATTCAAGAAAAGTGGGTTTTAAGCGCAAAGGGCAAAACCTAAAATTGCAAAAAACAAAATAGAGTTTCTCATTATTGTAAATTAATTACTTTTAGTATGATTTTTTATTTATTAATATTTATTATTTTATTAATTCAAGTTTTGCTTTCATTCTTAAATTTGTATGATTGATTGATTGAATCAATTAATTTTCTTTATATAAGAATAAATAACTTAAATAATCATAATTATGATGAATTCCAAAGAAATATATTTTTTTTTACTATTATTTATTAATCTGTGTTGATCGATTATTCATTTGATTGATGATATAATCAGCTTTACTTTTACACTCATAACTTTTCCAAAATTTAATAAAAGAATTTTTTTTCATTTGAATGAAATTATTAATAAAAGATTTATTTATTTCAAGTGTTTATAACAAATCTTTTTTAGAATATCCATAGAAAATCTAGAGAATATTACTTAATAATCAAGAATCCTCTGGTTTTTATATACAATCTCCTGTTCTAATAAATATTGTGTCTTTTCTAAAATATTTGCATACATACTTTGGTAATTAATTTTCATTTTGCATATTAAAAAACGCAAAAAATATTTTAAATTTATAAACATCTATTGATGAAAAATATAAAAATAATTCACTTTTATACATTTGCAAATTAAATAAATATATTTTATAAATAATTTTTATTTTAAAAATAGAATACTGGTAATCAATGAATGAATAATGGACTTTGATTTAAGATAAACATACATTTTGGATCTATTACTAAAAATATCTAAATTTTATAATAAATGAATAAGCTTTATTAGGTTTTAACTAGTTTTATCAACCTATGATCAGTATGTATTAAGGATTAAATTAAAGGAAGCTAGAAAATAAAAAAACATTTTTACTTTTTTAGAGTTTTTAAATTTTAAAAATACGATTTTAAAGTTACTTTTATTTCTAATATTTAAACATTAATAAAAGAAATTATAAGTAAATGGAATAAATTTTATCAAATTTTGACATAAAATGTACATACTTTTATTATTGAACAACAAAAGATTAAAAAATTAATTTATTTTTATCTTTGATTATTCAAGATTTTATAATTATGATTAAAATTTGCTGTTAGTAAATTTTTATTAATCTTTGCTTCGCCATTATTCATATAAACAGTATAAATATATCCTTTTGCAACAAAATTATAAAAAAATTATTATTTCCCTAGAACTAAATTCTTTCTCAAAGATTACATCACAGAAAAATAATTAATTAAAATTATATACATACTTTGAGAAATTAACTATATTTCTATTAAGATTTTTCATCTTATTTTCATACTATTCAAGTATCATAATTTAAACTAAACCAACTCACTTTAGATCTAATCAGAGAAATAATTTATAATAACTTTTAAATGCTTTGTCTGCTAATTTAAACAAACAATTTATTAAATTTTAATTTGTTTTAATAACATAAAATTAAACTGTTAAAAATTTAATATAATTATAAAATTAATTTTTTATTTTTTTTATATAAAAGAGAGATAAAATCAGAATAATAGAAGCTTATATCTAATTATTCTAAAAATGAATTAAAGTATTAAAAGATTATAAATAATTGCTAACACATCTATTTATATAAAATTTTAATTAAATTTAACTCTATTATTTTGGTAAATTTTTTTTAATAAAATGAATTATTATTTAAGCGTTTAAAAAAAACTACACTTGAAATATTATTTAATAAATACAAAAAAATTATTATTGATTTTTTTAAATTTTTAATAAATAAAATTTTTTTAATTTTATTTTGTTTGTTGGTCAAGATTTAATTTTCTATTGAGGATCCAATAATGCTGGGTTTCTTTTTTTATCTTTTCTACTTTTATAAGCAACAGCTAGTTTTACCACAACATATTTTTCATAAGCAATGTTAATTGCTGAGTTAACACAAGCTACTGCTAATATTATTAAAAGGAAGACATAAGGCATTTCTGATATAGGTTCTTGATCATCAAGTTTAACTTCCTCAAAAATCTAAAAAATATAAATTAATAAAAGTATAACTGATTTAAATATTTTTACGCTGAAGAAGTCAGTGGTAAAGCTGTCATGTAAAAGCAGCACATATAAAGAGAGTGAAACGATTAAACCGAGAGAAACAGAGAAAAATAAATTTGTATAAAACTCTTTCTTGAAAGGTTTACCTATTGAAAATGCTATACAAGTAGAAATATACTAGAAGTTGACAAATAAAAACAAAACCTTTTATTTATTATTATTATATAAATAAATAAACGTTTTAATTAATATTCAATAAAAATACTGTTGATTCATAGCAATTTTTGCGATTACTTGGGTCGTCTAAATCATTTAGATATATATGAGTATCATAAACAGATATATACCAGCTTTAAGCTCTAAGAATGAGGAACATAATTACCTTTTTTAAAAATAATTAAAATACTTTTTTGATTCTAAATTTTTACTTAAAATCCTGCATTTAAAATTGTCATCCCAATCACAGAACAAAGCACTGGAAACGAAATAAGATTTGAACCAGGAACTTATTTAGATAGTTTTTGACTAGCTTCAGTATGCCCCATAAGCAAAGCCAGTGGAAAAACAGTAAAAAGATCCCAATACAAGAACTGCATATCTCCTGGTAATGTGTTAACAGTATATAAAATAATCGTAGTAAAGAATTATATCATAGAGTATAAAGCCATGAACTTAAAACATGAGAAACTTGTAACAAGTGCAGCTCTCCCTTCTCTGAGTAACTTTTATTTTATTTTATTATTTTTATTTTAAATTTATTACTTTAGAATGATGTTTTGATTTAAATTTCTGTTTTGAAGAAAAATGATTTTTAAATTAAAAAAATTTTATAATTACCTCTACCACACAAGAAATATCTTGTATTTTAGATGTAAATGGTGCAGCTATTGAAGCTTCAGCTTCTGACAAAGAAATTCCCATATCTGCAGTTTTTAAAGCTCCACAGTCATTTGCGCCATCACCACACATACCACATGTTGGCTTCCATGGTAAATCCTATAACTATTATAGTAGAAGAGATTTTTCCTCTGGTCTCATTCTAGCAAAGATTTATGTTTTAAGCAGCATAGTTCTTAAGAGCTGAGCCTTTTCATCGCTTTAAGTAGATTAACTTATAATCTTTGAGAAAGCCCTTCCAGTTATTGCTAAAGTATAGCCATCTTATGAGTTATTCCAAGGAATAAAATCATTAATATCGTCTATTAATTAATTAATAAATAAATTTAAAAATTTATAAAAAGAATAATTTAAAAATAAAATAATAAAGTTAAATAAATACCATTTAGAGCAGCTATTGCTTATTCTTCTTGAATTTTTTAATTAGTGTCTAAGTCTTCACTATATGTGGAGCAATTGCTCTCTGAAGCTTATGAAATTTCACTCATTTTATTTAATTTTTTCTGTGTATTAATTTCAACTTTTATTATTGTCTAATCTTTAGTTTATTTATCTTCTTGCTCATTTATTTGAGTTTTAGCTCTTTCTCTGTAAATTTTAGAACTTTACAAAGAAACTAAAGGCTAATTTATACTATCTGTTTTTTTTCGTTAATTTTATTACATCATAGAAATTCTTCTATCAACACTCTCTAACTTTTAAGCATACTATATGATGGCTATCTCTTCTTAAATTTCTGGAATTTAATTATCTTAATATTTTATCAGTCCATTTTCTGGTTGTAAATCATCTTCTTTTAGATGCTTTTAACTGTTTTCAAAATCTCTCCAAACAATTTTGCCTTTTTGAGCTGGATCATCACTTAAATCACCAAAGTAAACTCTATTTTTCTCATCTAAAATCTTACATTATCTTCCAACACTGATAGCTGTAAGTGCATTATCACCTGTAACCATTATTGTACGGACATTTGCATCCTGAAGATCTTCAATTATTGATTTAGTAATAGGCTTTAGCTTGTTTTCCATAATTAACAGCCCAGCAAATGTCAAATTATTTTCTATCTCATCTCTTTCTAACTTTTGAATTTAGTGCTAATTCATTTTAAGTATTTTAACTCCAAAAGCAAGTACTCTAAATCCCTTTCTGGCATAAAAATCAAGAATCTAATTTAATTAAATTTCATTGAACTCATTTTAATTAACTAAATGCTTAAATTACTTCATTAAAATTTTAAGGAATAGAAGAAGGCTTGCTCAGTTCAAAAATTTTTTCAGGAGAACCCTTGACATACAACTTGTAAAAGTCAGTATTAAAATCTAAATTCTTTACAATAGTGCTCATTCTTTAAAGCTTTGAGGAGAATTCAAATCTTTTTACAATACCTAACTTAATTTATGTTTAATTCATCTAATTTAATGGTTATGAAGTTTTGTATTATTCTGATATATCCATTTTTTTTGATTTTACAACAGCTAAAACAAGTTCTGAATAAAAACTCAAATTCTATTCTATCAATTCCCATTCAGTAGCTTCGAACATCTTTACCTCTAAAGGATCTCCAATTAGCTCGCCTTTAACTCGAGTTATACCATGACAACTAGCCATGCATTCTTTTAAAATTAGATCAGGATCTCCTATTATAGAATAGGGATTTCCTTCTCCATATAAATGCTCTTATTCGGGATAGCCATTTAGTTTTAATATTTTATTCATTCCAAGTTTGTAAGTATCTTCTTCAAGTTTTGCAAAGTTAACTCTATTAGGCCCTTAATACACAACTGATCTTAAACCATACATATCAAGACCTTCCTCAGTAAGTGTTCCTGTCTTATCAAAACACATAATCGTAACTTTACCACTAATGTTTACCTTGTCATTATATATTTTAACTTTAAATTGAATGCAACTACAATATTTAAAATTACCTTTGGTGGTGAAATGCAATATATTTTTTGCTTTTTTAATCTTGAAATAGCAAAAGAGATACCTATTGATAAGCAAGTAGGTAAAGCAGGAGGAACAGTAATTGTAACCAAATTGACACTGCCCAAAATTAAATCTCTAACCTCAAGAAAATTTAAGTTGTAGCCTCTAATCATAAAAGGAATTGAAAAAAAGAAACCTAAAAGTGAAATGAAAGCAAGAACTGCAATAAATTTCAATGAATCAACATAAAAAGAGAAGGAATTTTGTTTAGGATATAAAATAGATCTGACCAGTTAACCTTTCATCGTATTAAAGCTAGTTGAGCTTACCAACCCCAGTATAGGTATGGATCCCTTTAAGTGGTATCTATTAATAACATTTTTATCTTGAAGCAAAAATTGAAAAGCTTTCTTTATTTTACCTTGTTTCAATGCATTTAGTTCCAGCAAATAGAGTAGACTATTTTCCATCTTCATTTGGATGATATTAATTACTACTAAAAGGTAGTGCTGATTTAATTACAGGAATAGACTCTCCAGTAAGCATAGATTCGTTCATTACGCTTGTACCATTCATAAGAATTACATCACAAGGAAGTATCTAACCATCAGGAATTTCAATTAGATCTCCAGGAACTAAATTTAATGAGCTTATCTTTTGCTTGTAATTTGAAATTTTTCTGTCAATAACATATCCTCCATCCTTTTTTAAACAAATAAATTTAAAACAATTTGAAAAATTTATTAAATTAAAATTATATTTTCTCAATAAAATGTAATTTGTTTCATTACTAGTTTAATATATTGGGAAACTCCTCTATACACAAAAACTTAAGTTTCAAAGAAACTCATTTCTCTTAGCTTTTTGTTATTATTCTTTGTTTCAATTAGAGTGAAAATGCATTATAGAGCAGATATTGTAAAAAGAATGGCAGAGTAGTAATAATATGGTAAAAGTATCCATATAATAATGCTAAAGACTTAGAAAATGTAGAAAGGAGAAAGAACTTCATCTATAAATATTTTCATTGTTGGTTTTTCAGGTATTTCTGTGTTATTCTATCCATAAATTGAAATTAGCTCTTGGTATTTTTGATCACTTGAAATGCCAAGCCCATACTATTAGTAGATTTATTAATTAGTCAATTAACTTAACGCAAATTATATAGGCAAAAAGCAATCTTAAGTGCTATCGTAGTAATAAGTGTACAGCCTGTAATTAAAGATCTATATTATAATTAAAATGTTTTCATTAACTGTTAAGATGAAAAGTTTAATTTAATTATTCATTAAAAATTTCATATTTATTTTTTTAACATCTTCTTAATAAGTTAAAATATTTTTAAAATCTTACCAAATAACATTGAAGTGGCTTGTTATTTAATTTCATTGTCTTTGATTCTATTTTCACTAAAGTAATTTGATCATCTTTAATAAAATAGAGTTAAATTACTTTAAATTTTTGTATTAAAATTAATACCTTAAGACACAACTCTCAAATATTCTGCCTCAGATGTTTGGCATTTAATCATTTAAAGAATTATTTTAAGTTTTATATTCCAACGAGTGAACAAGAATAAAATACCACCAGTAACAAAAAAAAGGAGAAAAGATATTATTAATTTCGCTTACTAAGTCTTATAAGAATTAATTTCTTTTATAATTCCTTCCTCCTAGATATCTTTTGGTAATTAAAAGAAGACTTTATTGAAATCTTAACCTTATTTTTATCCTTTTTAAGATTCATATTAGCTTATCCTAAAATTTTTATAAGTTTTAAATAAATACTTTTAAAATATATAAAAAGATAATTTTATGTGATAGAAATTTATTTTTTTATAAATAAAAATAAGAAAAATGTAAGAATATTTTTGGCTTTTGTTTTGAGAATACCATAAGTATTTAATCATTTATTTTTGAATTTTGATTAATTTCCTATTAATTTTTTTTTGAGAAATTAATATTTTATTTTTCAAAAGATTATCTTTATTTCTAATCGATAAAATACATGACAAAAAATATAATGATGAATGAGTTTTAGATGAATAAAGTTTATGTAAAATATTTTAAATTTGAAGTTTTTTTTGCATTATGAATTTATTCAAAGATTTTTAAATCAACTTTTAATTATCATCAGTAAAAAAATAAGAATATAATCTTCAAAAAATTAATAAAAGTTAATTGCTATTTTAAAAAAGATAGTTAGTGTATAAAAAATTACATTGACAACTAAATAGAATCTGTACTGAAGTTTAACTGTGTAGAGTTAGCCATAGTCTCAATCAAACTGAGTACAAATGATTTTTCAAAGATTTGAGTGTTATATATTTTTTTGAATTGATTAATTGTTTTTGTATTATTTAATTTACGAAAAAAATCTGAAATACAAATTCAGAATTTATAGGTCTTCTTTGATTCATTTCCTTGATAAAATCGAAACTTAATTTTGTTAGTTATCATTTTAAAGCCAATAAAAATACAGATTAATCAATTTTGTTATTTTAAACTGAATTCTAATAAATAAACAATGAAAAGAATATTTTTTAAATAAATACATCTTAGGATAACAAAATTATTTTTATTTTAGCAAAATTTTATTTTAATTAAAATATTTTTAGATTAAAAATAGCAAATCTACTAAAAATTAACAATCAACTAAATCTAATGAAATAATTCGAGTTAGGGTCATCAGGAGAATATTGAGTTGAAAAGATGATTGAAAGATCATAAATCAAAAGATTAGAAGCAACTAAAAATTGCAGAAAGCTTAAAACTAGCTATTATTGTGAAGTCTAATAACGATATTTTATTGATTAATTTATCATCTTAATTTGTTACATCTTTTTTTATGATAATTACAACATTCCTTTTTAGTTTTCGTTTTTATACTTATAAGTAGTAAGTGATAATAATAATAATACTAAATAGATATTTTTGGTAAAAAGAATATGTGATTGATTATACATTAATTAAAGCTAATCAAAAAAAATTTTATTTTCTCAAATTATTTATGATCTTCTTTCAAAAATTAAATTTTAAGTTGAAAAATTCTGTCAGGTATTTTATTTTTAAGAAATGATTATTTTACCTCAATCAATCTCTTTTTAAATAAATAAATTCGAAATATAGATAGAGGTCATAAGCATAACTGTACGATTACAGTGATTGATATATATTTTATAAAATATTGAGTTTAAAAATTGATAAATATTAAGTCTTAATATCCTTTTTAAGAGTATAAAAAAAAAGACCCCCTCCCCTCCCCTTTCCTTTGTATTCTGAAATATTTTAGAAGAGAAATTGTCCATCTTTTTGCAGGTATCAATTTTAGATATTTAATTAGAATGAAAAAAAAAAAATTTGTTATTTTATTTTCTCAATTTTTTTATATGTTATTTACAGATTTAATTCTTTTTTATTTATTTCTATTAAATATTCATAATGCTTTTAAATATTTAGCCAAAATTATTCAAGGACTCTTAATTTATTAAATTATTTAAATACATATTTGCAATTTTATAATAATTCTAATTATATACTGCCAGCTCTATGTTCAAATAAAATATTGAAATTTTCTTGCAGTCATTTATAGACTATACCAAAATTAAATTTAACTGATTTAGGTTGGATTTAAGAAAAATTTAAGAATGAGTTAATTTAATAAATTTTTGAGAATTAATATTATAAATTTTTGAGTTTTATTATTTTATTTCAATTTTTCATATTAAATAATAAAATTGACTATTCATTTAATTTAATGTAATTTTTAATAATATTCAAAGACTGTAAAGAAAAAAATTAATTGAATATATTTAATTGAATCTCAAAAATAGGAATTTAATTGATATCTTAGAAGACTGTTAGATTTCATAGTTTTTTATGAGTGATTCTTCAATAATAGTATATGTTATATTAAATTTCATAACTATTTTATTTAAATTCCCTTAATTCAAAAAGGGTTTATAAAAATAAAAGTTAATTATTGTATTAGTGAAGGTGAGATAGAAATTTATGTTCAAAATTCTGGAATTTGTTTTCAATTTCAAGAACAATAAAATAAGTAGTAAGAAAGAACTGGCTTGATTTAGTAATATCAAATTAATTAGTATAGAGGTATCTTATTAAGACTAACGAATTAATTTGTATTAAAAAGCAAGTGAACGATACTTGTTTCATTTATAATATTATAATTTTTATTTAGATATTTCATTATTATATACTATCCATTATTGTTAAATTACTTCTTTTCAATAATGAATCTAAATAAATATTTGTATTATATTAGTGTAATTTAAAATATTTATATAAATAATTAGATTAACTAAGTAATAATTTTTTTAGAAAAAAATTTATTTAACATTAATATGATAAATATTTTTTCTATTAAAAAATTAAATTAAATTAGGTAATTTAAAGAAGTTTTAAAGATATCTAAAAATGCTAAAATCTTAAGTTTAAACTATTTTTCATATATCTATTTGTATTATTAATTTTATAAAAAAAGAAATTTATGTCTAAATCATATTTTATTTTTATTATTATATACTATATAAGATATGTAACACTTGATTCGAATAACAACAATATTACAATTAATAATAATCATTGATTGATTATTTAATTTTTTTCAACCTATAAATTAGATTTGAACTTGATCAAGGAAATTGTCACAGTTATTGATACCTAAAGCTTGAGCAGCTTTCTTGTGAATATCAATCTTAGGATGACTAGGACCACCAGCACCAACATCTCCCTTAGTAGCAATTATAGATCTACCTTTGTAAGTTATTTAAAGTTTGTAGCCAAAAGGAAGTCCACCGAGAGCCTTGAAGTCCTTATTTAGGTAATTAATAGAAAGCTCGGCATAGTTATTACCAGCATAGAGGTTATTATCCCTCATACCAATTTAGTCTGTAAAGCATGAAGCAAGAACAGTTTGAGTATTACCAGCAGCTAATACTTACTAATGGTTTTCAGTGGATTCTGGTTAAGGATTTGCAGCACAAAAGACAGTACAGGCAATTAAGATGATTGCAATTTTTCTCATTGTTTAGTTATTTTTTTATTTTTTATTTTTTTTGAATTGTTTATAAATAATAAAGTCAACTCGGGTTAGAAATTTATGTTGTCAAGGAGCAAGCAAAATTTGGCTAAAATCTTATTTTTTGATTAAACCTTTTTAAATTACACAAATTCGGAAGTGTAATTAATTTGAAATGTAGCGTAAATAAATAAGGTCATTAATAATCAATACACTTAATTTGTAATAAATAAAAATACTTGGTTGTTAATCTATCTATTAAAATTAATTACAATCAATACAGAATTTCATGAAAATAAAACTTACTTGCATTTATTTACATCATATTTGAGTTTTTGAAGTTTGTTTCTTTTATTGCCCTCATTTTATTTTAGTATCTATCTGAATTTGAAGAAATAGAAAATAGAAAAATATTTAAATATATTTAAAAAACCAAAAAACATAATTGCATTAAAGAAAAAAAAATAAAATTAGTTTTATTGTAAGCTAAAATTAATAAATAAATACAAGTATGGATTATTAGTAAGCAGAATTAATTACATTAGAAAGAAAAATAAATAAATACCACACCGAATTAAATAAATTAGCAATTAAAATATAGTAAACAAGCACTCACCACTTTGCACACAAGGCTTTATAACTAACTGTAAACTAAAATAAAAGCTTTTTGGTCAAAACAAATATAATGTAAAATTTATTCGATCTTTATTATCAAAATTAAATTATTTTAACATAAATTTATTTATTTTAAAATAAAATATATTCATCAAACTCTAATTAATAGTAATAATAAAATAAAGGTTAAATGAATCTTCATAGGAATTTATGAAAGATAAAAAAATCCATTTTTTTCAATCAATTTGAGTTTGTTAATTTTTTCTAAAAATTACAAATAAAAGATTCAAGATATTTTTCTTTAGATATTTAGTTATGGATTGTTAGTATAAAAATAAAATAAAATTATTTAAACCACACTTTAAATAGTAATTTTAGCAGTAACTTTAATTGATTTTGTTTGGAAAAAAAATTAATAAACCCATTAATTATAATAATAAGATTTAGCTTTTTTCGAAATATTTCAAAACAAAAAAATAAAAATTAATTCTAAAATATTTTACTATTTGTTATTACTTATTTACTTACTTACTTATTTGTTAAATTAAATTTTTGAAAATATTTTAAAGATTTAACATTTATTTCATTAAAAAATTTAAAAATTCCTATAAATCTTTTTATATTTATCATACTTAATAATTTTTTACTTTATTTGTAAGGTTTGGGTAACTTCTATTTGTAAATATTATTGCATACTTATTAAGTAAATTATGTAATGTTACAATAATGTATTCTTAATTTCAATTAAAAAATTAGAAAATATTTAATCAAAACGAAATACCTTAATTAACACCAATAAATTAACTCTGTAACATAAATTTTTATCAAATAAAGTAAACTTAAAAGGCATTCATTACTTTATAGAAACCAGATACAATTTTTAAAATAACATCACTTATCTTACCTTTAGAAAGTAAATGTTAATAAAGATGCATTTAATAAATATTTAAGAGTATTTTCATCATATTTGAAGTTATAATCTAATTGATATCAATCTTTGAATAGTGAGAAAATTTATTTTTTAATTGAAAGATGAATTTCCAATATCATTACATATCATTACAAGTATTAATGACTGAGTAAGCTAAAAATTATATTTATATTTTCCTTTTCTAAAATATCACCAATACATTTTGTAAGTAAATAATTAATTAATGACCACTCAAATTTAAAGTTGTGGTTAACCTTCTTCGTGAATAATAATTAATGTACTATCAATGCCAGATAATCCATCAAATTTTGATATTTTTATAAACTTCTGGTAATAAATCGAAAAATCTATTTTACTTTAAATGTTTTCTATGAAGATTTCTTCAAAATGCAAGAATCATACAGAAAAGTAGAAAAAATGAGATGAATTACTTTAAACTCGAAATAGATTTTAAATATTACCATATTTATATCTGAATTATATATGTAAAATTCATTACTAAAATTCAAAGGTATTAACTTCACATAATGTAACTGTATCAAATAAATTTTTGTTTGCCTTTTTTTAAACAGTTTAAAATAAGTTGTTAATTGTATAGCAGATTAATTTTAATTAATATGATACACAAATTTAAACTTTTAACAATTTATCCTTTAAAAATCAAAAGTTTTTTATTATCTAATTGAAAAGGATCTATTATTTATTAAGCAAAATATACAACTGTTTTAAAATTATTTGAATATTATTTTATGCTGATATTTGGTAGGCGATAAAAATTCAGTGAGCTTATAAAATTTAATTTATATATTCACGTTAAAGAATAAAAAAAACTTATTTGAGAGCAATAAAAATATAACAAATAAGAAACGATTGGTTGGTTTAGTTATATCAAATTAATTGGCATATAAGTTATCTTATTAAGGTTAAGGATTAAACTTGTAGTAAAAAGTAGATGAAGGATGCTTGTTTCATTTATAGTATTTAATTTTTTGTTTCATTTATAGTATTTAATTTTTTGTTTCATTTATAGTATTTAATTTTTGATACAGATTTTTGCTATTATATTATATCCTTTAATTAATTGTTTAATTACTTTAATCTAATATTTAATCTAAAAATAATTTTCATACATTTGAAAAGTGAATGAATTTAAAAGATTAATGTTAATAATTAGATTAACTAAATAATAATTTCTTTGAAAAATTAAAAAAATTTGATTGAATTCATTTTAGTTTCAATAAATATTATAAACATTTTTACTATTATAAAAATTAAATCAAGTTATTGAATAGAGATTTTAAAGATATCTAAAAATCTTAAAATCTTAGGTTTAAATTAATCTTTAATATATATATTTGTATTAATTTGATAGAAATCAATGGTTAAATCATATTTATTTTTATTTTTATATATTATATAAGATATGTAATACTTGATTTGGGTAACATAAAATATTACAGTTAATAATAATCATGATTTATTATTTTATTTTTTTCAACCTATAAATTAGATTTGAACTTAATCAAGGAAATTGTCACAGTTATTGATACCTAAAGCTTGAGCAGCTTTCTTGTGAATATCAATCTTAGGATGACTAGGACCACCAGCACCAACATCTCCCTTAGTAGCAATAATAGATCTACCTTTGTAAGTTATTTAAAGTTTGTAGCCAAAAGGAAGTCCTCCGAGAGCCTTAAAGTCCTTGTTTAGGTAATTAATAGAAAGCTCAGCATAATTATTACCAGCATAGAGGTTATTATCTCTCATACCAATTTAGTCTGTAAAGCATGAAGCAAGAACAGTTTGAGTATTACCAGCAGCTAATACTTACTAATGGTTTTCAGTGGATTCTGGTTAAGGATTTGCAGCACAAATGACAATACAGGCAATTAAGATGATTGCAATTTTTCTCATTGTTTAGTTATTTTTTTATTTTTTGTTTTTTGAATTGTTTATAAATAATAAAGTCAACTCGGGTTAGAAATTTATGTTGTCAAGGAGCAAGCAAAATTTGGCTAAAATCTTATTTTTTGATTAAACCTTTTTAAATTACACAAATTCGGAAGTGTAATTAATTTGAAATGTAGCGTAAATAAATAAGGTCATTAATAATCGATACACTTAATTTGTAATAAATAAAAATACTTGGTTATTAATCTATCTATTAAAATTAATTACAATTTATCCAAATTTTTTTTGAAAATAAAACTTACTTGCATTAATTTACATCGTACATATTTAAGTATTTAAAATTTGTTTCTTTTATTGCTATCATTTTATTATAGTATCTCTCTGAATTTGAAGAAATATAATATAGAAAAATATTTTAAAAAATATATTACATAAATTTATGAAAGGATATAATAAAATTAGTATTATTGTAAGCTAAAATTAATAAATAAATACAAATTATAAATTATTAGTAAGCAGAATTAATTACATAAGAAAGAAAAATAAATACTACACAGAATTAAATAAATTAGCAATTAAAATATAGTAAAAAAGTTTTAGACTTTATTACTAACTGTAAACTAAAATAAAAACTTTTTGGTCAAAATAAATATTTTAAAGAGTTTATTCTATCTTTATTATCAAAATTAAATTATTTTAACATAAAATATATCCATCTAAATAAACTTCAATTAATAGTTATAATAAAATAAAACTTAAATGAATTATTGTATGAATTAAAAAAATATTAAAAACCCATTTTTTTTCAAAAAGAGAAAGATTCAATATACTTTTATTTAGATATTTAGTTATGGGTTATTAATACAAAATAAAATACAATTTAACCCCACTTTAAATAGAAATATTAACTGTAATTTAAATTGATTTTTGTTCCTAAAAATAAAAAAAAATCTATTTATTATAACAATAAGACTTTGCCTTTTTCGAAAATATTTCAAAACTAAAAAATACAAATTAATTCTTAAAAATATTTTACTATTTATTATTAAGTATTTTTTAAATTAATTATTTGAATATTTTTTAATGAGAAAAATACTTTATTTCAATAAAAAATTTGAAAATACCTTAAATCATTATCTCTATTTTTATCATACTTAATAATTTTTTACAGTATTTTGTAAGGTTTGGGTAACTTCTATTTCCTAAATATGATTACAGGTTTATCAAATAAATTGTGTATTATGTACTCTTAATTTCAATTAAAAAATATTTAATAAAAAAAATACCTTAATTAACACCAATAAATTAGTCTGTAACATAAATTTTTATCAAATAAAGCAAACTTAAAAGACATTCATTACTCTTTAGAGGCTAGATAGAATTTTTTACAAACATCACTTATCTTCCATTAGAATTTAGAAATTAAATATTAATATTGATGGATTTACTTAATATTTTAAACTGCTTTCACCTTATTTGAAGTTCTAATCAAATTCAAATATATCTTTGAGTAGTGGGAAAGTTTATTTTTTTATAAAAGATGAATTTCAAATATAATTAGCAGAGTCTCAATGAATGAGTAAGCTAAAAATTATATTTTTATTTTCCTTTTCTAAAATAGCACCTTTAAATTTTGTAAGTAAGTAAATAATAAATGACCACACAAATTTAAAATTGTGGTTTACCTCCTTCATGCATAATAATTTGTTTATTATCAGAATCAGATAATCCATAAAATACAGACAGATATTTATTAAATATTCTCCATGTAACACTTGATTTATCGAAAAATCTATTTTACTCACTCTTCTTATTTTCTAAGAAGATTTCTTAAATATGCATGAATCAATCATACAGAAATGTAGAAAAAAGTATTTGAGCTGAATTACTTACTTACTTTATACTTAAAACAGATTAAAATTTTTACCAGTCTATATCTGAATTAGATAAATAAAGTAATTTCATTCTTAAAAGCATAAGCTTGATATTAACTTCACATTTAGTAAATAATATTAATTAAATTTTTCATCCTTTTTTTAATACAATTTAAATTGTATTGCAAATTAATTTTAATTATTTTAATACACTTTTATCTTTTAAAAATGAAGAATTTCTAATTAACTAATTGATAAAGATCTATTTATTATTCTTACATTAAGCAATATAATATATGTTACAACCATTTTTTACATTTATAATTATTTTAATATTATCTTATGGTAACAAATAGATAAAATTTAATTTATATTTACAGTAGAAAAAATAATATTTATTTATAATAATATTTGCTGAAAGCAAAACTACTAAATAATATATTTTTTATTATTCGTGCATTTAGCCTTGAAAAAATCAGTACCCTAGAGTAATATATATATAATAATAATAAAATAATAATATTTTTAATTTACAATTTTTAAACCACAATAATTTACATAAATAGAGTTCTACATAAAAAAATTTTATCATATTATTAAGGTGTATTTATTTGAAAATTAGAGGAGTTTAAGCATAATAAAGTATTTTGACTCAAAATTTAACTTAATTTGATTAATTTCTATTATTATAATTAAATTTTATAATTTTATAAACATATCTTTAATTTTTATTTATATGTTTGACTACAATTAAATATCCTTGATTGCATATTTATTTTTATCCAATAATATACCTAAATCATAACTTTATCAATTTTAAAATTAAAATAACTTAAATATTACCTAAATAATTAGATTATCTAAATAATAATTTCTTGAGAATAAATAAAAATAATGAATCAATTTTAGTTTAAGTAAGAATATTAAATATTTTTACTTCTAAAAAAATAATTTAGTTTAACAAAATAAATTTAAATCTAATTGGCATTACTATTAGTTTATAAAAATAAAGAGTTAAATAATAGCATTTTCAGCTTAAAATTTATTGTAATATTTTTGTATTAATTAATTTGATAATAAAAAAAATTAATCGATAAATAATTTTTAATTTTATTATATATTATATAAAATACTAAATGTTTGACATGGATCACAAATATTAAGTGAAATAATAATCATTGATTAATTATTTTCAACCTATAAATTAGATTTAGACATTTTCAAGGAAATTGTCACAGTCATTAATACCTAGAGCTTGAGCAGCTTTCTTGTGAATGTCAATCTTAGGATTGCTAGGACCGCCAGCACCAACATCACCCTTAGTAGCAATAATAGATTTGCCTTTGTAAGTTATTTAAAGCTTGTAACCAAAAGGAAGTCCACCAAGAGCCTTGAAGTCCTTATTTTTGTAATTAATAGAAAGTTCAGCATAGTTATTACCAGCATAGAGGTCATTATCCCTCATACCAATTTTGTCTGTAAAACATGAAGCAAGAACGGTTTGAGTATTTCCAGCAGCTTATACTTCCTAAGTGTTGTCTTCTGGTAAAGGATTTGCAGCACAAATAACAGTACAAGCAATTAAGATGATTGCAATTTTTCTCATTATTTACTTTTTATTAAAATTTTTTTTTTTAATTATTTATTTATTTTTAATTAACTCTAAAGGACGGGGTTATAAATCATGAAGGCAAGTGAAAGCTTATGAAATTTTCTATTGTTAATTACCCAAAATATATTGTTGCTTCAAATAATAAAAATATAAATATACCCCGTTATCAAAGGATTAAGTAAAGTAGGTTTAGAATTTATGTTATCAAAGGACAGGTAGGTAAATTTGGTAAAATCTTATTTTTGATTAATCCTTTTTAAAATTACACAAATCTGGATGTGTATTTAATTTGAAAAATAGCATATAGAAATAGGTTCATTAATAATCAATACACGATCTTTGTAATAAATTAAAATATTTGGTTATTAACCTTTCTACCTCATATAAATCACAATTATTTTCCAAATTTTTGGTAAAATAAATCTTACTCATATTAATTTACATCATATTTAATTCTTTGCCTATATCTTTAATTTCCCTCATTTTTTTTTGAAGTATACTAAAATATAATACTTTTCTTTTTGTAAATGAACTTAAATAAAAGAATGATAGAAAAATATTTATTTAGACTTAAAAGACATATAGAAGGATTGGATGAGAGAGTATAACTAAAATTAGTTAACAAGTAAGTCAAATTAAATGATATGTAAATTATATATTTTTAGTAAGCAAAGTTAAGCAAATGAGAAAGAAAAATAAAATCTTACTCACCGAATTGAATAAATTAGCAATTAAAATTTACAAATCAAGTATAACTATACAAGAATTTATAGCTGTAAATTAAAATACAAACTTTTTTATTAAATTAAAAATAATGTATGATATTTTAGATTTTTTTAACCAAATTTAAATTATTTTAGCATGATTTTATTTTATTTGTATTCATCTTAAGTCCAATTCATATAAAAGCTAAAAATAAACTTAAATGAATGATCCTTTAAATTAAAGAGAGATAAAAAATCCATTTATTTCAGTAATAATAAATGTTTAGTTTTTCTAAAAGGTAACAAACTAAAAAATGCTTAATAATTGATTTTTTCAATAAAAATGAAATACAATTATTTAAACTCCATCATGATAGCAATATTATTAATTGACTATTTGTATGAAAATGATTTAAAAATTCATTCATTTTAAACTTTATAGTTTGATTTTTCTAATAATTTCAAAATCGAAAAATACTAATTAGATCTTCAAAATATTTTATTTTTATAATATTAATTACTTCTAATGCTAATTCTTTAAACATTTTTTAAGGACTTAATATTTTATTTTATTAAAAAAAATTAAAAATATATTAAAAATCTTTATTTATCAATCATATTAAAAATTTTTTACTTAATTTTAAGATTTTATTAATTTCTATATCCTAAAAATTATGACAGGTTTATAAAGTAAATTGTGTAAGATTGCAATTATCTACTCTTAATTTCAACTAAATAAAGAAAATCTTTAATAAATATTAAGATACTTTAATAAACACCAATAAATTAACTCTGTAACATTAAATTTTTAACATAATAAAGAAAAATTAATAACTATTATTATTTAGAGTTGATAGAATTTTTTAATATCACTTACATCAATTATATTTTTTTTAATTTTTTAATAAAGAAAAAGTTTATTTTTTGATTTTGAAAGATGAGTTTCTGATATCATGAATCGGATCTTAGGAGCTAAGCGAGCTTAATCTTTTATCTTTAATATCCTTTTAAACAATAGCGCCTATAAATTCTTTAAACAATAAGCTAATGACCACATAAATTTAATATTTTGATTCACCTCCTTCACTCTTTATAATTTTATTATTATCTTCCTTTTCTTAATATTATAAACAATCATCTATTTCTACAGAATATTTTAACATAGCTATTTGTTTTTTTCAAGATTTATAAAAAATATTTATCCCCCTATTTTTTCTATAAAAATCCTATAATGCTAATTTTCTTCTTAATTATTGTTGTTTTCCTCCTAATTAAATATGATATTTATTATTGAGTATTAATCAAAAGAAAGTATATTTATTTATTGAATAATTCAATTTTCTAAAATGAATTAAATTACATATTTATATTTTTATTTATATTAATATTTAATTTTATTAGCTTTTAAATAGCTATGCAATTGTTTCATTATATTAATTCAGTTTTTAAAAGAATACAATTTATATTCTTACTTTTTTATGTTTTAATTAATGTCTAGTGAACATTTATAAAAATTAAAAAGAAATATCTATTGTTAAATAGAAAAACTCTAAAAAAAGCACTTTAAATCCTTAAAATTAGTTAATAAAAATATAAATTATATTGAAATTTTATAAAAATAAATAAAAATAACAAAAATCTTATTTTCATTAATATTTAAATTGCATCTTTTATTTTTAAACTTATATATATATAAAGTAGTTCAAGATTAAAATTTCTAGATAGGTACCAAGATTTCTTTACTTCTTTTTTCGTCTTTTCTATTTTTAAACATGATAGCTAATTTTACAACCACATATTTTTCATATAGAATGTTAACTATAAAACTAGCACAAGCTACTCCTAAGATGACTAATAGAAAACTATAAGGCATTTTAGATATTGGTTCAGCATTTTTCTACTTAACTTACTCAAAAATCTATATTATATATTTAAATTGTTAAAAAAATATCAATGATTTTTTTTTTACGTTTAAGAAACTAGTGGTGAAGCTATCATGTAAAAGTAAAATATAAAGAGAGCATATGAGAATCAAAAAGAGTGATATTGTAAACCATTTATTTGTATAAAATTCTCTCTTGAACGGTTTGCCAATTGAAAATGCTACACAAGTAGAAATATACTAAAAATTAGAAAATAAAAATAACACCTTTTATTTTAGATAAAAAATAATTTAGTTAGCATTTTATTGAAATATTTTATTAATTATGAATATTAATTTTTTTGAATTACTGTTGATTCATAACAACTTTTACGAGAATCTGGATCATCAAAATCACCTATATAAGAATGACTGTCATAAACTGACATATACCAACCTTGAGCTCTTAAGATAAAGAACATAATTACCTTTTAAAAAACCGTATAAATTAATGAATTATTTTATTTTAAATCTAAAGTTAATACTTAAAATCCTCCATTTAAAAAAGTCATTCCAATCACAGAACATAATACAGGGAATGAAATAAGACTTGAACCTGGAACCTACTTAGATAGAGTGGGATAAGAGTCAGTAAGGCCCATTAGGAAAGCAAGAGGTATAATGATAACAAGATCCCAATATAAGAATTGCATATCCCCTGGTAGAGAGTTAACAGTATATAAAATGGTTGTAGTAAAAAATTAAATCATTGAATACAAAGCCATAAACTTAAAACATGAAAAACTTGTCACTAGTGCTGCTCTTCCTTCTTTGAGTAACTTTTTTATTTTATTTAACAAAAAATTAAAATTAAATTTTTTAATTTTGAAATTTACTTAGACTACACAAGAAATATCTTAAGTTTTAGATGTAAATGGTGCAGCTATTGAAGCCTCGGCATCTGACAAAGAGATTCCCATGTCTGCTGTTTTTAAAGCTCCACAATCATTAGCTCCATCACCACACATACCACAAGTAGGTTTCCAAGGCAACTCCTATAGCTATTAAAGTAACTATGCTTTTTCTTCAGGTCTCATTCTTGCAAAAATTTATGTTTTAAGTAGCATAGTTCTTAAAAGTTGAGCCTTTTCATTATTTTAATTAGACTAATTAATGATCGCTGAGAAAGCCCTACCAGTAATAGCTAAAGTATAGCTCTCTTCAGAGTTATTCCAAGGAACTAAATCTTAAATATCATCTAATATTTTTATAGAGATGAAAAATTTTTAATTAAATAAAAGCTAACTTCTTTAAAATAAATGTTTTTCTATATTTTAGTTAGATAAGAAATTTTACAATTACAAAAAAAAGAGATTAAAACAATTAATTGATGCTATGTTAAATAAAAATGAAAATACCATTTAAAGCAGCTATTTCCTATTGTTCTTACAATCCCGAACTTTGATTTTACTTGTCACTATTGTAGATTTAATTACTGTCTGATGAATATTGTATAATAATTGACTATTGATTTTATTATTTTATATTAGGTTAAGATTTTAACTCTTCTTATTCAGTCAAAGCTTATTAATTATTTTATTGACTCATTTAAGTCTTGGCTCTTTGTCTATAAATTTTTGAACTTTACACAACTAACTAGGTTTGATTCCTTTTTTTAGATTTATTCATTTAATTTTATTACATCAAAGAAATTCTTCTATCAACACTTTCTAATTATTGTGCCTTCTAAATTATTAATTTTTCTTCTTAAATTTCTAGAATTTAATGTTCTTTGTATTCTATCACTCCATTTTCAGGCTCTAGATTGTCTTCTTTTAGTTACTTTTAACCGTTTTCAAAATCTTTCCATATAATTTTATCTTTTTGAGTTGGGTCGTCACTTAAGTCACCAAAGTAAACTCTTTTTTTCTCATCTAAAATTTTACACTATCTTCCAACACTAATAGCTGTAAGTGCATTATCACCTGTGACCATAATTGTGCGAATGTTTGCTTCTTAAAGTTCCTCAATAATAGATGTTGTGATAGGCTTCAGTTTATTTTCCATAATTAATAAACCAGTAAATGTCAAATTGTTTTCTACTTCATCTCTTTCTAGCTATTGGATCTAAAATTAATTCATTTTGAGTACTTTGATTCCGAAGGCAAGAACTCTGAATCCTTTTCTTGCATAAAAATCTAAAACCTTTTTTTGATAAATATATTTATTAATCAAATAATAATTAGTCTCAATTACTTCATGGAAATTTTATGGGATAGTAGAAGGATTGCTCAATTCGAAAATTTTTTCAGGAGAACCCTTGACATACAACTTGTAAAAGTTGGTATTAAAATCTAAATTTTTTACAATAGTGCTCATCCTTTAAAGTTTTGAGGAGAATTCAAATCTTTTTACGATACCTAATTTAGTATGTGATTAATTGTTCTAATTGAATTATTATTTTATTTTCTATTCCTCAACTAAATTTCTGTTTGTAGATTTGACAACAGCTAAAACGGGCTCTGAATATTCACTTAAATTTTATTCTATTAAGTCCCACTCAGTAGCTTCGAACATCTTTACCTCTAAAGGATCTCCAATTAACTCGCCTTTGATTATTGTTACTCCATGACAACTAGCCATGCATTCTTTTAAAATTAAATCAGGATCTCCTATCAAAGAAAAAGGATTTTCTTCTCCATATATATGCTCTTGCTCAACTTTGCCATTTAGCTTTAAGTCTTTACCCATTCCTAGCCTATAAGTTTCTTCTTCAAGCTTAGCAAAGTTAATTTTATTAGGTCCTTAATAATTAACTGACTTTAATCCATACATATCTAAACCTTCTTCAGTAAGAGTTCCTGTCTTATCAAAACACATAATTGTAACTTTACCACTAATGTTAACCTAAAATTATTAATACATTTTAAAATATTTAAAGTTTTATTAATTAATTACTTTTGGTGGTGAGATGCAATAAATTTTTTATTTTTTCAGTCTTGAAATGGCAAATGAAATTCCAATTGATAAGCAAGTTGGTAAAGCAGGAGGAACAGTAATAGTGACCAAATCCAAACTGTTTAAAATCAAATCTCTTAACTCTATGATATGTAAATTATAACCTCTAATTAAAAATGGAAGAGAGAAAAAGAACCCTAAAATAGAGATTAACGCCAGAACTAAAATAAATTTCAAAGAATCTACATAAAATGAAAATGAATTTTGTTTTTGATAGAGAATAGATCTGACTAATTAACCCTTCATTGTGTTAAAACTAGTTGAACTTACTAAACCAAGTATTGGCACAGAACCTTTTAAGTGATATCTTGTTAAATAAATATTTAATGTGTACATGTGTCAATAAATAATATTTTACCTTGTTTCAATGCATTTAGTTCCAGCAAATAAAGTTGACTATTTACCATCTTCGTTTGGATTATATTTGCTATTGCTAAAGGGTAAAGCAGGTTTTATTATTGGTATAGATTCTCCAGTAAGCATAGACTCATTCATAACACTTGATCCATTCAAAAGGATAACATCGCATGGAAGTATTTACCCATCTGGAATTTCAATAATATCTCCAGGAACTAAATCTAAAGAACTAACCTTTTATTTATAGTTTGAAATTTCTCTGTCTATGATAAATCCTCCTTCCTTTTTAAATAATATAAAAGTAAATAGATTTAATATTTAAAAAATATAGAGGGGGGATAAATAAATAAATAAATAATTAAACTCCTCATATTTTATAGAAGTTAGAATAAAATATCCAGATTTTTATATTCGAATAATTTATGTATTTTGAATTCTTTCAATTTACACAATAGATAGATTTTTAAACGATATGTTGAAATTCTTTAAAAAATAAATAAGTTTTAGAATAGATAATTAAATCTTATAAAACTAGTTTTACTAAAAAAAATAAAAATTAAATTATTTCTTAGAAAATTTAAAAGACATTTTCGTTATTTTAAAAATTTAAAAAAAGGTTTAAAAATGAATCTGCTTCAAAGCAGAATTAGATTACAAAAATTTTAAAAATTTTTATATTTTTAATGATTAATTAATGTACTAATTTGATATATTGAGAAATTCCTCTGTAAACAAAGACATCAGTTTCAAAGAAGCTCATTTCTCTAAGTTTTTTGTAATTATTTTTTGTTTCGATTAAAGTTACAATACATGACAATGCAGAAGTAAAAAAGATAATTCCAGCATAGTAATAATATGGTTCAAGAATCCATAGGATTATACTAAAGATCTAGAAAATGTAGAATGGGGAAAGAACCTCATCTATAAGTATTTTTATGGTGGATTTATCAGGGATTTCAGTATTATTCTATCCATATATTGAAACTAAATCCTTAAATTTGTCCTAACTTTGGATACCAAATCCATGTTACTAATATATTTCGTTATTAGTTAAGAGATTAACTGCAAATTATATAGGTAAAAAACAATTTTAAATGCTGTCATAATAATAAGTATATAGTCTATAACTAAATATCTATTTTAATAAAAAAAGTATGTTACGTGTTTACTTTTCTCAATTTCAAAATAAATAATTAAATTATTAAAAGTTTTTTGCTTATTTAAATTTTTATAATACAGTCTTTAACAAATTACTAGATAATCTTGCTATGGTTTATCATTAAACTTCATTGATTTTGTTTCTAATCTCACTAAAGTAATTTAATCGTCTATTGAAATAGTAAAGATGATTAGCTTTAATTTTATGCTAATAAAATAATTACCTTTGGAAACAATCCTCATAAATTTAGCCTAAGATGATTGACATTTAATTAGCTAAAGCTTGATCTTAAAAGCAATGCTTTAGCGAGTAAACAAGTAAAGAATACCACAAGTTGCAAAAAAAAGGAAGTATGAAATTATCAGCTTAGTATTTTAAATCCTATATGAGTCTATATGCTTTATTATCCCTTCTTCTTAGACGTCTTATGGTAGTTGAAAATATACTTTATCAGGATCATAATCTTATATTTTGCTATTTGGATATTCTTATTTATTTATTCTAATTATTTTTATAAATACAAGTTAAATAATTTATAAACCAAAGTAATTCATTTAATAATTTTTTCTTCAAATATAATTATTTTAATATATCCTGTAAAATTTAAGTGATTTTTATTCAATTTTAATAGAAATAATAATGTAATTTTCAATAGAAAAGCTATGATAAAAAAACTTTAGAAGGCTTTAAATTTTATTTATGCTGAATCAAAGTAAGGTGTTTAAAGCGAAATATATATTAATATAATAAAAGTTTTAAATTCTTCTTAAATATTGTTAATTTATACCTTAAATTTAAATAGATATTATAAATTTATCTAATTTCTATACCTTCTTTACCCTTAATCTTACTTTTATGTGTTGGATAAATATTTAAAATTAATAAATTTATTTGAATAAGAGTAAAGCATAAAAAAATAATTTATTTTTATTTACATTGCTAGTTATATTGAATCTGCACTAATATTTAGAGAAGTAGAATTAGCCATACTTGTGGAAAGAATTCTTGCTACTAAATTTGAGATAAAAACTATATTTATCTGCTTTAAAAATTTAAATACTTATTTATTGATATATTTATCTAATATTTATTTTCAATTTTTTATTATAAAAATTCTGAATTAGCAGGTCAAATTTTGACTTTTTGATTATGAAAAAGATTGAGAAATAAAATATTTACTTATTTTTGTAATTCAATTAGATTAATGTTTATGCCTTTGCTAAAATTTGAGAAAGATAATTGTTTTAAACAAATTAATGATGATTTGTTTTTAATTAAAAAATTTAAACTAAAATGATCACAAAATTTATTTTTCTTAACAAAAATAGTAATTGATTTAATAATAATTTATCAGAAAATTCATCAGAATTGAAAAAATTAAAGAATTATTATCAAAACTAATTGCTATTTATTAATACCATATATTAAAAAAGAAAAAAACCTTGAACAAATTATTTTTATAGTTATCACTCCTTATAACAATTCAAATTAAAAGTATTTATTTAAATAAATACCATCTATTCTCTATATTCAGGTGACTTTTTAAAAAATTTATTTTTCAAAAAGTACCACCTTATCACCTTATTTTAGAGCTCACCTTAATAAAAAGAAAAGCTTAATTATGAGAATAGACGGTATATAAGTGTAATTAATTATTTTAGTAAGTTCTTAAAAAAATTATTGAAAATATTATTTTCACATAACTTAAATTTAGAATTAAATGAGGTTTGGTAATTTAAAAATTATTTTATAAAATATTCAATTAAAATTATTAAATTTTTTAAAATCTCTAAAAAATACTATATATTTCTTGTTTAATTAAAGCGGATTTAAATTATTTTAAATCTAAGAAAATTTTCATTTTCATTGATAATTAAAATCAATTTTAAGAAAGAGTGAAAAATAAATATACTTCAAAAATGTTATTAAAATCCCTTAAAGATATTTTAAAAATTCTGATTAATAACTGTTTTTTCATCAATATTTAACAATCTTAATAATTATATTTTAAGAATAAGTTAGTAAGTAAATTTTATGAAATTGTAAAAAAAATACTGTAAATTTCTATTAATATTTTATTTTTTATTAAAACAAATATTTTTATTATATTTAGAACTTCAAAAAATATATTATATAATTTTACAAAAAGAGTAAAATATATTTGCTTTTCATTTAATGAAATATATTTTTATTTGAATTAATATTTCTCATGAAACTTAAAAAAATGTACATCCTCTACATGAATTCTAATTTTAAGTTAGCACTATTAATGCATTATCTTATGTATCAGATAACCCAGATGTTGATTATACTGTCATATAATATGAAGAACCCATCAATTTTAAGTATTAGAAACCTTACCCTATTTCATCTATTTCAAATAAAGTCAAGGAATCTAAATTACAATTCTTGACCACTAAAGGCTGGTTATCTTAAGCAGCGGTTACTCCTAGGCACTGTTATTAAATGGTATTTAACTAAATTTAGTATATATTTTCATCATTAGTAGGTCTAGTTATTATATATGAATTACTTGTGGTGGAATTGTTTGATAGTTAGAATACAGATTAAGCAGTTAAGTTATATGAAACAAACTTTGCACTCTTAGTATTCATTATTTATCTAGACCCTACATATGGATCGGAAGAAGAATTAACATAACCAGAGCAATTATCCAAATTTGATTAGAATTATAATCTGTCGTAACAATATTAGATAATATAGTTTTACATTGCATTTACTACATAAGTAAGAGTTGCAGAGTCTATGGGGATTGCAGGATTATTCTAATATTGAGAGATAAATTCATATATAGGAGTGAGGTCTGTTTTTATAGGCATTGGAGTATCTAGTGTTTGAGTAGCCCACTCAGATGCATCCAAATTAGCATTTGGAGTAGCTCCCATAGAGTAAGATGACCAACTCTTTAAGGATGATTAGAAACTATTAAGTTATTACTAAGAGTAATCAGTTGAGACTTTACCTTGAACACCGTAAAGAGAAGCTCCTACAGATGCATCAAAACCAAGATTAGATTGTTACTAAACTGATGAAGAACTCATAATAAATTAATAACCAAATAGAGAACCAAGTTTGATAGAAGTAGCAACATGAGTACCCCAGGAGTCGAAAAAATCATAATAATATTCTCTCTCATTTGTATAATTAGAATATGAATACAATTATTGAATTTTATCTACAAGCTATAAAGAAAGTAAAGGAATGCTGTTTGGGTCGTTGTAAAAGCTCAAGTCAAAAGCAGAGCAAGTAGCAAACGAATGGATGCATTAATTATCCTTTTAGGAAAGGGTATCTTACATCTACTAGAAATCAGCACTAGCAGAAAATGATGCTGCAAAAAGACTTCCTTTACCATTAACTTAAGCAGATAAGCTATTTTAGTAATCATTAAGTGTGGAAACATCTTTTGAACTAAAAGTTATCAAACAGCTCTTTTCAATGGTTAATCTGACACCATCAGGTATGAAATACGCTCTATCAGGGCTGACTGAATCCCAAAGATTATCTTGATAAAGCAAATCAACTGTAGGAAGATTTCTGAAACCAGGGTCAATTCCACTATTGCTGAGAGGATTGCCATAAAATATGTTATACCCTTATCCCAGATAAGAAATATTAGGAATGTACGAGATTTAACCTTGAGAAATGGTTTGATTCCAGAACATAATTTAATCAGGCTGCTAAGCATAAATTACATTAAGCAGTAAAGCTAAAGAAAATATTAACTTAATGCTTTTAATAATCATTTTTGATTTCATATTTTTTTTATTGAATGTTTATTTTATATTTTTGTTTATTAAATTATTAAATCACTGTTGAATTCTTGTTTTTAATTCAGAAAGAGGTGATTTATTCATTAAATAATTAATTTATGTAAATAGATAAATCGATTTAACTTGGAAAAAAAGTTATTAATTAATAAGGGTTATATTTTGATGATAAAAACTTACATTTTTAATTTAATTATATAAACGGGTAGGTAGGTAGGGGGATAGGGTATTTATTTTGAAAACAAAAGAAATTCAAAAGCTAAAAAAAATGTTATAATTATTTTATTAAATCTATTTGAATTTTATAATTCATTAAAAACTGTTTTTTCAAGTGAAATTTTAATAAGTTGTACATTTAAAAAAATATTTTGTATAAAAATTATTGTTTTAAATAACAAATTAAGTTGCAATTTTCACAATATAGATTTATCTATTTTATTTTAATTAAAGTAAATTTGCCTGAATTATTAATTTTGTAATAAACATAAATTAAATACGTTTAATTTTAGCTTGAATTGTAGGTCTGTAAGAAAAATATGTTAAATTGTAAATAATATTGTCTATTTTCTCTTAATTAAATATTCAATATTTTATCTTTATTATTTCTATAAAATATAATCAAAACCTAAAAATTCAATCAAACATATCTAATAAGATGAAACCAACAAAAACAAAAATTAAAAGTATCTTAATCATAACTTTAATTATTTCTTGCATCAAATGCAATGATATAAGTGATACACTTTAATGGAACGATAGTATAAATACCTAATCTATTTAGTATATTCCAAATGTGTAATATCTAGGATAGGGCTACAATATTTTTACTTCAAACCCTCATTCTTCATAAGGTCTTGATCCTGGTTACAAAAATATTGCAGCTATTAATTTAACATATACTGATAACCTTTGGTAAAATGTAAATCCCGAAAGAACTTACTTTGTGCCTAATGGTGTTTTTCTATCTTAGCAAAAAAGTTGCACCATGTCTTTTACTGCAAGATAAGTTGCTTCTATGATGGACTACACAAGCAGCTTGGAAGCTTCAGTTTCTATTAAGGGAACCTTTTTTGGTGGTAGATTCAGAGCTAGTGTTGATTACTAAGACATGCAAAACGATATGGAAAGTGGTGAGTATTAATATATAGTTTCTCATTCAAGTTGTTCTGTTTTCCAACTAGATTTAATTGATTCTCCTACTTATCATGCTCAATTTACTAATGACATTTTGATGGATTTTTAAAATCTTATCTCAATCTAAGGCAACAGTAGTAATACAGAAGCTAATGCTTATTATGATTTCTTCGACAAATGGGGTACACATGTTGTCTCCTCTGTTAATTTAGGCTCTCTCTTTGGTTATAAATTCTAATTACTCACTTCTGACATCTAAAGCATGAATAATTAAGGGATAGATGTTTCTGCAAGTGCAACTATATTCAATGTGAGAGGTAGAACTAACACTCAGATAGAATAGAATAATTTGGATAATTTTAGCTAATCAATCCAAAAATGGACTTCTTATTCGATTGGAGCCACTCCTGATGTAAATAATGATCCTGCAAATTGGGCTTCTCAAACTCTAACGAAACCGATGCCAATCAAGAGTTCAATAACTCCTTATCACGAGGCTCTTAATATTTTCACTTAAGGTAACAATAGTATTTTGCAAAGTTCTCAAATATTATAGCTCTATTATAAACTGAGATTATATGGAAACTCATACTGCTCTTAGAGATTGTTGCCAAACGGATAAATAGATTAATGCAATAGCAATAGTTAAAGTGATTATAATTTTAGCTAATAAGAATAAACAGTAACTTATTATGATGTATCTCTCTTAGACATCACAAGAACTTAAATAGCTGCCTATTACTAGAATGCAACAACTTTCAACACACAGCTTTAACTTTCTCCTATTGAGAATACAATTGGATATAGATTTTTCTTCAAAAATAACAATCAAATTTTAAACGGCTAAGTAACATATTATGTCAGTATAGTTGCTACTGCTGGTAATAACATGTGTTTGGTAGGAAATCCAACTCTTGGTGAGCCAGCAACAATTAGTGGTTGCCCAAATAATGATAACGCAACTTTTTCTTATATTGCGTATGATGACAATATATTTAGTTTGCAATTTAAGAGCGATCCAACAAAATGTTTAGGATTTGACAGCTAAGGGATTCTTAGAACAATGGTAACTGATTCTTGTTTCGAATGTCAAGTAATAGAATTAATACAAAACACTCAAACTAAAAAGAATTCTTGATTAAATACTAGTCATTAATTTTATTTAAGTCTTTATAAATAAATATTTACTATGTAATTTTAGATAATTTAAAAAATGAATGCAATTATATAAATATATATTTATCAATTAAATTGCTTTTTATTATCTATTTTATTCATTCATTTGTTCATTTTTTAATAAAAAAATAAATAAACATTTGTAAAATAATTTTATTAAAAACTAAATGTATCAATATTTTTCTTCAACTTCTTAATAATTAAAAAAATGATGGATGGATGGATATCTTATCAATATTAAAATATTGAGTATCAAATAATATGGAGCTTTAGTATATTAAAATTTTAAATATCCTTAATTGTCATTAATGTTTAATTATATGTTTTTATTAATCAAATTACATTTTCTCTAATAATGTAAACAAATTTATATTATTTTAATTAAGACCTCTTTGATAGTTTAAAAAAACTGAATAAATGTATTTTAAATCTAAATCAATTTATTTTTTTTATTACATTTAATATTTTTTTTAAATAACAGAATTAACTTGAGCGAAAAAAAATCAAATTAAAATATATCAAACAATAAAAATAATATTTATTCAAAGAATTCAAAAATTCTAAAATGAAATTCTTTTTTCAGTTTCATATAATCATTTTTCATGAATAAATATACTTATCTTTAAAAAAAAATACTTGGAAAAATTATAATTTTCAAATAATTGATTAAATGTAAGAAATTTATATGCAATTGTAAATTATCTCAAGGCGTTAGAATGAATATAACTTTCTATTCTATTTCCTGACTTGTTTTCTATTTGATGAGTTTTTCAAATTTTATGTTGAAAAGCAAATATTTATATTTATTATTTTGTTTTAAAAGGAATAAAATTATTTAATTTAATTTATAGAAATTTACAAAACATTTTTAATTTTTTATATTGTTATTTACCATTTTATTTTTAAACATTTTTTTTTACATGTAATAATGGTGAATTTATTTTATATGCTTTAATTATTGTAAGAAATTTAATTCGAAATGTAAGACTTTGAATTTATATTTTTAAGTAATTAATTGAGGTAAATAAGTTGATGGATTTGTATCAGTTTAAAGTATTGTAAGGATTTCAATCCCATTTGTAATTAATTTAATCTTATTTTATAAATTATTAAAAGAGGGGTAGGATTCTGAATTTTTTTTATAAATTAATTGAAAATCTATCAAAAATAATTGGAAAAATTTAATTTAAAAAAAAGGACAAAACACAAAAGTAGAAGAAGATAATTAAAAAGTTGATAAAACAAACGACAAATAAAAAAATAAACTAAAAAAACCTTATTGAAACTCTCATTTTATTTACAATGAATAAAAGACAGAAGACTGTTTTTCTTGTTTTTATTTTACTCATTGGTTAATGCTAAGCTGGGTATCTAAGAGGATAAGACTAGACTATACTTTGGAATAATACTATTGATCCAGCTTCTATTGGCTATATTCCTAATGTTTAGTATCTAGGATCCGGATACAATATTTATTTTGCCAATCCTCATTCTACTACAGGACTTGACCCTGGATTTACAAACTCTGGCATTCTTGAATTAGATTATAACAATAATCTATGGACTAATATTAATCCAGATCGCTCTTATTACGTCCCCGATAATGTAAGCTTAACTGTAGAAAAAAGCTGCATTGTTTCATTTTAATCTTAAGAAGTAAATTCACTTTCTTAATACAGAGATAGTTTGTCTTCTTCTGTGCAATTCTAAGCTAAATATTTTGCAGGAAAGTTTTCAGCTAGTTCAGACTATTAAGAAGTCTAAGATGGACTTAATTCTGCCAATATTTAATATATAGAGTCTTAGGCTAGGTGCTCGATATTTTAACTTGATGTGTACAATAGTCCTTCTTAAAATGCTTAACTTACTCCTTAACTCTAGTAAGCTTTGTTTACTTTAGCTTTTAACTAAACATCTTAAAATGATTACTATGATTTTATTGATACTTGGGGTACTCATGTTGTAACTTCGGTTAACCTTGGTTCTCGTTTTGGATACAAATATCAAATGGATAAGTATCAATCTAATTAGCTAACTTAATAAGGAGTAAATTTATCAGTAAGTGCTTCTTATTTCAGCTCTTCTGGATCCGCTTCTGGTGCATACAACTAGACTTAAATACAAAATTTTACTCAAGCAATGACTAGCTGGTCTTCTTACTCTATAGGAGCTACCCCTGATGCAAATTAAGACCCTTTATCATGGGCATAGCAAACTCTCGACACTCCTATGCCAATTAATATCTCAATTTTATCATTTGATGACTTTTTGAATAAATTCTCTTTTTCTGTTAACGGATTAACTTCTTCATAGTTAAATACAGTTATTAGTAATTTGAGTTAATATCTATAAACTTACTGTGCTAATAGATTGTTAGTAAATGGTAAAATTGATGCTTGCGCAGATTAAGAAGTGTCAAGTTCTTAAATATTCTAATACTCAAATAATACCTTTAAAATTTAAAACTTTTTAAGTAATAACTACATATAAGGTTAAAATGGATAGAATATTACTAGTGCAGTATTATTTACTAAAAACCCTAATATAAATATTGCACAACCTGATTTCTAATAATTTAAAATGCAAATATAATCATCTAACACAGTTTCTTTCATCTAAAAATAAGGAGGAGAGTGCATTACATATTCAAGTTCATAAAATAATTCAACCTTAACTTTGCAAAGCTGCAACGGTTCCTAAAATTAACAATTTTAAGTTATTGATATTGCCCCATCTCTTTTTTACATTAAATCAACAATGAATAACTTATACTTCACAAGCTAAGGATCATATTTCTAAATGTAATAGCTACAAAGTTGCTTAGGATGCTAAGTTTTTAATTTGGCATATATTATATGAAAAATAAATTATAAAAAGAAATCTATTGAATTATATATAATATTGAAGCCTATGACTTTCATTTATAAGAATATATGTCGTATTTTAATAAATCAATTTTTTTTAAAATATAAAAATTTTTATATTTTATAACTAAAATTAAAATTTTTTTATTGTTATTTGATTAAAAAAATTTTTATTTTTATTATTTTTATTTGGATTTTATTTATTAATTTATATATATATTTCTAAATAAATAAGATGAGAAAATTAAAATTAAAAAATTTTTTTTACTAAATATATATTATAAACACGTATTCTAAAATATACTACATCAAGTATAAATATTTGATTAGTTATTATTTTAATTTAATTTATTATTTAAAATAAATGCTATTAATAATAAAACAGGTATTACTTTTTTTCTTTAAAAATGAAATATATTTTTTAGAAAATTCAAAATTTAATTTTTGAAACAGGGTCTAATAGTGTTTGACTTCTGCTCTAATCTTTTTTATTTTTGACTATGACAGCTAATTTGGCAACTACATATTTTTCATAAATGATGTTAACCAAAGAACTAGCACAAGCAATACCTAAAATGACTACTAAAAATGTTCTTGGCATTTCAGATATAGGTTCGTTATCATCAAGTTGAACTTATTCAAAAATCTATTAGAATAAAAATTTTAATTCTTTCTGATATGAAATAAACAAAATCATACGTTTAAGAAGCTAGTTGTAAAGCTATCTTGCAATAATAAAATATATAATGAGCATAAACTAATTAAGACGAGACATATTGTAAACCAAACGTTTGTATAAAACTCTTTCTTGAAAGGTTTACCAATCGAGAAAGCTATGCAAGTAGCAATATATTAAAAGTTTGCAAACAAGAAAAGTACCTTTTATTTTTTAATTAATTTTATTAAAGTAATATGAGGACATTTTTAAGTAATTTAAATAAATATTAAGTACTGTTGATTCATAGCAACTTTTACGAGAGTCCGGATCATCTAAATCACCTAAATAGGAATGGCTGTCATAAACTGACATATACCAACTTTGGGCTCTTAAAACAAGGAACATAATTATCTTTATTAAAATAATTTTTAGCTATTTTATTTAAAAAGAAAAATAAAATAATTTACTTAAAAACCTCCATTTAAAATAGTCATTCCGATAACAGAACATAAAACTGGGAAAGATATAAGACTTGAACCAGGAACTTGTTTAGAAAGTGTTGGATAAGCATCTGTAAGCCCCATGAGAAAAGCAAGTGGTATAATGATAACAAGATCCCAATATAAGAATTGCATATCTCCTGGTACTGAATTAACAGTATATAAAATTGTTGTTGTAAAGAACTAAATCATAGAATACAAAGCCATAAACTTAAAGCAAGAAAAACTCGTAACTAATGCTGCTCTTCCTTCTTTGAGTAACTTTTTTTAATTAATTAATTTTTATTTTAATCTCTAAAAGGATATTTTATTTTAATTGATTAAATCAAGATTTAGATTTAAAAAATTACCTCTACCACACAAGAAATATCTTATACTTTTGATGTAAAAGGCGCAGCTATTGATGCTTCAGCTTCTGATAAAGAAATACCCATATCAGCAGTTTTTAAGGCTCCACAATCATTTGCACCATCACCACACATACCACAAGTAGGTTTCCATGGTAAATCTTGTAGCATTTGAAGCAAAAGAGCCTTTTCTTCTGGTCTCATTCTGGCAAAAATTTATGTTTTAAGAAGCATAGTTCTTAATAGCTAAGCCTTTTATTTGCTTTCTGAAGCCTAACTGATAATCTTTGAAAAAGCTCTTCCAGTAATTGCCAAGGTATAATTATCTTAAACATTATTCCAAGGAAGTAAGTCTTGAATATCATCTAATAGAAAAAATAAAAATAAAATTAAAAATGAGTTAAATTAAAAGAAATTAAATATAAATAAATTAGTAATTATTACCATTTAAGGCAGCTATTTATTGCTATTAGTTTAAACTATCATTTGCATCCTAGATATCACTGTAAGAAGAGCAAACACTTTCAGATCTGTGGTTTTATTTTATATTACTTTAATCAAATGCTCTTTGAATATAAATTTAAGAGACTGGGTTTGATACATTGTAGTTTTCAGGGTTATTTTGTTAATTCATTTAGGTCTTAGCTCTTTCTCTATAAATTTTAGAACTTTAAACAATAATTTAAGAAGTATTTCTAGATTAAAATTTTCCTTATTTTCCTTTTTTAATCTTTTTAATCATCACAGATATTTTTCTATCTTTATTTTCTAAATATTATGCTTGCTAGATTAACATTTACTCTTCCTAAATTTCAGGTATTTATTTTTCTTCGTATTCGGCTACCCCATTTGCAGGTTCAAGATCATCCTCATTTAGATACCTTTTACCGTTTTCAAAATCTTTCCAAACAATCCTATCTTTTTGAGCTGGATCATCACTCAAATCACCAAAGTAAACTCTCTTGCTTTCATCTATAATTTTACATTATCTTCCAACACTAATTGCTGTTAGCGCATTATCACCTGTTACCATAATTGTACGAATATTAGCCTCCTAAAGTTCTTCGATAATTGATGTAGTTATAAGTTTTAATTTGTTTTCCATAATTAAAAGACCAGCAAACGTCAAATCTTTCTCTACTTCATCTCTTTCAAGTTTTTGAATTTAATTTTAATTCATTTTCAGTACTTTAACACCAAATGCAAGAACTCTGAAACCCTTTCTTGCATAAAAATCTAATACCTTTTTTGATATTTTATTTTTATTAATTAAAAATAAACAAAAAATGAGAATTAATTACATCATGAAAATTTTAAGGAATAGTTTAAGGATTACTGAGCTCGAATATCTTTTCAGGAGAGCCTTTCACGAAAAGCTTGTAAAAATCTGAATCAAAATCTAAATTTTTCACAATTGTGCTCATTCTTTAAAGCTTTGATGAAAATTCAAATCTTTTGACAATGCCAAGTTATGTTTGTGCTTAAGTATTTTGATAAAGTGTTTCTTAGATTTTGAAATCCCCAAAGCAATCTCCTTTTGCAGATTTGACAACAGCTAAAACTAGCTCTTTATAATCACCAAGATTTTATTCTATCAGCTCCCACTCAGTAGCTTCAAACATTTTTACTTCTAGCGGATCTCCAATTAATTCACCTTTAATTCTTGTTATACCATGACAGCTTGCCATGCATTCTTTAAGAATAACTTATGGATCTCCAATTAGGCAATAAGGATTTCCTTCTCCATATTAAATTTCATGCTCAGATTTATTATTTTATTTTAAATCTTTATTGAAGCCAAGTCTGTAAGTCTCTTCTTCAAGTTTAGCAAATTTAATTCTACCAGGTCCCTAGTAAATTACTGATCTTACTCCATACATATCAAGGCCTTCTTCAGTAAGAGTACCAGTCTTATCGAAACACATAATTGTAACTTTACCACTGATATTAACCTATAATTTTTAATTAGTTGATAAACTCAAATTATACAAAAAGCTAAAAATTCACAAATTGATTACTTTAGGTGGTGAAATGCAATATATTTATTTCTTTCTAAGTCTAGAAATAGCAAATGAAATACCTATTGATAAACATGTAGGCAAAGCAGGAGGAACTGTAATTGTAATTAGATCTAAGCTATTTAAAATAAAATCTTTAAGATCGATGAAATCTAACTGATATCCTCTAATTAAAAATGGAAGGGAAAAGAAGAATCCTAAAATCGAAATAAGTGCTAAAACTGCTATAAATTTCAAAGAATCAACATAGAAAGAGAAAGAGTTTTATTTGGGATATAAGATAGATCTAACTAATTAACCTTTCATAGTGTTAAAGCTAGTTGAGCTTACCAATCCTAAAATAGGAACTTATCCTTTTAAGTGATATCTAAATTAAAAAAGAAATATTTTATATTAATGAATAATAAGCTTAATATTACCTTGCTTCAATGCATTTTGTACCAGCAAAAAGAGTAGATTGTTTTCCATCTTCATTTGGATGATATTTATTATTATTAAATGGTAATGCTGATTTAATAATTGGGATAGATTCGCCAGTTAGCATAGATTCATTCATGACACTTGAACCATTTAGAAGAATAACATCACAGGGAAGAATTTATCCATCTGGAATTTCTATAATATCTCCTGGAACTAAATCTAATGAACTAATTTTTTTCTTGTGATTTGAAATTGCTCTATCAATCGTAAAACCTCCTTTCTTTAAATTAAATAAAATTTTATTTTTTTATTTTTAATTTAAGGATTGTTTAATAAATTTTTAATTGAAAAATATGTCTTAATAGTTTTTATTAAATAAAGATTGCAGTATATTTTATATGAAAATATTTAAATAAAAAACTTATTAATAATGATAATTTAACATACCAGTTTAATGAAACAAGATACTCCTCTATAAACACAGACTTCAGTTTCGAAGAAGCTCATTTCTCTGAGTTTTTTGTAATTATTTTTAGTTTCGATTAGGCTAACAATACAAGAGAGAGCAGATGTAAAAAAGATAATACTAGCATAATAATAATATGGTTCAAGCATCCAAAGGACTATACTAAACACCTAAAAAATGTAGAATGGGGAAAGAACTTCATCTATAAATATCTTCAGTGTAGATTTATCTGGAATTTCTGTATTATTCTATCCATAAATAGAGATTAGTTCATTATATTTGGATTCACTTGAAACCCCAAACCCGTGTTACTAGTAGATTTGATTATTTGTTAAGAGACTTAATGCAAATTATATTGGAAAAAAGCAATTTTAAAGGTTATCGTAATAATATGTGTACAGTCTGTAACTAAAAATCTAATTAATAATGAATTAATAATACTTTTTAATATCAATTAAAATATGCTGAAAAATTAAAATTATAAAAATATTTATTTAGATTTATTTTATTAAGAAATAATTACGAGATAGTTTTAAGGTGGTTTATCTTCTAATTTCATAGATTTTGTTTCTACCTTTACTAAAGTGATTTAGTCATCTATGAATAAATATTAATCAATTATTATTAAAATTTATAAATTTAAATAGAAATTATAAATACCTTAAGAAACAACTTTGATAAATTAAGCATCTTTTGGTGAGCATTTGGTCATTTATAGTCTAATCTTTAGAGTAATATTCCAACGAGTAAATAAATAAAGAATACCGCATGTTAAAAATATGAGGATATACGAAAGCACTAATTTAAAACTCTAAATTCTATAAGAACTAATTTCTTTTATAATTCCTTCTTCTTGAATATCTTCTGGTAATTAAAATAACACTTTATTGGAATCTCTTTCATTTTTATGATAATTTTAAGAGTCCTATTAATCTATTCTAATTTAAATACAATAAAATTAATTTAATAATAAATAATTGAAAATATTATTTAAAATTTTTAAAAAATTTTATTTTTTAAATTTCCAATTTAATTTATTGTAGAAGCTTTAAAAATGTATATTATAACTGAAGATCGACAGATAATATTAATTAAAATAGAAATCATTTTAACTTAAAAATTAATAGAAAGTAATAAAATGATCAAAATAATTTAAATTTATAAAATGTACAAGGTTTGTTTGATGGAATCTTAGCTGCTGTCTAACGAAATGGATTAGTCTTTCATATTATAATTGAGTTTATTTATTGAAAATTTAATAAAGAAATTTGCTCTTTATCTAAATTAGGTTATCTTTTTATAATTTTTTAGGATGGAAATATTTATTTTTTGTTTAATTTAAATAATGATAGAAATTTTGAAGATCTAATTAGCACTTAAGGAATCATAAATATAATCTAAGATAAAAAAGATCTGTAATTTTGTAGAGAAAATAATAGTTTTATTTTTTTCTCAATTTTTAGAGATATATATGTTAAGCTTTAGATCCTATAAACTATTCTCAATAATAATTGAATTTAATAATCAATATGCCAATCTATTTTTGTTTTGACAGAAAAATATCTAAAAAAATACATACAATAATGTATCGCTAATTCAATATATTTTAAATGAAACAAACATAATCAATTTTTCTTTAGCAATATTTATGCAAATAGTTAGTTTTGATTGTAATAGATGCTTTAATGTGATAAAAATTTGTTAACTATCTATCAACTTAAAATAAAGATTTTTTCTTCAATTTAATATAAAATTGCAACAAAATTCTTACAATAAAAAAATAAATTTTTACTGATTTGAATTAATAAATTATTTTACTTATTAATTTTTAATATTCTTAAAACAGAGTTTCAACCATACTTTAAAAAAAGATAGTTTTTTCTTGTCTATTATGTTTTAATATGAAAGAATATCTATATATTAATTATTGGTAAAATCTGATCATAAAAATTTTAACAAATATGCGCAAATTTAATATTGTCTCAAACGCAAGAATATTTTTTACATCTATTTATTTTTATAATTTTCGCCCCATGTTACAAAGCATAAAATAAATGTTTATTTACATTTCATTTCATTGATTTTAAAATCTATTTTATAAATTTAGATTGAATCAATATAAATATATTATAATAAAATATATTTTATTATTTTTAAAACTAAAGAAAAAGCTAAAATTAAATAGCTGATAAACTAATTTAAAACACAATTATTAAAATTTATTATTAAATTCTGAGCAAAAAATAATTGAATATAATTAAATATCTAGATAGATAGATAAATAAAAGAGTAAAATTTCATAAGTAATAATTTCAAGTATTTTGGAATAATTTATTCTTTTTCTCTAAAAGATTAAATTAAAATTAATCAAATTCACAATAATTAAAATATTTACATAATCAATTTCACAAAACATTATTAATTATTCTATTGGGCATTTTAGATTTTTTATTTATTGAATATCAAATTTGAATTTATAAATATTTTTGTTTATCAAAAATCATTTAAAAGATTCCTAAAAAAAGTATTTTAGTTTTGTTTTAAAAATGTTAGCTAAAAAAATTAACTAAGTTCTAAATACCAAATTCCATCAGGATCTAATTAAAATTAATAAAGATAATTTGAGTAAGATTGAATTTTTAAAATTAATAATAGAGTCGTCAAAAGCGAAATATAAATAGAAAAAATAATTTCTGATGACTTTCTGTTTTCAAAGTCTTAAAATTTTTAATACACTGTCAAAAATTAATAATTTGATGAATTTGATGACTTAGAAAATTCAATTTAATGGATTTATTTAAAAAAAATAATTGAGTTTTTAACAAGCAAATTAATTTTATAACTCATTAATTATTTGATTAAAACAATAAATCTTCTATTAAATCAGTTTTTTTTTTTAAATTTAAGACTCGATTTAAAAAATTTTTTTCAATTTAAGCTTACACATTTCTAATTCCTACAATATTATATTTAACACATTTTAACTATTTCTATTTAGATTTAATAATGAATGATAAACTAAATTTTTGCCATATTCTTCCTAAAAGCTAATTTTAATTATTGCTATTGCATTTATTTTAATTATTAATTCTTTTTATCAAAATAAAAATTAGATAAAGCTAAATTAATTTTTTTATATGTTTATAATTAATTAAATCTCCATAAAATACTATTCAAATTTTTGAAAAAAAATAAAGAAATGATTTAATAGAAAAAATATTTCTAATATCAAAAATATTTAATAATTTATTTTATATTCTTTAAATTAATTTTTATTAATAAAAAAATTTTTAACATCTAAGCTTAATCTAATTCACTTGTATATAATGATTTATAATATATTTAGTTTATTAATGTTATTATTATTTACTTTTTTATATTTTATTTTCAAAGTATTTAAAATATTATTTTTTTAATAGATATTCTCATCTAGTTCATTTATTTTTAGTTATAGAAGTATTTTTTTTATTATTTTAACTTATTTTTAAATTTAAATTTTTATTTAGATTATTTTTAATTATTTTCTTATTATTTCATATTTTTTATTCACTTTTTTATTCTTACCAACTTATTAATTAATTATATATTTTTTCATCAATATATATTAAGGAAGAATTGAATTGATGGTGAAGGTACATCAAACTTAGGTTTTGGTTTAGCAAATTGCACTAATTTCTCAAATTTAACTTAGTATTGTGTAAAAAAGATAATTTATTTTTGATTTAAAAAATTTTTAATATTGTAATGAATTAAAAAAAATAAAACTATTATAATTAATTTATTTATAAGATTTTATTTCATTTTATTTCTTTTTTATTTTGATGTTATTTTTATCTTTTTTATTTAACTAATTCATTTTTTCTTTTTAAACTTTTTGATTTGATTATTAATTAATTCATTTCTTATTATTTCTTTTTTTCCTTCCAACTTTTATATTTTTTTTCAATATTTAAAAAGTGAAAATAAAATTGGTGATGAAGATGCATCAAGCTTTGGTTCTGCTTAAGCAAATTGCATTAATCACTCAAATATGGCAGTTTATCTGAATTAAAAATAGTATATTTGTTTTTAATTTTGATATTTTTTATATAAAAAAGAATTGATTTATTTCAAATTATTTAATTTTTTTCTTAATTTTTTCCTTCTAAATAACAAATTTACTGTATATTGATAATCTTTTAATTAAAATATCACCAACTTTTTAGGTACAGATGGTGATATTTAATTTAATTTTTATGATTTTAAGTTACTTTTACACTTTCTATTTTTTAATTTTTTTTATCAACCTGCTTTTATTAGATTTTGAAAAAATTTTTTTAACAATTATTTATTGCCTTTTCTCAAAATATTTTATTTCCAAAATATTTAATTAAAGATGATTTAAAGGATCAGATAAAGATATATTTATGGTATATATAATGTAATAAGTAAAAATTTATATTTTGGCTCATTATTTCTAAATTTTTAATATTGAAAAAAATAATAAAATAGAAAGAAAGTATTTAAAAATACTGATGTAAATATTTTTAATAAAATAACAATGCTTGAAAATTTGCTTTAAATACATTCAAATCAATAGAAATGTTGTCGCAAAATAAAAAAACTCTAAATTAATAGCTTTTAAAAATAAAGAAATAAATAATGAAAGCTAAAAAAAGTAGGAAAATTTTAAATGAAATTTTATAATTAAAGTTTTATTAGCCTTAAATTAATATTTAAACTTAGATGATATTTCTTATATGTTAAATATAATATACTTGTTTGTATTTAAATAGTTTAGAAAGTATATTTAATAAAATTATTTTTTAATATATTATTTTATTATTCAACTAGATATGAATTAGTTAATCAAATGAAGAGCAACAGCTGGTTAATCCATAGGAACCATGTGTCCAGCTTGATAAACTCTAAGGAATTAGAAATTTCCAGCACCCTTAATTTGACCTGCACTTTATCCATTGACTTAGTAGTCTTAGAATTATGCCTATTGATAAGCTTTTTATTAAGTCCACTCCATAGCATTAGTCCAAGCAATACCTCCCCTATTATAATTTTGTTTTTGAAAAAAATTATCAGAAAAATTATAAATTAAAATTCTAAATTTTTACATGTAATTGCAGATGAAATCTTGATCACCACTGTAAGCTAAGACTTTAATACCGCTTTCTAGGACATAAGCAACTTTTTAAGCAAGATTTACATTTTAGTCTTTAGTGAGAGCAGTATGAACAGTATTGGAGCATTCTTACCAGGTTCTTCCACTTACACCCAAAGCAGATTTAACATCATTTCTAGCTAGGAAATTATCAACATTAGTCATGTTATAGCATAAAGAACCAATACAAGGTTTTCTGATATCATAGATATTGAATTTAGGAGTTTATCCAGAACCAAGAATTGCTTCTAAGCCTATATTACAGAATATATTGCTTAGAATCATAGGAGCCTTTATGGTAGTCAAAGAAGAACAAATAGCCAAAGCTGGTTTAACAACAAAGTAATATTTGAAAGCAGAAATCAATTTATTTTTGTAAGCATATTCACCATAAGTTGGATCTTGGACTTCACGATTTACCTATTAAATATATTTTATTTATATTTTTGATCAATATTTTTCAGATATTAGAATTAAATAAAATTTAATTAAATTATTTATTATTAAGTCTTTGTTTTTTAGTTGTTTTTAATTAATATAAGATTTCGAAAGAAACAAAAAACCAAATTTTAACTAAATAAGGATTTTTAATTTACCAAACCATTACCAATAGCTAGACCTTATAAATTAATTTTAGGATTATTTTGCTTGACTAATTCTGCACCGATTGCGGGAATGTAATGACCTGCGTATGATTCACCAGTTATAAAGAGAGGTCTGCCAATAAATTGAGGATTTTATTCTAAGAAACCAAGAATAAATTGATAAAAATCCTCACCAACTTCGTCTTCATTTGTAACTAATTCACCTTTTCCTGCAAAAGAAAAACCAGTACCAACAGGTTAATCGACAAATACAAGGTTGGCTTAATTATTCCAAGAGTAAGCATTGTTTTCTAAAGTCAAATTATCATTTACTGAGAAAGGGCCATTTTCAGTGAAAAGAGCAAGTTCTGAAGAGCATCCAGGACCACCAGTCAACCAGATAACTAAAGGGTCTGTTGAAGGGTTGCTTCTTGATTCAAAAAGCCAGTAAAAAATGTCACTTGATTTTTAGATGTTGACAAGACCAGTGGTGTAGGTCTCATTCAAAAACAATGGGTTTTAGGCACAAAGAGCAATGCTTAAAAGAGCAAAAAACAAGATTTGACTTTTCATCGTTGATATTTTATAACAAAGCTAGCTTTTTTAATTATAAATTATATTACATATTTTGCTCATAAAGATTCACTTTTTATAATGAAAATTTTTTTATTTGTATAAAAGAATAAGCTAATTAAATTATTAAATTATGATCAAATCCTAATCAAAACATTTACTTAACTTTATTTGACAAACACATTTTTTTTATTATTTCTTTGATGTAAAAGATATAATAAAAGAAATTATATCTTGATCAATGTAAAGGAATGTACGAAAGAATCCTTTCATAAAACATGCAAAAATACTTCTTCTTAGTACTTTTAATATTAAATAAATCTATTTTTTTAATATTTTTAAATCATGTTGATGGGAAATATTTTATATTGTATTTCTTCTTAGTTAGTTTTTCAATAATTATCAATTTTTTTATAAATGTATTTGAAAATATTTTTTTTCTTTCTTCGTATTTTTTTGATTTTTAATCAGCTTTTTCTGTACTAAAAAATGAGTATAAATAAATAAAAAATAAATTTATTTTTATTTAAACAACTAAATTTTTAAAAAAAGTTCTATTTTAAATTTATTTTTTATTTCCATTAAAAAACTTAGACTATTATACTATTTTTTGTGGCTGATTTCTGAAATATATTGAAATAAAAATATTTTTTCACCTATTAAATATAGCTTTTAATAAGACTAAACAAAATTTTAATGAGTACAATAATATTTAATTGCATATTTATTAAAAATAGAAATAACATCCTTTAAAAGTCATTTTAATCGATTTTAATAATGAGATAAATTTTAAGCGCTTTATGTGTTAAAAATTTAATAATTTTTAAAAATGTTAATTAAATATTTAAAATATTTTTATTAATTTTTTATTTAGCACAATACTAATTTTAAAAAGAAGGAAACAATTATTTGTCCTTTATAATATATTTTATAGATTTCTTAACAATTCTTTACCAAATTTAAAATAAATATTCAGTTTAGAATTTTATAGAGTTAAATTTTTTTAATACCTTTTTATACTAATTAATTGTTTAAGTTAAGTTATTATTCAAATAAAAAATTTGAATATTTTTTCTTAATTTTGTTCAAATTTGCAAAATAAATTATCAATTGTTTGATATAAAAAATACTTATTCTTTTAAGAAAATAAAATTAATTTTTGTTTATAAATAAATTCAATACAAAAGAAACTAACTAAAAAAGTACATTCATTTTAAAAATATATTAATTAATATTTTAAATTGTTTTGTTAATATTCAATTTTTTTAAGCTTAGCTAGGCATGATAAGACTTTAGTATTTCTTTGGATCCTACTTTCTTTTGAAGTAGAGAGACAGCTTTTTGACAACATACTTTTCAAAAAATATGTTAGCAATTGCACTTCCAAATGATATGCCTAACAAAACTAATAAAAATGAGTAAGGCATTTCAGATTTAGGTTCTTAATCATCAAGTTAGACTTTTTCAAATACCTAATTAAAGAGAGGATAGTTAATTTGATTTTTTTAAAAAATATTATTTTTATTACATCTAAGAAACTGCGAGTAAAGCTATTAGGAACTAACTAGATAACTAGTGAAATACTTGTTATCAAAATAAGTGAAAAAGTAAACAATCTATTTGTGTAAAATTCTTTCTTGAAAGGTTTACCAATAGAAAAAGCAATGCAGGTAGAGATATATTAGAAGTTAGAGAATAAAAATAAAGTCTTTTTATTAAATAATAAATATATTTATTTTTTTAAAATAATAATAATAAATAAGCAAATACAGTAGATTCATAGCAACTTTTACGAGCATCTTCATCATCTAAGTCTCCTAGATAGGTATGAGCTTCAACAACAGATTAATACCAATTTTAAGATCTTAGAATCATGAAAACAATGATCTAATATTAATTAATAAAATTTTATTAAAAAATCAGTATAAGAATAGAAATTTACCTAAAATCCTCCATTTACTAAGGTTTATCCTATCACAGAGCAAAGTACTGGGAAAGAAACAAGACTTGATCCAGGTACCTGCTTAGATAAAACAGGGTAGGCATCTGTAAGACCCATCAAGAAAGCAAGTGGAATGATAATGACAACATCCCAATACAAGAATTACATATCACCAGGAAGTGAATTTACTGTGTAGAGTAAAGTTGTAGTAAAGAATTAAATCATTGAGTAAAGAGCCATGAATTTAAAGCATGAAAAACTAGTTACTAAAGCAGCTCTTCCTTCTTTCAATAGCTAATAAATAAGATTATTTAATTAAATAAATATTGATTATAAAAATATTAATTACTTCTATAACACAAGAAATATCTTGAACTTTAGATGTGAAAGGAGCTGCAATAGAAGCTTCAGCTTCTGAAAGTGAAATACCAATATCGGCAGTTTTTAGAGCACCACAATCATTTGCACCATCTCCACACATACCGCATGTTGGTTTCCAAGGTAACTCTTATAGAGACTGTAATAATAATGCCTTTTCTTCTGGTCTCATTCTGGCAAAGATTTAAGTTTTAAGCAACATAGTTCTTAGCAATTAAGCCTTTGAAGGGCTTTCTGTAGATTCATCAATGATTTTAGAAAATGCCCTTCCTGTAATAGCTAAAGTGAACTATTCTTAATTGTGATTCCAAGGTAATTAGTCTTAAATATCATCTAAATAAAATTACGAATAACGTAAAAAATATATTAAAATTTATTTTTAAATTTAAATTTTGCATTCAAATTGTATAAATTAAAGTTAAAAATTCATTTTTATAAAATTTATTTAATTAAAATAAACTATTTTCATTAAATTTTTGTTTGTTTTTTAAAAAATAAATAAAAAGAAATTTTAATTTTTCTTTACAATTATTAAAATTTATTAAAAATATTTCTTTAATTTTGATAATTAAAATTAATTACCCTGTAAAGCAGCAATAGCCTCTGCTTCTTATTCCTCGTTTTTGTTAAATTAAAATTCGCTATTGCTTTATGATTTAGTATCTGAATGAGAGGGGAGATGCTAAGATAACTATTCATTAGATAAATTAACACTAGATTGCTGACTTAATTAGTGTTAATTATCGAAAATAGAAAGAGCTGCTTCGATCTGTTCATGTGTTGATATTTGATTTTGGTTGTTTAATGATATTTCTTTGCTCGCTCTATCTCTATAGGATTTTTTGTTGGGAGTACCATGCTTATGGCTGACTTTATTATTCAAACTATCTTTACTTTTAATTTTTTAATTTATTGAAGAATTTTGGCGTTCTTTTTCTTCTAAGATTTAAGCCTACTCAAATATCTGCTTTTCTTCTTGAATTTCTAAAATACCTTCTTCCAAATATTGCTAAATACCGTTTACAGGTTCTAAATTGTCTTCATTTAATATCTTATCGGCATGTTCAAAATCTTTCCAAACAATCTTATTTTTTTATTTAGGATCATCGCTAATATCACCAAAATATACTCTTTTATTTTCATCTACAATTTAGCATTATCTTCCTACGCTGATAGCAGTTAGAGCATTATCGCCTGTTACCATAATGGTACGAATATTAGCATTCTAAAGTTCTTCTATTATCTAAGTAGTGATGGGCTTTAATTTATTCTCCATAATTAATAATCCAGCAAATGTCAAATCTTTCTCAACTTCGTCTCTTTCCACTTTTTGAATTTTTCTGTATGTCATTTTCAAAATCTTAATTCCAAATGCTAAAATTCTAAAACCTTTTCTGGCATAAAAATCTAGGACCTATAAATAATTTTAGATATGTTAGATGTTATAAAAAGGTTTGCTTGCTAAAAGTTTATTTAAATAAAAAATAAAATTACTTCGTGGAAATTTTAAGGAATCGTTTCTGGTTTGCAAAGTTCAAAGATTTTTTCAGGTGAACCTTTGACGTGTAGTCTAAAGAAATCAGTTTAATTTTAAAGATTTCTTACAATCGTGCTCATTCTTTATAGTTTAGAAGAAAATTCAAATCTTTTAATGATACCAATAGAAGTTGGTAGCTGATTAGTTTTGATACTTTCTTCAATTTAATTGATATCACTTGTTTAGAAGACAGTGCCACAAGGAGGTTGAACTACAGCCAAAACGAGTTCATCATATTTATCCATATCATTTTCAATTAGAACCCATTCTGTGGCTTCAAACATTTTGACTTCTAAAGGATCACCAATCAACTCACCTTTGATTTTTGTTAGGCCATGACAACTTGCCATGCACTCCTTTAATATAATCTCAGGATCTCCAATTAAAGTATAAGGGTTATTTTCACCATAAAGATTAATTTATTCTGCAACTCCATTCAACTTGTATCTTTTTGTTTCTCCAAGTCTTTTTGTTTCATCTTGAAGCTTAGCAAATTTAACTTTATTGGGACCAGTGTAGAATATAGGTCTTAAACCATACATATCAAGACCCTCTTCAGTCAAAGTGCCAGTTTTATCAAAGCACATTATTGTTACTTTACCACTGATATTTACCTTAACATTAAAAAAATAATATTTATCAAATCCCTTAATTTTAATTAATTAACTTACTTTTGGAGGAGAAATGCAGAAAATTTGTTGCTTTCTTAATCTAGAAATAGCAAAGGAGATACCAATTGACAAGCAAGTAGGCAAAGCAGGAGGAACTGTGATAGTTACTAAATCTAAACTATTTAATATTAAATCTCTTAATTCAAGGTATCCTTCATTATAGCCTTTGATCATAAAAGGGAGAGAAACTATAAAACCAACAATTGATATTAAGGCAAGCACAGCAATAAACTTTAAAGAGTCTACATAAAATGAAAAGGAATTCTATTTAGGATATAAAATTGATCTCACTAATTACCCTTTCATAGTATTAAAGCTAGTTTAGCTAACTAACCCAAGGACAGGAATCTAACCTTTCAAATAAAATCTATTTTTTAAATTTCATTTTAAAAAACCAAAATATTTTAAGTTAATTTTAATAAAATAACTTCTAAATTAGTAAATCATAAATTAAATTTGAACTATTCTTTAAGAATGTTAAACAATCAATTATGAGACATGCCTTTAAATTTATATTTACCTTGTTTCGATGCATTTTGTACCTGCGAATAGTGTTGATTGTTTTCCATCTTCGTTAGGATGATATTTATTGCTGTTAAATGGCAAGGAAGATTTAATGATAGGAATAGATTCACCAGTAAGCATAGATTCATTCATAACACAAGAACCGTTCAAGAGAATCACATCACATGGAAGAATTTAACCATCAGGAATTTCTATGATATCACCAGGTACTAAATTTAGTGAGCTTATTTCTTGCTTTCCTTTGATAATATCTCTTTCTATCTTTAAATGACCTCCATCCTTTAAAAAAAAAATAATTTATTCTAAATTAATTTTAAAGAATATTTCAAAATAAATAAACATTTTTTGAAAAAATAAATAAATAAAATAATTAAAAATTTTACTGGCTAAATATACTCTTATATGCCTCTATAGACAAATACAGGAGTTTCAAAGAAACTCATTTACTTGAGCTTTTTGTAGTTGTTTTTTGTTTCGATAAGACTAACTATTGCGGATAATAAAGAAGTTCCAAGAATTACAGAAGCATAATAGTAGTAAGGTTCTATCATCCAAAGAGTGACACTAAAAACTTAGAAAATGTAAAAAGGTGAAAGGACTTCATCAATTAATATTTTCATTGTTGATTTATCTGGAATTTCAGTATTATTTTTTCCATACATTTAGAATAGCTAGCTTAATTTTTCTTCACTCTCAACTCCTCTGCCATACTTTTCGTGAATTTAATTGTTTGTGAGAAGAGACAAAGCAAACTGGACAGGGAAGAAACAATCAATTCTATCATCGTAGTAATAAGTGTAAAGTCTAAAGGTAAAAATCTATGTGTTAATAAAATTAGTTTATAAAAAGCATTGATTAATTATGTAAGAAAGTTATTTGATTTCTTGTTAATTTAATTAAATGGTTTAGTTTGTTCGTAAATAATTTAATAAATGTAAGCTAAACTTAATATATTTTTATTATCTTGTATTTTGGGAAATTAATAGGAAAAATGCACAAATCATAAAAATGTATGAGTAATCTTAATTAAATTATCAATTTCGATATTTTTTGATGAGATAATATCCACTTTCTTTTTTTATTTACAATTTAAATCTTACAAGAAAATTGTTGGATGGATAGTCATCTAGCGTCATTACTCTTTTCTCTGTCTTTACCAAAGTAATTGTGTTATCTGTTTTTAAATTAAACAAAAAAGAGGAATAATAATAATTTATTTACTTAATAGTATGATCAATAAAAATTTTATAGACATTTATTTCAAAAGCCATTAAATTTCGATTTCTAAAAGATAAAAGTTAAAAGCATTAAATCGCTATTTACCTATTGATGTTATCTTCATGTATTCAGCTTCTTAAGCTGAGCATTTTACCATTTAAATTAAAATCTTAAAGTTGATGTCCCAACGTGTAAAGAGATACAAGATACCTCCTGAAACGACAAATAAGATGTATGAAAGTATCAATTTAACTTTTGAAATTTTAAATGATTCTATATCGTTAATAACTCCTTCTTCTTAAATATCTTCTGGGAGCTTGAAATTTACTTTTCTACCTCGCTAATTATTTAGTTGTTCATTTTAGAGATTTTACTCTAACCTATTTTTAAATGTAAAAAAATAAATGGATAAATTGGATGAAATTCAAAAAGAAAATATTTATATTGTATGAAAAAAGTTTGATCGGCTGCATTCAAGCCATAATGTTTATTTATATTCATTATTTTTTTATTTATTCACTTTCTTTAAATTAACTAATCAAGCTTTAAGCATTGTAGAAGTTGCTCTAGAATCAAAAATTTATAATTGAAATTACAATTATTCATTCAGCGCCTTATCATTTGTTTGGGGTTTCATCAATGTCTGGAAAAGAAGACTGTGTGTATCTTTAAGTTGCTTATCCTTAGACTTGTTTGTTAGACGGTTTCAAAGAAATAGAACTGTTTGTTGATAAGAAGCGTTTTTTTCTTGATAGTTTTGAAAATTAGCTTTATATTATTAATTGATTATAATAGTTTTACAAATTTACTTAAATTATTGAGCTGATTTGAAAAACTAAGTACATAAATAGATAGATATGCGAGCAACAATCAATTCTTTTATTATTTTAGCTTTGATATGCTTTAATTAGATTTCAATTATTTATAGTTATTTCTCTCTACAAAACGAGTAGAGTGTGAGAATAATTTTTATTTAAAATAAAATTTATGAACTTCAAATCATGTTCCAACATTTTATAAAAGCTAAAATATTAACACAAGTTACTAACTCATAATTATCTTGCAAAGAATTTTCTCTTATTAATTAATAAACAAATTGTTTAAATTAGAATTCTTTTATTATTGTTTAACCAAAGCTATATATTGTTAATTAGTCAATAATATTGTGATATCGATAAGTGAGTAATTTAAAATCATCGATAAATAAAAATTTGTTTATTTATCAGAATATGATTACATATTTTTATTTTTTCATCATTTACCTTATTAAGTATTCTTAATTTATATCCTGAATTTTTTTAATTTCCAAAAGTTAAAATTCAATATTTTTTGATCAATAAAATATCATATGATTATGATTTATTAGCTCTTTTTACTAGAAATTGCATTAAATATTATACATAGAGAGAGAAGAAGAAAATCTACTTTTAATTATTATTTTATAATTAATATATTGATGTTCGATCTAGAATTTTATTATTTATTTCTAATATGTAAAATAAATAATTTAAATTAAACTTTCATATCCTATATTTTTGTAATTGAAATAATCAAATTAATTATTAATTTTTTCAGAAATGTTGCTAAAATAAATTAGGTTATTATAATAAAATACTATAAATACAATTTTATTTGAATTAATATAATTCTTTTCTTTAAATGCCTTTCATAAAGATAATCATAAATTGTTCTTTTGAAATAGCTTAATTATGTGGTTTTTTAATAGGAAAATTTTATACTGATTTTTCAATGCTTAATTCATAAAAAGTGAAAAAAAGTTTAAAATAAAAAGCTTTACAAAGAAACACATTTTTAAATAATATATTTTAATAGATAAATAAAAATTTTATGCAAAAATTCGATTAAATCTAAATTTTTGTTAAATTCATACAGAAAATAATTATTGCATTATTTTCTAAAACTAAATTTAATTTTAGACAGGCTATACTAGCCAATAATTAAATAAGTTATTAATGTGTTCCGGTTCCATAGTATAGTGGTTAGTACTGGGGACTTTAAATCCCTTGACCTGGGTTCGAATCCCAGTGGGACCTAATTTTTTATTTTTGACTTAACTAATTTTTTTATAATAAAAATGATAAAGTTTATAAAATAAATTTGTACTTGATTAAAAATATTGTAAGAAAATATAAGAAAATTAATTTGTTAAACTCCTTCTTAATATTACTGAAATAAAATAGGATATATTTATTTTTAATATTGTTTAAAAAATATTATTTTTAACAAGCGATTTCTATTTCATAAATTTTTTACAAATTTTATATCATAAGCATTTTCTAAATGTAAATTAATGTGAAGAAGAATTTATTTGTATCTTCTGTGTTATTGCGGGGTAAAACCAATTTTAAATTTAAATTAATTAATTAATTTATTAATTCAAATTACAAAAGAAAGGAGAAAAATTTAATTAGAAGATTAGAGAGGAAATTTAAAAATTTTGATAATTATTTAATTAATAATAAATTTTGATTAGTAAAAAAAAAAAATGAGTAAAAGCTTATAAAGCTAACTCAGCAAATGAACGAATCAACGTGAACTTTCCTAATAGGGTGAATAAGGGGTGACTTTGAGATTCAAACTGAACTCAAAATAGTTTTTAAAAATACTGACAGCTGCTTTTATCAATTCAGCTGCTTCAGATAAGTTTTTAATACGAATGATAGCTAATTGGCTTTTAAAAAGTTATTTAGTTATCGCCATTTAATTGTACAGAAAATCCGATTCGAATGAGATAAGAGAGAGAGAAATTTATTTTTGGAAACTTTCTGACAGTCAAGTTTTCCCATTAAATAAACTCCTCGTAATCAAGAGATAGGTGCACCTACTTTTAAGTCACTTTATATGGAAAGTTTGTTGACAGAATATAATGGGTTCCTATCTATACTGCATATCTAAGTTATATGCATATCGACTGGGGATTCATTACTATTCGAATCGCTCGTTTGTTTGATTTTTTTCACATTTTTGGATGATAGACTGTAGAGACTACATCCTCTTTCTTTCGAACCAGATTATATAAAAAGTATTTTTAAAACAAAAATATAAAGAAAGATCTTAATTTTTAGACGATGATGATAATTAAAAATGATGATGATGTAAAAACTTTGATTGAGAAATGAGCTTGAGCATTCCAAATTAAAAACAAAATATTAAAATACAAATTAATTAAATTAAATGAAAGAAAAAAAAAAGATTAAATAAATTAATAAAAGAAATAAAATAAAGATAAAATCAACACATCAAATAAGCAATAGATAAACATAAAAAGAGATAAAACAAAAAGAATAGATAAACTAAGAAAAAAAGCAAACAAATTACAAAAACAAATTAAAAAAAATACAAAAAAATAAAATAGATTAAAATCAAATAACAATAAAAAAAGAATCAAATCCAATCAATAAGAAAGCACGCACGCTGCAATTTTTTTTGAAATAATGAATTTAAATTATAGGCATAAATAGCTCTACTTTTTATAAATTTATTTTGATATTTTGTTTTTTTTATGAAGATATAAATTAATTTAAGAAAATTCATGATTTTTTGATGTTTTTATTTTTATTTTAAATAGATTTATAATAGCAAAAAAATATATTCTATTTAACAAAAATTTATAAAAAAGTTGAGTACTAAAACTATTTCTAGATTTCGCATAAAAAAATGATTTTTTATATTTGAAATTAAAAAAAAAATAAATAATTTAAAGTTAAAAAATTAGATATTCAGAAGGAGAGTTTTTAAAAGAAAATAAGAAATTTTAATTATTTGATTTACCAATTACTTCTTTTTAAGTAATAAATTTAGATTTTTTTTCCCTTCATACATTAATTAACATAAACAAACATTTCTAATTAAAAATCAAACAAACAAATTTGTTTATTACTTTCACAAAAAAAAAATTAAATTTATCAGTAAATAAATATTTGTATAATTTAAATTGTTTCAATATATATTAATCATATTTTAGTAATTTTTTTACATTGAAAACAAAGATTAATTTTATATTTGGCTCAAAATTTATTTTTCAAAAATAAATTAAGTTTTAGCCAGAAATTATCTGAAATAATATAAATAAATAATTAAAAAAGTTAATAAAATTTCAAGACAATTTATTTGGTTTAGAAATTTAAATTTTTGAAAGCTTTATCGAAATACATGTTTAAAAAATCCATTTTGATCGAATTTGACTCAATAAAAATACAGAGTTTTATGATTGGTTGACTGTTCCCTTTTTTTAAATAATTATATTCTTAGATATGCATGATTCTAGTTAATAATTAAAATTTAACTAATTAAATAATAATTGAGGCTTGAATATTTTTGAATTAAAAAGTCTATTCAGTGAGAAAATTAAATAATGGGATAAAGCCAACCAAAAGACAATAGAAGATAAGTGAAAGGAGGCATTTATATTTAACTTTAAAAGACTGCCTTCGTTAGTAATTAAGTTATTCAGGGAATGTTAAACATTAATTTAGAAGAACCTTTTTAAGGGCATATCCTATAAGTTACTTTAGTAGGTTTAGAAGAAACTCACTTTACATATACGGTTGGCAGTGGTAAACATAGAAGAACAGTTCATGCTAGAGGGTATAATAGTTTTCTTAATTTTAGTCTTCCTATTTATGATTTCGCATAAGGAACAAATGATACAGCTTTTATAATACATCCTTGTTAGATACAAATTCCCTTTTAAATGAATGTTGCAGATAAGCTTCCTTCTTCTATGAAATACTTCTATAGCTAACATACTTAATGCAGCTTAAAATACACTCTTTTCGCTTCTATTATTCCAACAGAAGCTAACGTAAAACCTATAGGAGGAAGTTAAGAGATATTTATAGGGTAATAAATCCCCTCTTTAGAATTGTAAAATATGACAAATTCTATTTAAGAACCAGTAATATGTTGCTGTTGCAGATCTGGATAGATTAAATACAACATATAAACAAATGGAAGATCTTTCGCTCCTAATGAAAATATATAAATTAAATTAGATGTAGATTTTAGCTAATATGGAAAAAAAGTCAACAATCTAAACGTCAAATTACTTGGATAGCTAATAATGAAGGCAAGCAATACTTAGAGAACTAAATATATAAACATTTTTGAAAAAATGGTAAATGTTAAAGTAGAAAAAACTCATATAAATGAAAATGTATAATTATAAGTGCCTGGGAATGTTACATTGTCTTGCTAAGGTTCATTAATTTAAGTAAATTATTTCTTAGAATTTTATCCAGAAATTAGTACTTGCTGTTGTGTTTCAAAGAGTTCTCCTCATGAAATAAAGATCTACATTAATCCTAATTCAAGCTAAGCTTATAACTTTAGCGATGCTCCTTAATAATTATAAATTATGCCTCCATAAAATTGGAATCCAACATAATTGTAACCAACTTAGTTTACTTCATAATAAACAAGTTATATATAGCAATAGTCACTTAAATTTGTCTCATAAGAGGAACAATACTTATATTAACAAAATGCTTAGTAACAAAATCCTTAACTTTACCCATATTAATAAAGTAATATGAATGGGTTAGCTAATCCGATGACTTCTTAAATTCAATAACCTAATTAATCACCATACATGAAAGATTAAAATTAGTATTATCTTTGATAAACAATGTTAATCTATTCACATATTTATTTTTAATATATAATAAAAAATAATTATTTATAAATAAATAAATATGTAATATATACTTAATGTATATTTATATAAAGTGAGTTGATATTTGAATAAATCAAATAATAAATAAATAAATATTTATTAATTAATAACAAATTAAACTTAAAATTAACAAACCTTTGTACTCTTCTAGTTATATTTAAAAAATATAGCTAATTTCAATTTACAATTTTTTTTTTTTTTGTATTATCTCTTTTTTTATGTAAAAATATTTTATTAAAATTACTAAAAATAAAAATGTTGTTTATTATATTTCTTTACTTTATTTAATAAAAAATTGCTACCAACTATCTTAAAAATTGCAACATCTAAAATATGCTATAATTTATTAAATATTAAAAATAATAGTACTGTTATCAAAAATTTTTTGAAATAAATTTGATACAAATAAATGAGGATTTATTATACATGCTTATAAAAATTAGAAATTAAATAATCCATACTATCTTTTGGCAATTGAATTAAATTTTAAAATATATCTAGCTTTAAAACTTTACCTTTAGCATAAACAAAAATATTAATGAAATTAACTAAATACATAAACTTAAAATTTTTATACTGAAATCTGTTAAATATCTTGAAAAAATGTTTCCTCTAAATTCAGTAGATTGATAATGGATCTGATAATAATTTTCAAAACAAATTTAAATAAAAATAAACACAGATTAAATTAAAACTTAAAATTATAATTGTCAAGAAAAAAATAAAATTCATTAATATTAAATTTATTTTTGTAATTCTAGTTGTATCACAAATATGTTTGTTATGCAGAGTACAACAACATTTTTCTTAATTTAATTTTTTAAGCTTATATATTGTAAGTATTCATAATATTTATTATTACATTTTTTACAAATCAATTGACACTTGATCACTCACTCACTCTAAGTTTCCAAATAGATTTTATTATTGTTTATATTAGCCTTCTTCTTCTTCTACATCCATTTTTGCTTTTTGAGAAGAAATTGAACCTTTTTCTCTTAGTTCTTTCTTCTTCTAAGCTTTCCATTCATCTAGTTTTTACTTTAATTAAGGTAATTCGACCAACTACTCTCTTTTCAGAGGTTATCTATTGAATGGGTCTATTTCATTATCAAGTAATGCTTTTTTTATCATAGATCTCTCAACATTTTAATGGGATGTTGGTAATCTCACTGGATCCTTGAGTAACTTTGTATAAATAATAATTTATTTAAATATTCATTAATCCATTTAAATAATAATTTTATAAATAAATTCAAAAAGGATTTCGTATATAATTTTTAAATAGTAATATTAAATATTATAAATTTATGATGTTTTATTTAAAAATAGTTAATTTTTTTTGTTTTTTTGATTTAATTATAAAAAATAAATCAAATATTTTAATTTAGCCTAAGAATAATTTAATTTTTGAATATGGTTAAAGTTAATATTTTAAATTTGAGATATTTTAATTAAGTATTTAGGATAAATATTAATTTAAAATTACACAGAAACTTAGAGCACATG